GGATATTGAAATACGGTTTTTGTTTGAGTTCCATTCATTGTAACATAGATAGTCGCCAAAATTTCCATCTAATAAATTTATTAACACTTTTTTGATGAAAGAGTTTAAGTTTGTACATTTGCTCCACTTATATATTCTTTTATTTTAGAATTTCCAAATAATAAATAATCTTCAAGCTCATAATAATTTGTTTAAAGAAATGTATTTATAGAATAGCAACTCTCTTATTCAACTTCAATATATACATCCTGAATTGTAATCTAATCTGATCCATCTCGTGAATCCAATGTTGTTGATTTAACTTGTAGACCAAAATAATTAAAGCGCTATTTAAAAAATTCTTCTTTTAATTCATTTGTTGCACATTTTTCATTTGGTTTTAAATACTTTTCTTAGCATTCAGCTATAAATATATACATTTATTTAGATGTTTATACATATCCATCATAATAAGAATAACCAAGATCTAATTTTGGTATATACAATTATCCAAATGTAGATTCTGTGTAATTTTCAATTACTATAGGCTCAGTTAACAAAAAATCATCAGAATACATTACTAAAGGCAGGAAAATTCTTTATTTGAAAGGATCAATTACACCCTCATAACTTTCATAATAAATAGTAATTTCAGCTGAATTAAAATCTAACATAGAATAATCAGAAACAAACTTTGAATTTGAAATCTTCGGACTCATTTATTTATTATTCCATTAATAAAATACCCAAAATGCATAAGTTAAACTTAAAATGCTAAGTAAAATGCTTAGGAATCCTCCTAATGCACTTTTGAAAACTGTTTATTGTTGATTAATATTCTATACAAAAGGAACTCCAAAAAAATCAGCTTATTTTAATATATTCATCTTGCAATTTAAATTTTTTTATTAAATTTTTTGAGATATTACTAAAACTTAATAATTAAAACTCAAAAATCGATATTAATTATGATCATTTAGAAATTTATAATACTCCTATTTTTTTAAAATGATCTATTCATCAAAACTTTGATATATTTTATAATAATAAGAAACCTTTTTTTCTTCTTCAAAACAATAACATTATAAGATTATAGTTTCATTTAATATATATTAAAAAATTAATATTTTAAAATTCTATATTTTTTCATAAATATCCTTAATATTTCTTTACTATTTTAATATAATTTTAGTATTGTTCTAGCTTTTGTATAAAAAGTAGAATAGCATCTAAGGATGAATATAGCTTTTATTTTTAAAACTTCTTCAAAATTAAATTTATAACATGGTCATGTTTTTGAAAAATTAAATAGAAATTCAAAAGGAATCTATTATTTTATATTTCAATCAATTACTCCAATTTAGTTTTTTCGATATAATAAATACTTTTTGGAAAATATCATAAATTAATCCTGAGAATAAATGATTAAATTAATTTTTAATTATGATTAACTATAAATGATGATTAAAATATAAGTAATAATAAATGTATATGTTTATAGCTTGATAAAAGGAATAGATATAAAGTTAGTATTGAAATATAATATATTAATTTGATAAATTAAAAAAATGATAATAAAAATAAATTGAATTAATGTCTGAATAGCATTTGCAAGAGAATAAATTTACTTATGTAAATATAATGTTGTTTAATTTGTGTAGAGTTCAAATCTTGTGATATAAAGAGAATCTGGTCCAAGGACAGATGAGCCAACAGGTGAGCCAGAATCATTAGTTGGAAAGATTAACCCTAGAATGATGGGTACAAAAGCTTTAAAGGATAAACCAGTGAAAGGCAAGAAAGAGTAAAGTTTAAATTTGGGAAAACAGGTTAATATGGAAATAGAAGAAGGTGTTGGGATGCCTACATATGAAAATCTATTGTATATTCCAAAAACAAAGGACAATAGATTACACTATGAAAAATTATTGGCTATAGTGTATGGACTATTTTAAGAGTAATCATAAGATGTGATAAAATCTATTGTGGATGAAGTATTGGCAATAATGAAAAATGATAATTTGAAAGATTCAGAGAAAAGATAGGAAGTAGAAGCAATAATTGGAAAGTTGACAAATGAATTATTTTCAGATATTGTATTATCAAGTAAAGGAATTACAGATTACAATCCTGAAATTACTCAAGGAAATACTGATGAGATGTAATTACCATTGAATTTGGAAGAAGAATAAGATTCTAGTGATATGGAGGAAATTATAGAAGAAGAAGATGATTAATAAGAATATAATGAATAGACTATTAAAACAAAAGTTTAGGTTGAGGAAACAAGAAATAAACTAGTTGATATAGATGGATTTTGGTTATAGCGGGAATTACAGAAAATATATTAAGATCCTGTAGTAGCATAACAAATGGAGTAAACAGTCTTGGACATTTTAAAATTGTAAACTGATATTGAATGTGAAAATCAATTGGTTGCATTATTTGGTTAGGATCGCTTTGATCTAATTAGATTATTGCATGCAAATAGACACAAAATATTTTATTGTACTCTTTTAAGTAAGGCACAGAGTACTGAATAAATTGAATAAATCCATTCATAAATGAGATAAACATAAGAAGGTTTGTAAATATTGATGGAATTGTAGAAAAAAAAAAAAAATGATGCCTAATTTTAAATTATATAAGAAGAAAATGAAAAACAATATTATGAATCCACAAATATTACTGATTAAGATCTTTAAGGTCTTTCTAAAAAAATAGTAGATCTAGAATAACTCTAGTTTGTATCTTAAGGACATTTTATGTCAAATGAAAAATGCCATTTGCCTCCTCATTCATTTAAAGTAACAAAGAAAGGATATGAAGAAATATACATTCCGGCACCTAAACCTAATGTTCATAAGGACAATTTAGTTTAAATATCTGAGTTACCTGAATTCGCATAACCAGCATTCAGAGGTTTTAAAGAATTAAATACTATTTAGAGTGTTGTTTATTAAAAAGCACTATTAAGTGATGAGAATATGTTAATCTGTGCTCCTACAGGTGCAGGTAAAACAAATATTGCTTTATTAACTATGTTATAAACTATAGGTGAATATTATCAAAATGGAATAGTAGATTTATAAAAATTTAAGATAATATACATAGCACCTATGAAAGCATTAGTAAATGAAATGGTACATAATTTTCAAAATAGATTAGAACCATATAATATAAAAGTTGCTGAGGTGACTGGTGATACTCATTTAACTAAACATTAATTGAATACAATATAAGTGTTGATAGCAACACCAGAGAAATGGGATATTTTGACAAGAAAGATTTAATAAAATGATTTTATTTAATTAGTAAGATTAGTAATAATTGATGAAATACATTTATTACATGATAGCAGAGGTCCAGTGATAGAATCAATAATAGCAAGACAATTAAAATTGATGGAGGAGAGACAAGAAGTAATAAGAATAGTAGGATTATCAGCAACTTTACCGAATTATGGTGATGTAGCAACATTTATTAGGGTGAAATAGAGTGGAGTGTTCTTTTTTGATAATTCTTATAGACCAGTTCCATTGTAATAGTAATATATAGGTATAAATGAAAAGAAACCAATAAGAAGAATGTTATTGACAAATGAGATATTGTATGAGAAAGTGATAGAGAGAATAACAAAGTCTTAGATTTTAGTATTTGTTCATTCAAGAAAAGAGACAGTGAAAACAGCAAAGACATTAAAGGAGATGGCATTTTCAAAAGATGAATTATCTAAATTTATAAGAGAGGAGAGTTCATCAAAGAAGATTTTGGAGACAGTTATTGCTTAAGAAGATATAAAATCAGTAGATTTAAAAGAGCTATTAGGAAGTGGAATAGCAATTCATCATGCTGGATTATGTAGAGGAGATAGAGATTTAGTAGAGAGTCTATTTGAAAAGAAGAATATATAGATTTTGATATCAACATCTACATTAGCTTGGGGAGTTAATCTTCCTGCTCATACTGTTATTATAAAGGGAACTCAAATATATTCACCAGAATAAGGTAAATGGATAGAATTGAGTCCTTAAGATATTTTATAAATGATGGGAAGGGCTGGTAGACCTAGATATGATACTTCTGGAGAGGGAATAATCTTAACAACCTATTAGGAATTAAAATATTATTTATCTTTGTTAAATATTCAATTACCAATAGAATCTTAATTTGTATCTTAATTAGCAGATTAATTGAATGCTGAAGTAGCATAAGGAAATATTAAGAATTTAAAAGATGGAGTTAATTGGTTAGGTTATACATATTTATATGTGAGAATGTTAAGAAATCCATAGTTGTATAATATTACAGATTATACCAATGATTAAGCTTTGATCAAATATAGAGCAGATCTGATTCATTCAGCATGCTTATTATTAGATAAGAATAGTTTAGCTATTTATGATAAAAAGACTGGAAATATAGAAAGTACAATTTTGGGTAAGATTGCTAGTAATTATTATATTAAATATCCAAGTATGTAAGTATATAATCAACATTTGAAATAAAATATGGGAATGATTGATATTTTGAAAGTATTTTCATTATCACATGAATTCAAATTAATACCAATTAGAGAAGAGGAAAAGATTGAATTATAGAAATTAATGATGAGTGTACCAGTTCCTATTAAGGGATCACCTGAAGATTCAACAACAAAGATTAATGTTTTATTATAGGCATATATAAGCAGATTAAAATTAGAGGGATATGCTTTAAATTCAGATATGGTTTATATTACATAAAGTGCAGGTAGAATTATGAGAGCATTATATGAAATATGCTTATAGAAAGAATGGGCTTAGAGTGCATTATAATGTTTATAATTATCAAAGATGATTGAGAAAAGAATGTGGAGTTGTATGACTCCACTTAGATAATTTAAAGGATTACCTGATGATTTATTAAGAAGAATTGAGAAGAAAGAAGGTATAACTTGGGAACATTTATATGCAATGTCATCATAATAATTGGGAGAATTAATTAGATATTAAAATTAGAACATGACTAAATTGATTCATAAATATATTCATAAATTCCCAAAGATAGAAATCTAAGCATTTGCATAACCAATAACTAGATCATGTTTAAGAATAGATCTTCATTTAAGTTGTGATTTTTAATGGGATGAAAAAATCCATGGAAGATAGGAACCATTTCATATATTTGTCTTAGATTCAGATGGTGAAAAGATATTGTATCATGAAATGTTTTTAATGAAATAAAAAAATTAAGAAATGGAATTTACTTTAACTGTTGCATTATTTGAAGTAATGCATCCAATTTACTATATAAAAGTTATATCAGATAAATGGATATCCTGTGAAAGTGAATAACCTATTCCCTTTAAGAATCTTATATTACCAGAACCTTTTAATAGATGTACTGATCTATTATAATTAACTTTATTATCTATTGATTAAATTAAACATTAATAGATTGAAAATATCTTAGCCAAAAAAATATTATAGAATAGATATTTTGATTAAATTCAAACTTAAGTGTTTCAATATATTTATCAATAGAATGATAATATATTTATAGGATCATCAACATATTAATCTAAGAGCATTCTACCTCTATTATCAATTCTTTAAATGATCAATATTTATAAAGGATATAAGGCAATTTATGTTTCGTCAGTTTAAACTAATTGTGATATTAAATACAATCAATTTCTATAAGTCTTTAATAAAACAATGTCTCTTAAAATAGGAAAGTTGACTGGATAAACTTAAAGTGATAATAAAATCTTAGCAGAATGTGATATTATAGTATCGAATGCCATCAATTGGGATATCATGAGTAGAAGATGGAGAGCTAAAAAAGGATTTAAAGATATTAGAGTATTTATTGCAGATGATCTACATACTCTAGGATAATCTGGTAGTGTTTTAGAAGTAATTGTATCAAGAATGAGAATGGTCTCTATGGAAATTCCATTTAGAATAGTTGGTCTATCTCTATCTGTTGCTGATTATAAAGAAATGAGTGAATGGATTGGAAGTAAACACACTTTTAATTTTTAACCCATTGTTAGACCTAACAATATTCAAATTTAAATTTAATCATTTGATCATTGTCAAAGACCCTTAAGAATTTAAGCTATGATTAAATCATTAAAAACTAATATCTCAAATACAGAACTTAACATTATTTATGTTTCTGATCGTAAACTAGCTAGAGTATGTGCATTAGAACTAATGATCAATAATAATAACACCTTGACTGGATTCTCCATTAAAGAAGATTAATATCTTTAACATACACTTTAAGCATCAGTAGGATTCCTTTATGAATGTATGGATCCTTAAGATGAAAGTGAAGTTCTTAGATTTATTGCATCAGGATAATTAAAAGTTGTTGTTATTACCTATAAATTAGCATTATATTATAATCTAAAAGGTAAGGTCTTCATTTTAGACAACTAAAAATATGATGGAATTGACAAAAGATATGTTGATTATACTATTGCAGAAATGTTAGAAATGATTGAAAGTACAACATCATAATGTCTTGTATTCACATATAGTCCAAAGAAGGAATACTATAAGAAATTCTTATATGAACCAATGCCCATAGAATCTCATCTTAATCATAATTTAGCTAATCATTTGAATGCTGAAATAGTTGCCAAAAATATTCACAACACTTAAGATTGTATTGATTGGATCACTTGGACATTTATGTACAGAAGACTTACATAAAATCCAAATTATTACAGTCTACATGAAATTAATGGAGTAGCCATAAATAATTATTTAAGTGAATTAATAGAAACTACAATTGATGAATTACATGAAAGCAAATGCATAGCAGTTGAAGAAGACAATGAATTAGAAGCCATTAATTCTGGTATTATTGCCAATTATTATTACATCAATATTGAAACTGTCAAGAATTTCTCAGATAAAATTAATGCGACTAGTAAACTTAGAGACTTACTATTTTTCTTATCTGAAGCCAAAGAATTTGAAGTCTTAAATATCAGAAATGGAGAAGAAATCTTATTAGCTTAATTACTCTAGAAAATACCCTTCTAACCTACAAATGTTAAATTAAATGAACCTAATACTAAAGCTTTAATTTTGTTATAAGCACATTTCAGTAGAATTAAATTAAACTCTGATTTAAAGTCAGATCTAAGTATTTTAGAATTGGCAATTAGATTAAGTACTGCAATGGTTGATATTGCTTCTTCAAATCTTTGGTTAAAGCCTGCCATATTATCTATGCAGATCTGTCAAATGATCGTTTAAAGTCTTTGGAAAGATGAAGATAGTGTTTTATTATAATTACCTCATTTCAACAAAAACACCATAGAATAATTGAAATCAATGAATGTATCTGATTGGGCTGACTTTTTTGATATGGATGAATCTGATCGAACTCAAGTATTAGGCCAATTTACATAACAATAAATTGATGATATTGCTTAAGCTGGCAATAGGTAATTTTGTTGATTTATTTTAGACTTCCATCAGTTGAAATATCAGACATTATAGCTGAAGAAGAAATAGTTTAAGGAGATATCTTCCATGTTTAAGTTGTCTTAAGCAGACAAGATAACATTTATACAGATTATGTTATTGCTCCTCACTATCCTAAATAGAAGGAAGAATAATGGTGGGTTTTATGTGCTGATAGAAATACTAATCGGTTATTTGGAAACAAGAAGGTCTCATTTTAAGAAAGCATCAAAGTTGATCTCAGATTCTAAGCACCTGAAGCTGGAGAGTATGATCTTACCATTTATGCCATTTGTGATTCCTACATTGGTGTTGATACAACCTCTTAATTCTAATTAAAAGTTAATCCTATTATCGAATAAGAGTAAGAACAATGATATAATACATTATATATAATTATTCATAATTAAATTACATGCATAAATAATTGAATTCAATAAGCTTTATATCTGCTAATAGTGGTTTTTCTGATCTTTAATCTTCTTCTATTATCAAAGGTAATAATTATTATTTAGCCAAATCTATTGAAAATCATCCAGAATTAATTCAACAACTTTTTGAAACCGAAAAGCTTGAAAAATCAAAAAATATATTTTAAGATCCTCTCAATCTTAAAATTATAAAGCATGATCCTTCTATTGGACCTAAATATGATAAAAATAAAATTATCTCCAGATCTATTGTAGGAAAACCAGATATTTTCAAAAAAAAATAACCTATTTAATAACTTCATTCAAACTAAGATTTTATTATTCCTACATCATAGAATATTTAGACTGAGCCAACTAGTTTGATGAAAAAAGAATCCCCATTACAAAGAAGATCAATTTAATTAAAAATTGCACCAAGTCCTGTAAAAATTTTCAAGTAAACAAAAAACGAAAATGTAATCACAGGTTCTCAGTTAATTAATAAAATTACTTAGTTGGAAAAAAGATTAATTTAAAATAAATTAGATGAATAGAGGTAAATTAATAAATTGCCATTTATATAAAAATAAAATTTATATAGACATTAAAGAGCTTTGGAGGATTTTGATAAATATGAAAAAATACACTCTGATCTACTTCAATCCTTATCTGCCCGTATATCTAGAAATCCTAGCTACTCTTTAATGATGGATTTGTATTAGTTTAGAAGAAAATAAGAATATTCAAATACAAATGATTAAATGAGGTACTAATCAGAATTAAAAAATCAGGAAATCATGTACAATATTTGTAATTAAACTAGAGAAATGCAAGAAGAAAATCAGATACCTTTTTATATCTGTTCAGATAGATAATCAATTATTAGAAAACCTTACATTTTTGAAAAAGATGCTACAATCTCAACAATTTTAAAACAAAAGAACGAAGACAAAACCTTCCAGAGTTTTACAACTAATAGCGTATTAAAAGAAAAATAATTAAAATATAAAAGTTTGGCAAAATATAAACTTAAGTTAAATATTGATGAACTGATGATAAGTGGACAATCTAAATATGAATAGGAAATCTCCATAGATCCTAATCAAAAATATGTGATCAAAGAAATTGAAAAGCATTCTGATAACTAAGAAGAAATATTGTGATATTATATTATTTGTTATTTTATGTATTTGATGATTAATCAATTAATTCATTCTTGTTTTTGATCAAATCTAATGCAACTGGTGATTTAATCTGGCTTATTTGCCCAAGGACTATAAATAATATTAACAATAAATTTTACATTGAATAAATGATTACTTCATAAATTTATTATTCTGATAATTAATTCAAATAGCTTAATTTAATATTGTAATTGAATCCAGCTACAAGTTATTCATGAACACTAATTATTTAATCAAATTAGAATCCTTCTTTCTAAGGATTGAACTTAGTATTCACAGCATTAATTGCTTCATCAATTACAAGGGAATTAGAATTACTAAACTTATTCTCATCTAATTTATTCCATGCTCCTGATACTTATCTCTTAGATCCTCTTAATTAGTTTAATTGTTATGTGGGATCAATTTAGTTTGAATATGAAGATGATGAACTTTATGTACTTGTTTCAGGAAGATTATCACCTTATTAAGAATATTATCTATCAATTTCTGTTTATTGGCTATTTATTGTTGTTTGATTTCCAATGCTATTCAAAACACTATCAACATTTGTTTAATTAAATATGTTGACAGTTGATGAGTTTACTTATTAATTCACTTAACCATCCTAAGTTTATTAATCGATTTATCTAGTATTTACAATATTATTAGATGTAAGATTATAAATATTTTAATTTTAAGTTGAATTTGATGTTTTATTGATATCTAGGTGAGTGGTATTCGCTGTATTAGAAGTTTATGATTAAAATGATCCTTGACCTCCGTTGTTTTATGTAGTACTATTCATAGTATTATGGTAGGCTTATTGATTAAGACTTTCAAGATCTTAGGTTTAAGTACCATTTTAATATTCGTTTATTTAATGGGTTTAGAATACATTATCTTGATTGGATTAGACTGCTGATGTGTATGAGTCATTCGACTTTTATTAGGTTGAAATAGTCTCTTATCTTTAATCAGAACTTAAGTCTATGGTTTCTGAGTTAATAATTCCATTTTAATTAATTTGTTCATATTGATGTGAAGAATAAGATGATGTTGAATTTTATACCTTGTTACTATTTGATTAGTGGGTATTAATATCAAATCTCTTATTTATTGTCTCTTAGTTTTGACTAGAACTGCTGTTGCTGTAAAAGAATCTTTCACTTTCATTATTAGAATCTAAATAATTACGTTCTGATTCATAATCATTTGTAGATGATGATCTATTTACTTGTGAATTAATTTAGCCATTTTGAAGATTTAATTACCCTTTACTATCTTTTTCTTTATTTTATGAGGTATAATTTCCAAAATATTAATCACCTTCTTATATGTTTTAATTATTTTAGTATTAATAGTTTGTTTGTACTCCAGCTTAACTATAAACAAGAGTTCCATAGAAAATAATATTTTTCTCCCCAGAAGGAGCATAATTTACTACTGGATATTCTGCCACATAAAGGTTAAATTATAAAGTGGCATTTCTATATATAGTATTTCCTTTTGAATCTTTAACCTTTGTTAAAGTGATCAATTCATTATCTTAGTAGTAATACCATACATCTTCATTATCATTTTAAAATTATGGTCTATACAAATCAGTTTAATTAAATATAACAATCTATTAGTATTGCTACATAGATTAATTATAAAATAGAACACTTTAAGTTTAGTTAATCAATATTTATACAATATCTTGGTTTCTTAATTTCAAGCTTATCTTAGATTATTAAAGTCTTTATCTGGCAGTAGATGAAAGATTAGAATTATTCGATGTATTGCTTAAATTATTTTAGGAGTAATAGTTTGTGCTTTAATTTAATTATGGATATGAGTAATTATATTATTATGGATAACTTGAATTTGAATAGTTAGTATAATTAGTTGAATTTATGGGATAACTTGTATTACTGTAATAATTAGCACTTGTATTATATTGTGGATAAGAGTAATTATATTATTATGGATAACTTGAATTTGTATAGTTTGTATAATTAGTTGAATTTATGGGATAACTTGTATTACTGTAATAATTAGCACTTGTATTATATTGTGGATAAGAGTAATTATATTATTATGGATAACTTGAATTTGTATAGTTTGTATAATTAGTTGAATTTATGGGATAACTTGTATTACTGTAATAATTAGCACTTGTATTATATTGTGGATAAGAGTAATTATATTATTATGGATAACTTGAATTTGTATAGTTTGTATAATTAGTTGAATTTATGGGATAACTTGTATTACTGTAATAATTAGCACTTGTATTATATTGTGGATAAGAGTAATTATATTATTATGGATAACTTGAATTTGTATAGTTTGTATAATTAGTTGAATTTATGGGATAACTTGTATTACTGTAATAATTAGCACTTGTATTATATTGTGGATAAGAGTAATTATATTATTATGGATAACTTGAATTTGTATAGTTTGTATAATTAGTTGAATTTATGGGATAACTTGTATTACTGTAATAATTAGCACTTGTATTATATTGTGGATAAGAGTAATTATATTATTATGGATAACTTGAATTTGTATAGTTTGTATAATTAGTTGAATTTATGGGATAACTTGTATTACTGTAATAATTAGCACTTGTATTATATTGTGGATAAGAGTAATTATATTATTATGGATAACTTGAATTTGTATAGTTTGTATAATTAGTTGAATTTATGGGATAACTTGTATTACTGTAATAATTAACACTTGTATTATATTGTGGATAAGAGTAATTATATTATTATGGATAACTAGAATTTGTATAGTTTGTATAATTAGTTGAATTTATGGGATAACTTGTATTACTGTAATAGTTAACACTTGCATTATAATAGGGATAAGAGTAATTCTACTATGATGGGTTACTACTTATATTGTTATTTAGAGTTTAGTTTTAGGGTTATTCTGTATAATTAATTGATGAACTTGGATATGATGTATTTGTATAATTATATTATTTTTTATTTACTATTGGGAAGAATATGGATTTATTGGCGGAATCGGCTAGTTTAAAAATATAATATACCTATTTTCTCACTCTTTCTCAATTATTTTTTTTCTTAGCTCATATTCTCCAAAACATCACTCAGTTGTGTTATTTCTTCCTCAACTTGATTGTTATTCATTATTTTTTTAAGTAATTCTTCCACGGAATCTTGTCTAGCATAGCAGCTAAGTACCAAAAAAATTACTATCAACGATAAACTTTTCATTAAAAATAATATTAAAGAATAAGGATTTGATTTCCGAATTTTTATATGATCAAATCTTCTTATGGTATTTATTTAATAAATTATTTCTGAATTTAATCAAATATCAACAGATTTAATATAATATTTATTTTTATTTTAGGTATATTCTTTTACTAAACATGTTTGTTCTGCTAACAGTAATAATTTTATGAAATAAAAGAAATTGGAAAACTAATTTTAGATTCATCAATGAATTCAAGTAAAGATGTTTTTTTGAAGATAAAAAATAAATAATACAAATTTATAAAATATGTATATATTTAGACTGTGATTTTAAAACTAAAAATTTGATAGCTTTAATTCCAACACTTCGATAAAATAATGTTTATTATTGTTTACATATGGAAATAAAAAATTTTAATTTTTATTATGAAATAATAAATTACTAAAAAAGGATGGACGATTAAAATATAAAATCATATTCTAAGAATAAAATAATGATTTTAAATATTTTTCTAAGAAATTAGAAATGAATACTTTTGTATTATGGCGAAAATTTTCATTAAATAATCAATTTATATTTTTTTTTTTCTGATTTTTTCTAAATTTTTCAAGATTATTAGATCATAATGATAATTTAAGCCTTATAAATATTTATAAAGTAGCTAATATGAACATCATTTTTTAAGATTTCTTTTTAACATAATTATTATAATTAATATATTAATTAATCTGTAAAATGGGCTTACAACTATCAATATAAATCTAAATATTTTTTGTAATGATATCACCCTTAAATAATTATAAATTGCAAGCTTAATAAGAAAGTAGGGTTGGAACTTCTCAATTAGGAGATGATGTCAATGAGATAAATATAATTATAGATAAATAAACTCCTCCTAAAAAATGTAATGAGTATAATAAGTATAAAAATATTTAATTTTTATATTAATAATATATTGATGATTTTACTGCTAAATTTTAGATCTACTGTCTATTCCACCATTTATTTAGGAACCAAAAAAACTTCATTTTTTATACTGCTTTAGAGAGGAAAGAGATCAAAATAAATTGAAATTAAAATAAAAATTTCTTTATTTACTAGCAGAAACATTTAAACTTAAGGTTTCTTCAAAAATAACCAATGTAAGGCCTTATAAAATCTTTAAAATTATAGACTTTAGAATAGCAAATGAAACAATAAGAACTTAAAAATAAATGAAATTAATAAGCGGATTTCTTATTTAATGCTCGATAAAAAAAGTTTATCATAAAAAAATTTGATTTTCTTAAATTTTATAAGAGAATTAAGGCCATAATCTGATAAGCAGAAGCTAATTTGGACGAAAGCTGCTTGTTAAAATAATATATAAAATTTATGATAATAATAAGTCTAAAATACCATAAATTGGAATCTTCTTCACTTGGTACAACTCTAGTTACATCTTAATTACACAGAAGTTGATTAATAAATAATAATGCTCTAAGCAACTTTAATTATTATTGTTTCAATAATTATAGTACTAGAAATATTATTTAAATAAATTAGAAATCATTTTGTATCAAAGTTGATTAAAATACTAAAATAATTTAAATTGAATTTTGTTAAAACATTATCATGAAATGTAATGCAAATTTGTAAAAAAAATCTCATTTAATTTAAAAATGTTATTTTTTTAATTAAAAAAGTTCATATGAGAAAGGTTTGTGAGTTTTGAATTATATAAAAACAATAATTTTGAATATGAAAAAGTAAGTAATAGTAACAAATTGAGACAAGTAGAAATAAATTATTTTAAATATTTTGAAAAGTCTTGAAATTATAATAACAGTAAAATAATGAAAAATAAAAGAAGAAAATATTCATATATGATATTTTAAAGGAGGATTGAAAAGTGTACCATTTATGAGTTTGAGAATTTAGAATATTGTGATTAGATTTTTGAACATTTATTGAAATATTTGAGTAACAATCGAAAATAAGGATAGAATTTTTAAAATGATGGGAACCAATCCATAAAAATTCGAGATTTTTTATGAGAAAATATTAATAATATTATTCACATACTTTTAGATAAATCAGTTGTACAAGATCTCCTCTTACTAAACATTTATTTTTAAAAGCTTTTTTTTCTTTGGACAATCTGCTAACTTAATCGTTTATTAACTAGATAATCAAAAGAGGAATTGACAGTTTTCTGAGGAGTAGTATTTGTATGAAATCGTTTGTCTTTGAGTTTATTAGGTTTTTCTATAAATTTGGAGTGACTTATTTTAGTTGACTGTTGGGTACATATTTCAATTTGCTTATAGTAATTAAGTTCATCTTTCAAGATTTTAACTTTTTGATAGAGTTCCTCATTCTCTTTTTTTAATTTCTAAAAACTAGATATCGAATGAATAGTACATTCATAGTTTTTTTTGTATTCTGTAATAATTCATCTCTATCTTATTGTAATTATTTGATCTAATTTTTCATTTCATCATACTTCTAATTCATGAGGTAGGATTCCTAGAAAGATATATAATAAGGTATTACTCTTATATGTACTCTAACTTCAGATTCATATTTCTATAATTATTTTTCTAATTCTTTGTAATCCTTCTTAATTTTGTTATTTTAGATATGTTCAATGATGATTGTGAGTTGTTGAACTAAATTTTGTGATTTGACAAAATTTTAGAATGATGTGATGTCACTTTAATCAGCTACTAGATGGTACAATTTAATTAACAATTAAGACACTGACATATTAATATTAATATATAGTATATAGAAATCATTTCAATCTGGATTTGAGTTTTGCTTAATAATCTAGATTATCTTTTTGAACTTTTTCAAGTTATTATGACTTTTCTAGAATTTTCATTCTTAATCTTTCAATTTCCTTATCTTATAATTCGCATTTACTTTGTAATTCATTAATAGTTATATTGTTTAATTTGACTTCCTCAGCAAACTTCTAATATTATTTGTGTTATAGAGCTAGATGTCTGTAATTATCAGCTTATCTTGATAAATCATTAATCAAACTTTCATTTTATTACTTTAATAAATTAATTTCCTATTCTTTAATTTAAATGACTTCATGAATCTTTTCGTCTTCTCTTTCTTAAGAATTAAAAGTATTTTTCATCTACATTTCAATAGCTACAATTTCTTCATCTTTATCAGCAATAATGTTATTCAATCTATTACATTCTCCTTCTAACATATTAGTTTTACATTCCAATTCTCGGAAATTATATTGATAGAATTATTTCAATTCATTTAATTGTTTATCTAAAGACTGATTGTCACTTCTCAATTGATGATTCTACTCCTTCTATTAAAGCAATTCTTATTATAAAAATTGAATTAATTTAGCCTTTGATTCTTAAATCTCTCTCACTTCCATATCTTTATTCTTTTGTTCATTTTCTATATTCACTTACAATCTCTTAATTAATTCTTAGTCTCTTTATAATTAAGTTTGAAGTAAACATATTTATTCAGCTTATTTTCCAGTTTATTAAATTAATTCATCTACTCTTTATTACAATTAAACTTTATGTTCCTAATAAGTATTACTGACATGTCTAAAATCACTCTCTAATTCTTTTACTCTACTATTAAGACTAGAAGCCTAAGTAGTCTTATTATCAGCTACATCTTTCAATTTCTTTACTGATTATAGTAAATCAAGATTTTAATCTTTTTAGAGTTAAAGCTTTGATTTTAATTCATTCAGATATTATTCCTAAGAATTTATTATTGTTTATTATTTCATCAGAGTAAATTCTTAGTCTTTTGATTAGAGATCAAATTAAGAAATTGCTTATTCTAACTTCTCTTCTAAATTATTATTAATTTACTTAACTTGAATCAATTCATTTTCCTAATTTATAAATCATAATTGTTACCAATACTTAGACTAAATTCTAATTGTTATTTTCAACACTTGATATCTTAGATAGATTTTATTACAACTTTGCTATTTCTGATTTGTATTACATAGTTTCCTATCTTAAACTTTATCTATGATTGATCTCCTATTGTTCCAATTAAAATTTTAAAGTAGCTACATCTTATTTCCAATTTATATCTAATTGTCTTATGGCATCTAAATGAGTCTTCTCTTATACCTCATTTTTATGTTACAGTAACTCTAATTGATTCTAACAATTAATTGTTGATAAATTACTTTTAGGTCTTAGTTCTCAGCAAGAACTTTCTAGTTTTCCATAGTCATTGTTATTGATGGCTATTATTTAAGACGATCTTTCAACTTTTGATTCTCTCCTTACAATCTATCTATTTCTTTAAGGAATGTCTCAATTTCTGATATAGATTTACATCCTTTCTCAGGGTTTCTTTCGATTGAATTAAAAGATTATAGTGGTTATCTGATGTTCATTTTGTTAACGGATAAAATTAATTAATATTAAATTAAAAATTTTATTCACATATATATACAAATTAAAGGTGGGGGGTGATTGATGCTCTATCACATACCAACTCGACTAATTATTTAAATGTTATTTGGATCTCCATTTTATTTTACTTTATATCCACAACATTTTGCCTTTATTGAATTCTATTTAAGGATATAATTTTTATTTTATACTGCCGCAATTTTATTTCTAATCAACTCATCCTTAAAAGTCTTTCTATGTGCAAAAAGTATTGTCTTAGCTGATGAATACTTTATTCCAGCCTTACTAGCTGCCTATTTACAAAATTTAGAAAAACTTTACATCCTAGATTTTATAGCTTTCAAATAAAAAAAGCTAGAGGAACATTTACTTTGCCTCAGAACTTATATATGTGTAATTTCTTGGTTTTTGTTCTAGTTTTCTCTTCTTTGTAAAGTGGCGATGCTTTATAAAGGTGAATTATGTCTAGTCAACTGAACCCATGACGTAATCAAATTACGATGTATTTATTAAAAAAATTATTTGTTTCAAATTATCAAAAGCTAATTATCTTAAATCATCAAATTATTTAATAATGATATTATTTATTATGAATGACTAATAACTAATCTGAACATTTTAAGCATATTAAAGTCATTAAAAATTAATTACGCAACCATTATTTAACTTTTAGCCAATTTTTTAACTTAAATAATTATATAATAACAATTTCTCAAATTCTTAATTCAAGGCTTTTTCAATATTTTAAATATAATAACTAAAAACATGAAAATTTATAGAAATCAAAGCATTATCCTCTCATTCTCTAATTCAAAGGAATTATGATCAATAATCAAATCAGTTGACAAAAATTCAATATAAATATTCTATATAAAATTATTATTAAATGTCAACTAACGTAATTCATTTTTTTCATTTCTTTTTTATTTTCTAAATATGAACTCAAATATACTTTATTTATGCATAACACAAAGCGATTTTCAATTTTTTTAAGTTTCTTAGTCCAGCACCTAAAAAATTTTCAATAAGTAAAATTCTTTAGACTTTTATCATTTCTCATCATAAAGATCATCCTCAAAGCTTTTTCAATCTACTCAAACATGTTTTTTGCTTGATTTTAATGTCTTATTGTTTTTTCACACAATAAATAATTATTTAAAACATGCAAATAAAAATTATATCTTAATTAATTTCAAGTTCTTTTCTTTTTCTAAGCTTCTTAACACTAATTAAAGATTCTTAGAGTATTAAAAATTTCTAATATAATTAAATTTTACCATAAAACCTATTAATAAAGCAAAATATTATTCTAGTTTAAGTTTAAGGATTTTAGTTCAATATTTCAGAAAAACCATTAAACAAATCTATTTCCAAATAGAGATTTTAAGCGATCTTAATTCAATTTTAAAGATTAATCAAGACTTCTATTGATTCTAAGAATTCTGCCTTTTAATTTGAAATGAATATAAAATTTTTTATTTCTCTCAATTTAATAAAATTATTATACCTATATAAGAGAATCTTGGTTCTTTGATTTTTTCTGATACTTTTGCAAATATTCTTTATAGTATTTCTTTGTTTCTTCTTTTAAATTAACATCTAGATCATAATTCACTAGTTCAGAGTTGTAGATATACTTATATTATATTATTAACAACAAAAACTTTTCCTTTTAAAGAAGTAATATTTTATTTATCTTTATAGTTAGGTTGCAACGGATAGTTTAAATTTAAGAATCATTCTAAAATAATAATAAATTGTAAATTATAAATTCCCTTCTCAATTTAATTATTGATAATAATTTGATCTTTTTCTAGCCCTTTTTCATATAGTTTTAGGCTTTTAGTATTATCATTTTTTTTAAATAAATATCAATGTCGTTTCTTTAATTATCTGCTATCTGCTTCATCCTTTTCAATTCTAATTTTAATTGTTTTTTATATTATTCCTCAACCTAATCAAATAGTTTTTCTTTTATTTCAATAAAGATTCACATTAAATTAAAAAATAGATGCCTAGCTCAAAATCTGAAGCAAAATTATTCTCATTCTAGCGAAAAATCTCTATATACATTATGTTTAATAATTAATATTTTGCTAGAATTTTAAAGGATATCTCTATTGTAATCATATTGCTTTACCTCTCCCTATTAATTTTAAGATTTTTCTCTAATTAAAAAACTTGTCAAAAATTTAATTACTATGTTCAGTCCAATAATTAATTTTTACTTAATTCTATAAATACTATTAAATTATAGGCCTGAGGAAGATTAACAAAAGATCCATTTATAATCGAGATTTCTTACATAAATATAAATATAAATACATTTTTTAGAAGTACAAATTTGAAAAGAAACAATTTTAGATTTTAAAGAAAAGATTCAAAATGAAATTGATTTATACTTTTAAAGATAATTTAAAGAAGTATTAAATTATCTATAAAATCCATTTGCTAAGCTTGAAGCTTTGTCTAAATGACTAATACAAAAAATAAAAATATTTTTATAAAACTTGATTATACAAAAAACAATTTAATGAATATCTAATTCAACCTAAATTACAAAAAAAAAATATATAATATTTTTATATTAATCAAAAAGTACCTAAATACTGTCTTATAATATTATAAGAAATTAAAAAAGTAGGAATAGTAAAAAATAAAAAGAAGATCACACGAAAAATATAAGAAATAGGAACGATTGAATTAGGGGAAACTATTAAAGAAGTAATAAAAACAGAATATTGAAAAATAGTAAGATTCAGAATAAGAATAAATAATTAAAGAAAATGTATAACAAATCGTCGCTGAACCTCCAATAAATTTAGAATAGATAAAAGATGAAAAAATCAAAGTAGATGCTGATGGAGTGATTATCACAGATGCAGTATTAAAAATATTTGAAGATAAAGTAGATCCTTCAAAAATGAAAATTGGATATAAAAAGAAAATTTAATCTTACCATTTTACGTATGATACATTTAGTAAAGTAACTGAATATATGAACTTTGATTATATTCAAAATTTAGAAGAATTGATGTTGGCTAAAAAATTAATCGAACTTGACACTTGACTTTAGAAGATAATATTCTTACCCAGATGAAGAATAAAATACTGTTAAAAATAGGGAAATTGATTAAAAAAATTAATCAGTTCGTTCGATAACACTTCATTTAAAAAGAAAACAAAGTTTATAGTAGCAGTTATTAGTATAAAATTAAGAATGATGATATTAGTAACTGAACTATTAGAAATTATAATAGTAAGATTTACATCATTAATAAGTAAAACAAAAATAAATTATAGTTTTAAAAGAAAGCCAAATGAAGAAAATACCAGATGAGGCTTTTAAGGATTTTATGAAGGTTCTAGAATATTTGTGAATAATGTAAAAACAATTTTAGGTTTATGAGTAAAATTACCATTTATTATAAGCATATTTATAGAAGTATAATAAATAATATATTCTGATTAATTTTATATATATTATAAATTAAAATCAAATCTGATTGGATGAATCAATTTCGATAAGAAGATAATTAAAAATAAGAGATCTAAGATGATAATCTAATGTTTAATATAATTTTTATTTAATAGAAGACAAATACCTAACTATAGTAGGTTTCTACCTATAGCAAATATAAACAGAATCATGAAGAAGGCACTTCCTGAAAATGCAAAGATTGCAAAAGATGCTAAAGAAACTGTATAAGAATGTGTTTCAGAGTAAATAATAATTTAATAAATAGGTTTATATCATTCATAACATCAGAAGCTTGTGAGAAATGTAAGAATGAAAAAAGGAAGACAATAAATGGAGAAGACTTACTGTATGCCATTAATACATTAGGCTTTGAAAGTTATGTTGATATATTAAAACTCTATTTAAATAAATATAGAGAAGTATGAAATGCATAATATATTGAATAGGCTGTCAAAGCTGTAGAGGGAACAACAGGAGCAACAAATTAAAAAAGGAAAAGACAAAATTCATCAGATGATGATGACGAAGATGATGAAGAAGATGAGGAAGATAATGATGATGATGATCAATCATGAACATATATTCAGATATAATGTTAATAAGTTTATTTAATCAATTCTAATGTTCATTTTAATTAAAAAAAAGAATAATCAAGGTTTAACATTTTTTATTATTAAATTCTCGATTGAACTATCTGTGTTTTTAACCATATAGAGTATGCTATCTAAACAATCTCGTAAGATGGTATAGAAATCTAAATCATTCATTTTTAGTTATATTCGACTTAACTATAAACTATAGTAATCATCTTTGTAATTTTTTAAATAGTGTTTTTTTATTTATTGATGCAATTGTTATAATGAGTTTCGAATTTCATTACTTATAATTTATAAATTCTAACATTTAAGATAATTAAGAGAAGTTTGGATTTAATTTTTTTCATATTTCAGTTATTCATTATCTCTAATAATTAGTTAACATTATTCTTCTAATTTATCCATTTCAGGTTGAATATTATTAAATTAAGTTAATTATTTAATAAGACTCTTATTTTACAAATCTAATTATGTTATTTTGTTTTATTATTCTCTAATAATTCCATCTTTCTATAATAATATGGTTAAAAGTTGTTTTTTTTCTCTTTAGATTTACTCAAGTACTAATGCATAGGAATTAGTTTTTGTTAATTTGTTATCTAATTATTGATATTTAATATCTGTTTTGATGAATGTAGTTTAAGATTTTTTTAAGAGATCTTCAATTTTGGAATTGACTTGTGTAAGTCTGGAATTACTTTATGGAGTTTAGATAGTAGTAATATGATTTGATCTAAATGATAGATTAGTTAGATGAGTGGAAGTAGATCTGGAAAACTTCATTTATGGGTAGTTATAATTTGTAATTTTAATTTAATAGTTGTTTAAGTTAAGTAAGTGAAGATAATGAGGATATATTAGTTTAATATGAATAAGAATATGTTTAAATATATAAAATAATGAATTTGACAATAAATGAAATACGGAAATCAGGGACTCATGTATAATATATGATTATGACAGACAGAAGAAGAACTAAATCAATTAACATTAGATGAAAACATGGGAGAGTTGAGAAGAGCACAATATATTCTTTAGAGAGGTCATCCAATTTAAAAATATGCAGTATGATAAATAATAATTAGATATACTCAAACATTCACAAGTTATTTAAGGTGAGTGGATTTAGTTTGTTACTTCCAATAATTAATGAAGATTTAGTGAAACAAGATGAAGACACAATAGGAATTGCAATTAAAGAATTTTTGTTGATTGCAAAGTAAATGAAAGAGAAAGAGTAATAAATGTTATTAAATCAAACATTTTATTTCATGAAGAATTATGTACTAAAATTAGGAGATGGATGGTTTGAATTATTTGAAATGTTATATTGTTGTGACATACATAATTCAATTAAGTTGATAAATGAATTAACTGATATTGATGCTGATATACATTGGCGTTAGAGAGGTGCTCGATTATTACAATATATACCTTAGATTGAACGAATTCAATTACTTTGTATGGATAAAGATCCACAGGTAAGGTATGAGATTGTAAAAACAATTTAGATTGTTTACTGTACTTTTACTCCTGAGAAATTTAGTACTTATTTGCAAATGAAAGTATGTAAATAATATAATAATACAAGATTTTTGAGTTGATTTATGATTATGACGTATAAGTAAGAATGGCAGCCATTGAAATGTTTTTTATGGTTTAATCTCATTTATAAGATAGGGAAAAGATGATAACAAAATAGTTCTTTGAATTTCTAAGTTCCCAGAATGTATAAATTATAACAATAATGTCAAGAATTTGTGGGAAAGTATTAATGGAAATTATGGATGTAAAACCTGATATATAAAAATTTATAAAAGTGTTCATCTCATTTGCAGATAATACAAATGAGGAATACCGTATAAACTTTGCCTATAATTTTCCAGCAATTCTCTAAATCTTAAAAGGGGATTGTTACGATTAATTGAAAGAAACTTATTTAAGATTAATACAATTTGATACTTCAATATAAGTTAAGAATTTGCTATTAGCAAGTATACCAGATGTTATATCTACTTTAAAAATTCATAAAACTCAATCAATAATTCCTTTAATTCGTAAAATGCTTGATCATCCAATCATTCAATATAATCTCTATTCAATTATATATGCTCTTTGGCCAAGTTATGATTAACAAGAGTAATTGATCTTATCAGTAATTAATTATTTAATATCTTGTATAGAAAATGTTGGTCAATGATATATTAATAGATCTAGTCAAATAATTAAACACTAAAGCAACTGTAGTATTATTAGAATAATTACTAAAGTAAAACAATTTTATATATACAGAGACTTCACGAGTTCTTTTAATAATGTGATACCTATCTCCTCTTATTAGGTCCTCTTTTAAATTTATTATCAGCAGATTCTTTGAATATTAGAACATTAGCTGCACAAAATATAGCTTATTTGGCATATCATGATTAGTATTCATAATTATTACGAATCATAGATCTATTAATAATCAAATGATAAATTTATGTATGAATAGCAATAAATTCAGAATGCGTATCTGTTATATAGATTTCATTTCTTAAACTATTGATCTATGTTCTAAAAGATATTTTCATGTCAATAATTTCATCAGCATTTTAGCACTTAATTAAGATAAAATTTTTGATGTTCGTATTAAACTTAGTCGTATCATGAAAAAGATTTAAGCAATCCTTTTAGATAATGATGAAACTGCATGTGCAGCATATCATTAAGCAATTAAAAATTTATAACGTGATCCAATCATAAAAGAAGTAAATATTTTAAATTATTTTAGATCTTAAAGTAAAATGAATCATTGTCATTTTAATTTGGTGATGATTTCTTAAAAGAATAAAAAGAACATTTATGTTTAGCTAGAGTATCTGCTGATGATATTGATGTTATCGAAAAAAATGAACATACAGGATCAATATCACCTTTCATTATTAAATCTAAGAATGCCTATGGACATACTAGAAAAAGATCATCAATAACTCGTTAACCAATTAATAGATCATAACCAAATGCTTCATTTACTCAAAAACTTACTTAAATTCAAACTAAATATAATCCAATTAAAATATCTGAAGATATGAGTCGTAGAACTTCTGTTCCTCCTGTTCCTGGTCGTAAATTACAATTAACTTTAAAACCAACCAATACTCAATTGAAACCCAAATTAAATTAATAACGATTGAGAAAATGAATAATATATTATATTATTTTAATGGACCCTTAACCAAAAAAGAAAAAGTCTGTTTCTTCTAAATAAGATAAATCATAAGCAGGTAGTGTAAAATCTAAGAAATAATAACCACCTGGAGAAATATTAGAATAATAAAGTATACTACAATTCAAAATGTTAGATTCATAACATGATATTCAAATAGATGATCATCCCTAATAACATGATCCCTTTATTCCATCTCCTCCTTAACAATAAATTAAAGTTTGCATTCATCATAATCTTCCATTCCAATTTTTCTGTGAAGCTTGTGAAGATCCTATTTGTTAACAATGTACGATCTTAGGTCCTCATAATACCTAATTACATCGAATCAATAGATTAAGTGATTCTTTTAAATTACGTTGTGCTAAAATTGAAGAATCTATCAAAGCCAATCTACTTGGAAAAAGAGAATAACTGTTAGCATAAATTCATAGAGTAAATTAACAAATCATTTTTTTAGATAGAATATAGAATTGAAGAAATTAAATATGTCAAAACCATTATAGAGAGAGATGCTAGAGCTGAATTCGGTGGAGTTTTAGAAAGATTAAAATAAAGTGAAGGATAAAAATTAGCAATACTAAGTCATGAAATATCTGAATTATAAAGGTAATATTTTATGATCATTGCTAGAGATTTAGATAAAATTAATGAAGTAGGATCGTAATTTTATGATCTCAAAGAAATTCCTGATCCTTGTCCTTTCCTTCTAAAATCAAGGAATATTTATGATTAAATTGAATATATGGTTGCTAAACCATTTAAAGTTTAAATTGATGTCTATCCATATGATTTACCAAGAGAACTTACTGAATTAAGATTATAATTGCAAAGAGCATCTGCTTAATAATAGTTGATAGAATTTAAAAATGAAATTATATGGAAATTATTAAGTGAAAAATAAATTGATGAAGAAACTATCAAGTAAAAATACTTATTCATATCAATAATATAGATAAGAATTGGAAAGATAAGCAAGTGAAGAAATAAATGAATGGAGTAAATTGGTTGATAAGTTCTCATAAGAATTAAGAAAACAATAATTAGTTTGTTATTATTGTGGATGCAAAATGGAAAAGTAATATGTTAATTCAATTTGTACATAAAACAGATAAGAATAAGATTGTAAATAATTATAAATAATCTATAAGATGATAAAGTATTTTGTAATGAATAACCACCATAAAATCATCATGGTACTGGCAGACATTATTTTGCAGATCCAATTTTATGAATACATATTATATTTATTAATTTAATTTCTTAATATTCATTACAACCAATAAATAATGAAATCTATATATATTATGAGAATTTTAATTTTTTATTCTACAAATCATAATACTCTATTGTTATTGTTAAATTAATTATAAATTAAAAATTATATTAAAAATATGAACATTTATAATCTAATAGAAGTTATTAAACTCACTGAATAAAGAGGTCAAGAATTATTAATAGATGCTTTAATAATTGGTATAGAAATAGGTAGAAATAATCTAAAGAACATCCAATAAGTTGAATCAATTGTTGAATCACTTAAAAAATTAAAGTGTAAAATAGATTTAAGTATATTATCACCTTTTTTAAGAAATGAAATATTTGATAATGTACTTAATTAAAATGAAAAAGTAAAATAATAAATATTTAATTTAATAGTTAGAAGAAAGTCTTCAAAATGTATAATTAGAATTTTAAAGACAATCTAAATTAAAATAATAAAGTAATATTTGTTAAATTTGTAACGAACATGTAGATGATTTAAACAATTAAAAATTCAATGCATCCTGCAAACATCAATTTCACAGAATTTGTATAATTCATTTCTTGAATCAAGGATTAAATGGTGAAGATTATTTTAAATGTCCATTATGTGGATAATAAACATTATAATAACAGATTGAAAAAGAAATTAAAGAATAAACCGCTTTTAAAAAATCTTGTTGTCCTAATGCATTTTGCAAAACAAAATTCTTATTTGTAGGGTAAGAAATTTATAGATGTAATTAATGTAAAAATAGATATTGTTTGAAATGTTAATTAGTAAATCATCCAATAAATTAATGTAAAAAAGATAGAAAACATACATAATTTGAAATGGGAGATAATTATAAAGAATGTCCAAAATGTAGATCTTGTTGGGTAAAATAATAGGATTAATAAAAAATTATGAAATGTGTATGTGGACATAGTTTTTGTATTGATTGTGGTGTAAAAGATGAATATTGTAATTGTAATAGGGTTGGTGGAGGGATTTACTAAACTTATAGATGGTTTAAAAAAGTATTATCAGGATAATGATATGATTACCTATATAAAAATAAATTAATTTATCAATTTTTAATTATTAATGAATTTTTAAGGCTTTTTAGTGAAGAAAACAATTTAACAGTTTCCAATTCGACATAGACCTGTATATTATGAAGACTATGCTGATTAAAATTTCGTATTGTTTATAAATAAGAAATTGGCTGATTTGCGATGTATTGTTTAGAAATAGTAGTTAAAAGTGGCAGTAACGATCTATCGGCAAAGCGCATCATGAATTTAAAGATTAAGATTCCAAAAGATAAACATACTGATGGACCAAAAGTAAAGAGAAAAACATCTCTTAAACATAAAACAGTGTCTGCGGATGAGTTTGATAAGAAATGTAAGTACAAATACAGATCTACATAAATGAAACCTGAATTGAAACTTGCTTCTTATTTGAATGATGAACTACTTAGATAACATTAAATCTCTTAATTATTTTAAGAATATAAACTAGCAAATTTAAAAGCAAATCTTGTAAAATTGAAATCAAAAAAAAATTATCAATTAAATGAATTGAATCACATTGAATTAGAGGATGATGAATAAGTTAAGTTTTTTCTTACAGAAATTTGTAAAAATCATCCTGAAATTGATGTTAGTCAATTATTATAAGTAGATGTTGATAAAAAGTAAATAAAAATTGAGACTTAAAAATAAACATTGTAAGAATTGATTGAAAAAAGAATTAAAAATGAATAAAATGAGAATTTTAAAAAAATGGAATAATAATATTAAAAAAATTTAGTTAATATCTATAAGGAAACTAGATATGATTAATTTGAACCTGAATTTAAAAAGCAAGGATAAATAAATATTTGTAAAATAAAAAAATAAAAAGAGATTTAAGATAAAATGTTTTCTGAGATTTTTAAAATTAAACATCCAATATCAGAACATAATAATAAATAACATTATTTTCGTAGATAATTTAAAAATCTTAATAAAAAACATTAACCTGCAAAATCATAATAAATCTAAAAAAATATCTTTCTTTCTTAACCAGATACTATTTAAACTACTCCTTAAACTTCTATTATTCAAGAATTTAAAGGAAATCCTCTTACTACTTCTATTGGAACTTATAGTGATATTAAATCTCCACTTAATTCTTTTAGAAAAAATGATTTCAGTTTAAAATTAAAAACAATTATGGACAAATGTGAAATCATTGAAGTAGAATAAGCTAAATAAAATCAAATCATTTCAAAAAAATTCAAAATGATTGGTAAAGAAATTCATCAACATTTTGAAACTGCCAGAAATCGATATGAAAATGAAGAAATAGAAATTGATGTCAATGAAGGATTTGAACGATTTTTATAAGAAAATCAATTTAAAAGAAAATTAATCTAATATTAAGTTAGTCAAGTTTAAAATTTAAATGAAGTTTTAAGTTAAAAGGCAAAAAGAGAAATGACTAATAATTTTATGGGTTCAGATTCAGAAAAAAGAAAATTATTTTGATTTTAAGAAATATAATTATTTTATAATTATGAATATAAGTTAAATGTCTGAGTAAAGTTCAGAAGATAGTGATGAATCTCATTAACAAATTTAATAACATAGGTAAAGAAAATAACTTTCTGAGATTGATGTACTTATTGCTACATTAAATATTGAACCAAAATAAAGAACTTGGCATTAATTAAAATTTCTTTGTGATTCTCTTGAATAAAATGTTCATTATTTTTCTTAATTACGTAATAAGCTTACTACTTCAATTCTGATAAAATTGATGGCTACAATAACAATAGAGGAATTTACTACGTTTAATGTAATATTTAACTAAGGGGAAACTGGTAGAAAAATGTATATAATATTGAAGGGGGAAGTGGCAGTGTTAATAAAGACAGATGATTAAAATGAGATAATATAAAAAGAAGATAATAAAAGAAGAAGTAAAAGATATTGATAATTTGATTTAGGAGCAACAAAGACATTTGATGAACTGATATTATATAAGTTTTCAAACTATAGAATAGTAGCATATAAAAAATAATATGACTATTTTGGAGAGATTGCAATAGAGCAACGTATTCCTAGAACAGCTACAGTGATTGCAAAAGAGCCTTGTATATTGGCAATAATAACATTTGATGCATATTAATCTTTATTGAGTGAATTATAGGCAGATAATTTATAATTGAGATAAGTTGTGATAGCAAGGATGTATCCATTTAGTTTATTGAATGAATAACAATTTTAATAGATTTTACATAATTATGAGGAACTCAATATATAAGGAGGTTGTTTATTGCATAGAGAATAATAGAATGCAGATGCTATTTATTTAGTGATAAAGGGGGAAGTATTGGTTCAAATAAAAGAGTTAGTAGATAATGCAGCAGCATAGATTTAAGAATAGAAATATTTTGTAAATTTTTAAAAACAATAGAGAATCAAAAATATTGGTTTGTTTGGAACAGGATAAATTGTAGGAGATTATGAATTATATTTGAATAAGAAATACAAATAAAAATTAATAAGAAAAACAACAGCAATAGTTAAAAGTGACTCTAAATTAATAAGAATTCCTATCAAATAATTTGTAGATGTTATAGAACATGGATTATCTGCAAAATGGCTTTTACGTTATTTAAATTAAAAGTATGAATAGAAGGAACAATTACCTATTTTATAATTAAAAGATGAGTAAGATAACAGAAAGGTTCAATCATTCATATCACCATAATTTAAAAAAATGATACTTAGATTAAAAAAACATCATGATCACAATAAGATATCAAGTGATCGATATTAGTAGATTAATTATAAATAAAGTTTAGAAGATGCTAATATTCAAGAATAACCAACAGGATTAAAAAAAGAAATTAATTACTAAGATAAATCAGTTTTGAAATATTTAGCTAAAGATTAGATTTTACATAAACGCAACAATAACACTTTAACTAATTTTAGTATTGAAAAATTTGCTTTAACTTTAAAATCAAGAGTAAAAATTACCAAATTGTTAACTCAATTAGATGAAGAATCAACTTGTTATAGATTTCATTCTACACCAAGTAAAACTAACGGGTCTTCATTTAAATATGCCCAAACTCTTACTAATATTCAATCTCCTTAATAAAAATTTAACTAAACACCTAAAATGAATTGATTATTATTTATTTATCAATTTATATATAAAAATAATCGACTACCTGATTCATCAAAACCCAATAAATTACAGATTGCTATTAATACAAATTTTTTAATTATAAGAAGAATATTTAACATCAACGCTCTCTGTATACTTTACAATTAAAACAAGAAAATACATTAGATTTATTTTTATTTATTTAAATATATTGATGAGAAAAGAAAAAAAAAAGTCATGGTGACTTAAAAATTGAATGTTAATTAGATTGTAATAAAATTAGTAAATAATGTAAATATAATTATTATTGCATAATTACAGCAATTATAAATTAGTTGCCATAAAAAAGAAATCAGATAAATTTGGTGAAATTGCTATTAAGTAAAGGATTTCAAATACATCAACTATAGTAGTAAAAAGTGAGTGAGTTTATGCAACATAATCATATTATGCATATATCAAAGTGTTTTAGGCTTATTACAAGAATAAATAATGAAAAGAAAACTTGAGATAAGTTCAATCATATCTCCTTGCAAGAATTGTGTACAAACTTTGTATTATTATAAATTAAATAAAATTTCAAATTTTTAGTATTAAAATTTTAACAATATGATTCTGAGGAACAAACAATATATATAAACAATTTAATGAATTTGATTGGATTTATTTGATGATAGAGGGAGAGAATCTTGATATACTCCTGAAGTAGAATAGTAAATATAAAGATAATTATCAAAATAATAAAAATATTCATATTATTAATACTTCTTTAAATATTATTAAAAGCTTAATGAATAGAGTTTCAAATAATCAAGATAGATTTCTATTAGAAAGTAGAAGTGGATTTCAATCTTAGAGTATATTTGATAGTTGTCAATCCTTAATAGACGTTGATAGTTTTTAAAAATAATTCCTCTTGAAACCAAGTACGTGTTCTGAAAAGAGACTAATAAAATTTAAGAGTATTCATTAGTTTGAAAATTTATGAAAAGTGATTAGAATAGGATCTTGATTACTTTATATAATTTTATCTTGATTTATAAAACTTTAATGATACATTCAGAAGAAGACAGTGCTAATAGTTTTACACCTGAATCGTAATATTGATATATATTCTTTAGAAAAGAACAAAATCATGAAGAGTATAAAAATAAAGACTCCAAAAAATATGCCATAATCGATTAATCAATTCGTATTAAATTACTACGTCGTATAATTTCCAAATAGGCAACCATTAAGGATGCAGCTAAAGAGTTTGGTGTTAACTTTTCAACTGCTAAAGCAATTTTACAAACTTATAGGAAAGAAGGAAGAATAGGAAAGAAAAAAACTAGAGAAAGAAATAAGAACAAATAAGAATCTGGAGAAAACAGTTCTCCAAGAAAGATATAATCAATGTATAACTTAGAATAACCTCAATAAATGAGAACAATTTCACCAGAATAGAAACCTTAAGCATAACCGATAATTTAAACAATTTTCCCTGTGATGAGTTCACCTAATCTAGATAATGCTGGTGCATAGATTGCTTTAGTGCTTTGTTAAAGAGAATTAGCTCAATAAAAATTAATTAATTTCTAATTAATGATGATGATACAAGTAATTGAATCTTTATTAATTTAGAACTTCAAAAATATTTCACAATTCTAAGTCAAAGAAGAACCTAATATAATTAATTGAATTATATATATATATATATAATATTTATTTATCTATTATATATACAACATATATCATCACTATTATTATGGTGCCCTTTCTGCTGATTGTAATTCCTCTTATTTCTTTCATAAATTAATAATTACCCATTGGCATTTTTTTTACAAAAAATAACATCACAATTGTAATTGCTATCATGAAAAAATACTAATTTTGATAGATTGATGATAAGCTTAATTCTTCCTCTTTCTATTCAAATATATAATTATTGATTTTACTTCAAAATAATCTTTTCTTTAAATAATCTCAAATAACATCTAATCCCTTGTTTATATTCTTTGTTGTTTGCTTTATTACTACTATTTAGGTCTTTATCTTAAGATTGGATGAATTTTTGAAACAGCAACATTTGTACCTTTATTACTGGTATATACATCAATAAATGCTGATTCATAAACAAAATATCTAGAGTGAACTTCTAAGAAGTATCTTCCATTGGGGATATTGTAACTAGAATAGAATTTGAGTATTATACAATGCAAAGATTCCATTTTTTTAGGTGAAGGTTTCATATTACCCATAATTGAGTGTTACTTTGAGAATGGAATCATCTTGGACAAATTCTCTTTGTAATTCTGAAAAAAATAAAGATAAAGATTTTACAATACAAGACCTTGCCTTCAATTTTGGATTAAGCAGCAATGACAATAATGGGAAGAGCAAGGAGTATTGGGATATAAAAAATGGCCATTTAATATATATAATATTTATTTGTTATAATTTGAAAATGGAATAAGGAATTGAATAATGTGGATTTAGTAATCGATATAGATAAGTGGGATAAATAGTGAATAGTGGAAAGAAGATGATTAGAAGAGAGGAGGAGGGTAATAAAATAATAAGATTGGATAAATTGAGAAAATAAATAGTGAATTTAGAGATTGAAACAAAGAAACCAAAGATGAAATAAAAGAAACTAAATAGTGAGAACATGTTATTGAAAGAGAAATAACAGTTAGAGGATGACATTAAAGATATAAGTTAAAGATTAGAAAAAATGAAAGAGAAGAAGTTAGAGAATCGATAATAATTAAATGATTTGTTATAAGATAAAGAAGTAAAGTTTAAATTAACTATTGTATATAGGATTTTGAATAAAGATGGAACAATATTTAAAATGATGATGAGATACAAAGTTTTTAGGAACGAATGCAAAGTATGTGATTATTCATAATATTATTTTTTTGATACTAGCTCTCCTAAACGATGATTAGGAACCACCTAATAATGAAATAGAGATATTGACAAAAGAAGTAGAAGAGTTATTGTGCTTTAAAATAGATGATGAACCATAAATATAAGGAAAAAGGAAATACGATTTATTTACAATAGAAGAGGAATAATAGGATTTATCTTTTACTTGATTATATATATAGATCTATTAAATAATAATAATAATATATATTAATAATAATATATAATAAATAATAATAAAATAAAAATGAAATGTGTGACAGTTGAAATAGACGATGATGATACTTTACTGGAAAATAGAGATGGATCGATTATACAGCGTACCTTTTGCTGCTTACAACACTAGTCGAACCATATTCAAATGATGCCCAAATACAGATTACTCAAAGGAATGTTGAAAGCGATGAGGAAGGTTCTTAAGTGGATTCTCTAGATGAATAGATTGGATAGGCCATACCATCTCTTGTTAATTCTATTCTAGAGATGATGCTTAAATAATAACTTACTATTCTCATTATTGTAATCCTCCATGCTATTCTAAATACTATCTTCACATTTTTAGGAGTGTGTTTTAGATAAGATACTATTAATAAACTATAAACATTATTGGATTCCCAAGATAGAGCTGAATAATTATATTGGTTCCTAACTGTGATTGACATTGTTAGTTGTCTTATCTTCTATTATTTGGCAATCTCAGCATATAGAACCAAATCTTATTTAATGTATTAATTCCTACTCAAATGGGTTTATTACTGTTTCTTTATCTAAGTTTTTTTGGCATATATTAATAAGTAATTATTTAGGTTTCACTATTTTAGATTGAATATTTTATTAGTATTTCTAAAGATTCTTACATACATTTACTCTAAATTTGTAGCACAATTAATCAAAGGAATTGTCAATCTACCAAGATAAAGAGCAGATTGAATCATTCATTCATTGATTTACAATTAATTATTAGTTAATATTTTTACTTTACTCTTTTCTAATATTTCAACATCTCTCTATTTACTTTCATATCGTCTATTTTATCTCTTATTTCAAACCTTTTTCTATTTAGAATCATTATATTTATATTAAAACTTTTTCATAAATTTTTAAATTTTTTAAAAACTTCCTATTCTCGTACCAAATACAAAATAAACACAAAATTCAAGAAATTGCGCTCACTGTAAAACAAAAGGCAAATATTAAAAGGATTATTAGCTATTAAATAAATAATGAAGATGGATGACAAAAGATTCAAATTACTCTTAGGAGTCCATTATTTAGGCTCAACAAGTAAATTATGTTAATCACTTTTAGACTACTTTGCTACCTCCACTAAAACATCTACAATAAAAAAATGTGTTTAGACTCAAACTTACACTTAAGATTGTACTCAAAATGACTATTCAACACAATCTCCATAAATTATTAAGGTAAATATTCTAATATTATAAATCTAGAAAATCAAGACCACTGCAGATAGTACTTAACTTACATATGAAGATAATCTATATTGCCATGAAAATCTTAAAATACAAGATTATACATAAATGCCCATCAATTTTACTAATACAACCACTAATATACCTAAATAAAAAGAGTTCTATTTCATCAATCCACTCTATATCTAAGAATTCAAAGAAAAAGAATATAATTATAAAACTAGAGCCATCATACTTAATCGAATTCTTGATAATTGTATTAATATGAACAATCCGTATTTCCATAAAGCAATCTATTTATTTGATCTATTTTTAAGCAAAATTTAATGCAAGACAATCACTAATTAATAATAATTACGATTCCTATCATTAGCTATCATTTTTTTGATCACTAAAATGAATGTTGAAATTCCAAACATCAATATATTACTTTCATAATCATCACTTAATATGAGTAAATAACAATTGTTATAATATGAACGATTTATCCTTAAAGTTTTGGATTGGCATATAAATCCACTTACATTATAAGATGTATTTTATGAAGTCATTTTACGATTTTAAAGAACCTTTCCAAAATTAAATATTTACACTTCCAATCAACAACTTAATCTTAAGATATAAATTAACGATAAAGATATGAAAATTATCAACCAAATACTCAATGTTATAGTCTTAGATCATAACTATCTTAATTATGATTTAGAAGATCTTTCATTTTCCATTTTGTATGTTATCTACTCAAAGGAACTCAAAGATAATCAATTCGAAGATTTTTTAAAAGACCATAACAAATCCAAATAACAAATCATGGCTTCTATTAGATTTGTATCCAAATTTATTAGAGTCATTCAATAATTGGTAATAAATTATACTTAATTTTAGAATGAAAAATAATTAGACATAAATTCATTAGAAATACTTAAACTAGTTTGTGATTGATTTTTATTTATGTTATAATTTTTGTTTTTTTTATATTATAAATCTTATAATTCATCATATTTATTTAATATAAAATTTAATACTATAGTTCAACATGTTACTCTACTAAAATCCTTAACATGATAAAATTTGGATTGAATATTATTGCTTCTAGAACCAAGACTTCTATGTTTGAGATTAGATACATAAATCGTCAAATATTAATAATCAAACAAAAGGATTTAATGATTAATGCTCAAACTTAATTGATTAGATTGTGAGTTATTAATATGAACTTTAAGATTCTTTATAGGAATTGATATTCACGTTAAAACAGATGTTCTTATCATCATCTAATAATATTCAATAATTTAATTATGCTTAATTTGAATCTTATTTGGAAAGTCTCTTAAAATTTGATTAGAATAACACTTTAGTCAATAAAAAAGTATTGGACAAACCAAAACTTTTAAACAATAAGATAAAGGATACTATTCAAAAATTTCAATTTTCTTTAAGCCTAGGATGTCCTAAATTAAACCTTAAAATTAGATCCTAAAGATTAATGAATTAATTAGATATAGCAATGGATTGGCTGAAAAAAGGATACTTAATAAATCCAAAACATGTGTTAACTTTAATTAGAGTAGGTAAAAATAAGATGAAATAAATAATTAGGGGATTGTTTAAGAAAATAACGTAAATTTTAAGTAGCAATAAAATATTACAGTGAAGCTTTAAGTATTGATCCAACAGATTGATGGGCATCAGAAAAATTGGGTAATAAAATTTTATATTATAAGGTGAATGTTAAAACAATTTATTTAATTGATGTCAAGAATTTGATTGATATTAATTATATTAAATAAGAGTAGAATTTAGAATACTATATCAATCATTAGTTAATTTAACTACTTTAGCAGGAGTATTAGTTGTTAATTTGGTTGATGCAATTTTTCCTTTAATCCATTTTCCTCTGAAAGTAGTTCCATTAGATTTAATGATTTATCCATTACCATGTTAAAGTCCTCCTTTCCAAAGTCCTAGATATTTTTAACCATTAGGCCACATTAATACACCATATCCTTCTCTTTAATCATTTACATATAATCCATCATATTTCCTTCCATCTGGCCATTCAAAAATGCCTTTACCATTTTTAACACCATTTTTCCATTCTCCAGTATATGTTCTTCCATCTACAAAAGTGAATGTTCCTAATCCAGACATTAAATCATTTTCGAATTTTCCTTCATATATTGCTCCATCAGGATATATTAATTTACCAAACCCACTTTTAAACCCATCTTGAAAACTTCCTAGCCTTGGAATACAGATCAAATTTTACCCTCATATATCCAACCACTATCATATATTTATTTTCCATAACCATTAGGTAAATCATTCATCCATTCACCTTCATAATAAGTACCATCTGAAAATGTGTATTTCCCTCTACCTTTAACTTATCCATCAGCCCATGTACCTAAAAACAAATCACCATTTGAATGTTGAAATGTACCAGATCCATTTGGCTTATTTTCATACCAATCTCCTATGTAAAATGAATTTTCTGATAATACATACTTACCAAAACCATGAATCATTCCATTTTTCCATTAACCTTCATAATAAGCTCCATTTTACAGTTAAATACATGGCAATTTCTGCTGTTGACTTGTTTAGATTAATTATTAGTCTTTTTTTTATAACGGTATGAAACATAATCCATTCATTTCTGTAGATATTGCTATTGGATTACTTGCTGGTCGACTAATTTCTGAAATGGAACTAGCATCATCCTTAACTTCCTTATTAATATTTATGGTAATATCGGCATTGCAAAATTATTTTTCATTTGATTCTTATTCTTTATCCTTTCTAAGAGGTAATCTTTTTACTATCTATTAGATTTATAGAGTATTCTATTTCAATTATTAGGTTTCAGCTATAACCAAATCATTATTAGAACTCTTTTGATTTATGATTGAAGAACTATGTTTTTAAGCTGTCGATCTAGAAGATTTAAACTGAAATTTTCTAAGTTAAAATAGGATAATACTTTCGTATTACATACCCTCTGAAATTGGCTTATATTTTAATCACTCCTTTTATTTCTTATTTGTTTAACTTCTTACCAATTTTTTATTTACTCTTAGTTGTCTTTGTTGTCAAGATCTCTTGAGTCTTATTTGAAGCATTATCATTACACTGCTAGCAATTTCCCATTTGCCCTTACTCAATTAATAATATTTATTATTGTAGTTATCTAACTCACAAAATTATGATTTTCTTATGTAAAATCTTTTATTCTATAAACATCATCAATCATTACTAAAATCAATAACCTCAATCATTTTATGAAAAACAAAGAGTTCACCTATTAAGGATTATTCCAAAAGATTTTATATAAAGATAATAAAATCAATATATTCTTTATTCTAAATTACTCTCATATACATCAGATTTTACCATCTTCATATTAAAAAGTTTATTAAATATATCATATAGATTTATAAATTGAAATGCTCAATATTTTATCATAATAAATTGGTAAATCGTTGATTTGATTTAGAAAGATTATATTTTGAATAAAAGCAATGGTTTTATTTAGATATTATGAAATTAAAAACACATAAGATATTTGATTAGATTAATTATTATTGAAATTATTCTATTCTTACATGATTCAAAAATCTCCTGGTTATTATTTATGAATATCTACATTTCCATAGATGATATATAAAAGAACATTTATATTGTTTAAACACATTTGGAATCTATCGGAAAATAATGATTGTTGATTAAATGTCATTTATTATTAAATTTTAACTGTTAAGCCATGAATACTTTCTATGCATAGAATTTAAGTCTGAGTTAATTACGTTAATTGCCACAAGAACGTATGCATGTCAAAATGTATAAAAATGAAGAGTACTTTAAATATTGATTAAATAAGAATAACATTGACACCTCAGAGTAATCGTAGTTAATTGAATGAAGTAAAGTGCTACTCATATATATCAAGGCTATCGAAAATCTTGAAATGCAATGGCAATCTATACGTAGATAACATCTAGAACAACGTTCATGCAGTCGAAGTCCAGCCAAAAATAACCTCATGAATCAATTGCTAAAAAATAAGGATAAATAATAATAGTGTATTTTGAAAAAGGTTGTACCTTTATCAACCATCAACCTAGCCAAAATCTAAGATTAGCAATAATAATAATAATTTTAATACAATCCTTAATAATCTGCACAACGCAATCATCTTAAAGTAGTTAATTACTCATTTGTTTAGGATTCTTCTCATTTCTAATATATTGCCAATAAATATTGTAATATCTATAGAAGACCTAGTCCAGAATAACAATATTTAGTAAACTCTCTAAGAGAAAATGAATAAATCAATTATTCAATTGGAAGAAATCAAGTCTAATAATAACAATACTAAAGAAATAATCTCAAAATGTTAGACGAAAGGGTTAGAGTCAACTCTCAAGATAAATATGCTGCCTAAGCTTTATCCAACAGTAATATTATGAAGAAGGAAGGACCATAACGCAAAAGAGTTTCGCAATATTATAATAATGAAGAGAACAAGATTACTTCGGTTAAATCTGCAGGCATGTAAAACTAAAGAATTATTCCTAAAAAACGACCTTGATGTATTGTATTTTATAATGATAAATATGTATGTTACCAATATATTAATTTCATTTATATTAAAATAACAATTTGTGTCTTTAACTTAAAAGACATAGTCAATTTGGTTTAACTTATTAACAAATAGAATTAAAATCAACTAAATTGATTATCTTATTTGTATCTTATTACCAATCCCGAATATTTCCTTCATTTATAAAACAGTTATATGTAATTTATAATGTCAATAATTCGGTAATTTATATATATGGTTTTATAATTAAAATGAGGTAGATTTACTTTTGAGATAGATCTGATAAAGAATTTTGTTTAATTTATATGTTATTTTTTTTTCTATCTTTAAATACTCCACCTCTGTTTATTATCAGATAGACATTCTCAATTATTAAATCTAGATTAATTTCCTTCTTTTAAAAACAGAATTAATTTTAGAATTCTTCTTAGACTATGTAATCTAATAAATGAATATAAATAAAAATTATGTTTAAAAAGAAAAATTATTTATTTATAATCAAATATTATAATAATTTTTATGCTAAATGTTTTTATAATAAAATCATTCTTCTTAATAATTTAATTTATTTATTTGTATTATTAATTTTTTTAGTTAATGTTGTAAGAGTAATTAAAAAATTTAAAAAATGTAAATGGTAAAATCATTTGATAAAATGGTTTAGTTTACATTCACACAGCATATTAATTAAAATTTTATTTCATTGATGATTTGTAATACATAAGAGTAAATTTAAGAATTTTTAGCTTCTCTTTATTTAAAAAGCTAAAATTTTTTGAATTAGCATTAAACTATATTTAACTTTTAATGGAAGTGTGTATAAATTAGAAATTGTCTATATTTCTTATAGGAATGTAGTTATTTATTTGAAAATGAATGTTTGAGAATTTAGGAAGTATTTTGATGAAAGAAAATAGTATTAATTGATGTGAGATAACATCGATGTTGTCAAAAAGAAGAGAGTAATTTGAGAAAATTAATTAAAATGGGAAAATTATGGAACTTAATTAAAAATTAGCTACTAACCCTGTTAATGAGTATGCTATTAATTCTTTAGTGCATTTTTGGTTCTGAAGTATACTACTATTTGTTTGTGGTGTTATTATTGTAAATAACTCGTATGGTTTGGGAGTATTTTGAAGCATCATAATTTTAAGTGATGTTAATCATACAATATTTGGGATACATTGGAGTTCTGTATTTGAGTAGTGAATAAAATGTAATATCTTGCATGTGTATGATGTAAATAGGATAGACGTTATTATTTGAGAATAGAATGTAGAACTAAAAGCTAATAATATTGTATTCAATAGGAGCAGATATTCTTGTGCTTGTATTATTTATGAATGATAATGTGAAACAAATATATTTACCTTGTTTATCAATAGTAATGAAGACATTGACATAATTGTTTAACTAACCAAAATTAAATGGAAACCTTAAACTGAATCAAGAAAATTTATTTGTAGATAGCAATCATCATTCAACATATAGATTGTCAAAGGATAGAAATTTTCATTCGGATAGTTAACCACCAACTCCAAAAAGTGATCCATTTCAAGTGGAATTATTAAGTTTTTTTCCTTAAGGGATTGCACTGGTTGGATTAAATGATGAGATTAAGTTTTGTAATGAGAATATGAAAAAGATATTTGTATAAGAAGAAAGTTAACAATCAATTTTATAAGCAATATTTAGATTAGAAGAGTAATAAATGGTAGAGTAAGCAGAGAAGTAATCAATAGAACAACCAAAATAATCAATGAGTTCATTTTCTACATTTTAACCTGTACCTATACCAAAGACTATGTTTTAAAGTGCCTCTAGATCTTAAAATAAGTAATCAGGAACAGTGATTTAATAGAAATTAAAAGAGACTCCATTACCACGTGCCAAAACATCACATAAATTAATTACATTAAAATTATAGGATACTTTTATTAGTGAATGTTGTGTAAGTAATTATTTTATAAATTAGATAATTGATTAAGAGATTTAATGTATCAAAAAGTAGATATAAAAAAAAGAAGTTTAGAATCTAATGAAAAATACTCAATGTTATGTTTAAGAACATATTGTAGTGTTAGGATATATTAGCTCAGATAAACATAAAAGAAGATAAATTGAAGTTAAGTTATATTCTACATTAATCAATGATTGTCCTTATATTTTAATTGTTGCCAGAGATATAAGTCATAGAGATTACATTCGATCATTAAAGAATTATAGTAATCAGAAATCTAAAATGTTGGCTTTTGTCAGTCATGAATATAGAACACCATTAAATTGCATTATTGATTAACTTAATGAAAGTTTGAGAGAAGAATCTCGATATAGATCTGAAACTCTATTTTGTGAAAGAGATAAAGAAACTCATAAAAATGTTAAGGTTGCTTTATATACAGCTAAATAACTCTTAAATCTTTCTGATGATTTACTTGATTTAGCTTAGATTCGAGTTGGTAAATTTAAAGCAATCAAATAAAAATTCAATCTTAAAAATATGTTAAAAAGTTGTCTCGATTTATTCTCTGCTACTGCTGAAAAATAATAAATTGTCTTGACATTAAAATACAGTTCCCATATACCTAAAATTATTGAATAAGATTCAAATAGAATCAAATAAATTATTATGAATTTAATTGGAAATGCTTTTAAATTCACTTAAAAAGGAAATATTACTTTAGAAGTCACTTAAGGACAAGATAGAAAAAGAATTACTATATCAGTTATTGATACAGGAATTGGTATTTCAGATGATGATAAAATCAAATTATTTAAAGCTTTTGCAAAAGGTAATAGTGAGGAAAGTAAAAAATTGAACTCTCAAGGAGTTGGGTTAGGGTTATTAATAAGTAATTAAATTTTATAAAACCTCAATGGAGATATTTAAAATGGATTGAAATTGTAGTCTTAATAAAATAAAGGATCTACATTTTATTTTTCAATTTAAATTTGTGATATACAAGAAACATTTTCTCTTCATTAATTAGAAGAACGTAATCAAGAAAGTGAACATTCAGATTAGGAATCAATGGTTATTCCTGATGATGAGAAACCTTAACAGTTGAAAGCTACAAGAAAGAGTACAAATACAAAGAGATCTACAAGAGTTTCGATAAGTGATCCAAAAATATTAATCGTAGACGATGTATAATTAAATGTAGAAATGATTGCAAGAATGATAAAAGATACTGCAGTAGATTGGGCGTTGAATGGATATTAAGCAATATAGAAATGCAAAGAGAGAATAAAACATAATTAAGAATTCTATAAAGTTATATTAATGGATTTGGAAATGCCAATAATGAATGGATTTTAAGTATCATAAGCAATATTAAGTTTATGTGCTGAATTAGGAGCATCTACTACGATTATTGGGTGTTCGGCATATGACTCAGAAGAGTAGATGTAAGAATGTTTAAAAGTTGGAATGACCGCATATTTACATAAGCCTGTGGAATAGAAGGCACTTAAAAAAATCTTAATTAAATATCTATGAATTATATATTCTTTATTGCTTATATTATTGTTCAGATATAAAATATTTTTGCCCGGAATTTTATATAATTTAAAAATAATAAATGGACCCACATTAGATGTGTAAGAAATTGTAAGAAGAGTCTTTTAAAGAGAACGATGATGTAAACAATTAGATTTCTAAAAGAGCTGAGAACTCGAGTGGCCGAGATAGAGGCTAAGAATGCTGAATATTAAGATCTAATTGAAGGGTTGAAGTAAACTATAGAAGAGAAGGATGCCAAAATTAAACAATTAGAAGACACATTGGCTAATTTACAAAGCAAGCCTATCAAAAAAACTATCCAAAAGAAGAAAGATAAGAAGCCAACTAAAAAGTGATATAATAATTTACTTAAATAATGAAGAACAGACCTTAATCTGCTATTGTAAAACTCAAATCAGAGCCTTCAGATCCTCGTTCCTCTTTTTCTCACTTATTGGTTATTCCAAAAGCTAACAGACCTCTACATACACCATAACAATTCCATATCGATTAGGAAACGCTTTACATAAACAATATGCATTAGAAGTAGGAAACTAATGAAATCAAATTCTAAAATCTTAAACTAAAAACTCTAGTTTAATAATTATAGGTTTCTTTATAATTTTATATATTATAGGCTCGCATCTCTTAAATTGAAAAAGTAGATAAACATCAATTATTAATTGATCCATTAGGAATGTCTACTAACAATACTGAAGGATGTATTGTTCCTATGCTTAAAGCCAAAATTAAAAAATAAGCTCAAATAATTGAAGAATTGACTACTGATTTACGTAATCAATGTAAATCTGTTAAATTAACATCAATTCTTGAATTATAAAAACAGATTAAGAATCAATAAGATGAAATCCTCAAATTACGATAGTTTCAATAACTTGCTCTCAAAATAACAGATTAAGAGTAATCAATTACTGTAATTTTATTCAAAGTTTATTTAATGATCCTGACATTGCTGAGCGTATCTAAAATTATATCAAAACCATTGAAGCATAATAAATTCATATTGACCAATTGTTTAAATAAAATAAGAAATTAAACTCAGAGTATTAAGAATTGTTAAAATAATCAAACAAACTTCAAGAAGAATGCAAACAAATTAGTATAGAAAGAACATAATTTAAAAAGAAATTAGATGAATAAATCATTACAGAAACTGAATAATATTAACAAAAAAAAAGAGAATTCCTTGAAAAAAAATTATAGTAAATTTTTAACTTATTTTATAGGAGTGTTCTTAAATAAGTGGATTCTTTAAAAGGAGAACTGTCATTATATGAAACTAAATATAAGTAATCAACTAGGATTTAATAAGATTAAGAGAGAGAATTTAAATAAACATTAATGAATGCTTAAAAGGCTAATATACATTTAGAAGAACTTTTATAAAAAAAAGAATAATTAATGCAGGATTTATAAGATAGAGTTGCAATTTATGATTTACTTAAATAAAAATCAACAATTGAAGAACCAATTGTAAAATTAGTTCCATAGCCTCCTAAAACATATCGTGATTAATACATTCAATTCCCTGAACCATTAATTTTATAACACAAACCTACTGACATAATTAACGCAAATCCTATTGATTAAGAACGTCTTTAATAATTGTTGGAAGATCTCAAATATAAAGTGATATCTCTATGTTTGACTTAATAAAGATTACAGTTTATCTTTAAAGATATTAAATTTATGTAATTAAAAGATTCTCTTCAATATTTTATGAGATCTCCTTTCAATTATTAACAATAAGATGCTCTTATTTTAAGTCGTCATTTCTTTAGTGAAGATAAAGGCACTGGTTTCAAAATATAATGGGAGGATACTTAAAACATAAATGATCTAATTTAATTAATTATTCCAAAAAAGGAGGATATTTAATTTAATTTCAAAACAATCATTAATAGACATAATATTATTAAACAACTATATTCAGTAATTAAAAACTTAAAATTAAATGATATCAAATATAATATTGATGATTATATGATTCAAATCAAAAGAAATACTAATTTAAATGATGAGTAAATCACATTTCTTCGTCTTATTAATTAAATGTATTTAGGAGATGTAACTAATATTGATTAAGGATTTTTACGTCTCTATTTAAAAGAAGAATGTGAAATGATCTCTTAGCTTTATAAATTATAAAAGATTGATTTTGTCATTTACAGATACATTCCAAAACTATATATAAAATAAGAGGATAATGAATTTGAATAGATCGATTTAAAATAAAAAATTTCAGAACCAAAAATTGAAGATACATCTTTAACATTTTCATGTAATTAGTTAATTATTATCAAAGTACTTAGAATGAATGATTCTTACTTAAAAACATCAGAAAGTAGAAAACCTACTTCAGCTAGAGATACTCTTACTTACAGTTAATCTTAAACTGAAAGTATTCCTCTAAAAATGAAACAAAATGATAATCAAAGTAGAAATATTCCCAGCGTCTATAGAGAATAATAGATTTAAGAGATTAAAGAAGAAGAAGAATTTGTTGAATTTTAAACATCTAATTAATTCATGATGCAGCCACCCTAATTATTGAAAAATTAAGAGCCTTTTCAAAAAACTGAAGAAGATTATAAAGAGATATATTCTGAAGAATTATGATTATTTATTATTTATAAATTAATGAAAATATCTGTTTATGAATAATTTAGTTAAGGGATAATTAACTATTATTAAAAAAAAGAGTAAATATAAATATAATATATTGGATTGAAGACATAGAATTGATTTGTAACCTTTTAAAACTGAAAATTGAGAATAGTAACTATTTTATAATTCTAAATTCATAATAAAACTTGGAGATTTAAATAAATTAATTATATAAATTGTAAGAATAAATAAAATAAAATCATTTAAAAGAAACTAAAATTGTTTAAATAATAGATAAAATTTATTAAATGTAAATATAGAATTCATATCTCATTGATTTATGATATTAATAGATGAAATAAAATTATGAGCATAAATAAATATAAAAATTATTATTAAAACTTCAAGAAAATTCAAGAAAAGAATAACTATAATTCAATTTATTTTTTGAACTTAACAAATTTCACTGATGAATTGAAGATTTCATCTTAAGGTACTTTATTAATTTTATAAAAAACTTGTAGTTGTGCTAACAATTTAGGTATCGAAAAATAATAAGAAAAATGAAGATAAATACACAATACTTATAGAAAAAAAAAATAGTTCAATTAACAAAAATTTGTTTTACTATGAAATCTTATTATCGATCTCAATTAATTTCATAGGTATTTGAAGGTAAATTATCTTTGAAACAATTTTAATCTAATTAATATAATAGACCTAATTCATAAGTAAATAATTGATTGGAGAACACTTAGTCAATAAATGAAAGATATTTCATATAAATTTATTCTGAATTTCATAGGATTTGAGTATAAATTAAAGGAAAGTAGATGAAATATAAGGAAATACTGAAAGCAACAAAGGTCCATCAATATATGAGAATAATTTAATAAGGGATAGTGGACTAAAATTTTTGATCAAATAAAAAATATTAGAGATCCATGACTTTAGGGTTGTGAGATAAAAAAAAGCCAATTTAGAAGGATAATATTATCTCAATCTATATGGCTATAATAATTGTGAATTTCTGGGAAGATTAAGTTTTTTTATCCCTTTTATTATAGTAATTACATATAATTGTCATTTAAGTCATTTTAAAGTATGTTGCATATCATCATTACTGATGGAGATGATGAAATCATTATTAAAATTTATTGAAATTTATTTAACTTGCTCTATTTCTATATAAGATTAAAAAAATTAGAATGATAATGCAGATATTCTATGATTTAGAATATGCATTTGGAAGTTGAATTTCAATATGTAATTGTTGGTAACATTTTGGTAAATAATTGTATGATAAATAATAATAAATTAATTATAGAGAATTATTTTCATGCTGAATGAATAGAGAATAGTGTAGTCTTAATTTCAGGAGTGTTCATATTTTGTTATGTAAAATCAGATAAACTACCCATTGCATCAAAGATTTAACTTCTTCTTTATACTCTTTTTACAAGTTTATTTTATCTAATATCTTTAATAGAGAATCGATCAATAGGATTTGTATTTAACATTCCATTTAATAATTCTTAGCAATGAGGAGAATGCTTATAATTATCCCATGGTCTTGGAATCTAGGATGTCAGTAATTAATGAAAAACAACACCCAAACTATAAATGTCCACTTTATAATCATAATTTTAATTTGCCATAATTTCTGGAGCAACATAATTTTTTGTACCACACTTCTAAAAGAGATATCTACCATCGGATCTATAAAAGTCTGCAAAACCAAAATCAGCAATAACTGGATCCTCTTTATTCCTAAATAAAATATTATTGGGCTTTAAATCTCTATGAATTATTTTTTTCTAATGTATATATTCCAGTCCATTTAATAGTTTCAATAACAAACTTATTGCCTTTTCTTCTTTCAATTTATTTACTTAACTTATTTCCATCTACATCTCAAAAAGTTCTTCAACCAAAAATAAACATTAATCACTTTCAAAACATTCTTTTATTGAGAGAACGTTAGGATGATCCATCAATCTTAATATTTGAATTTCCTTAAGAATTGCACTTTTGTCTCTTGAATCAAGTAACAATTACTTCTCAAACATTTTGACCGCAAACTATTGTTCATTTTAAACATTCTTTACTTTATAAACCTATCTATAATTATTAAATCTATACCTTTCCAAAGCTTCCACTTCCTATTTACTTTAATACTTTATACTAATTTGCAAAATCCTTCTGAATTCCATACAATCTCAGTATTTATTTTATTTAAGATGTTAGTCCGTATATCAGTAATTCCTTATTTTATTATCTGATCTTCACACCTCTTCCCATACAAACATGATCATTAAAATCTATATAAGAATTGGCTATATTTATTGAGTTCATAATTTCTGTCTCCACAACAAAATTTTTCAACGTTAATATTGTGTTTTCTAATTACAATTAGCATCTAGCAAAGTTATTTGTTCCAACTTTGAGAAATACAACTTATTTCTTAATCGTTATACCTGTTTCAACTTCATAACACGAGGAGTCAAAAAAGTTATCCATTTATTATTTTAATAAAATTCTGATAAAACGAATTTCATTTAAATAACATATATTACCAATCATATACTTTCAATTTAAATTTATAATAGTTCATTCATTAAAAAAAAAAAAAAGTTTTTAATTTTTTAAAATAAAATAAAACATAATTTTTTATTATGCAATTTTATATAAATTCTCTAGCAAATACCCTTAATATGCAAAGTCACTAAATTTTTATTCAATTTTTTTTGGTTCAGTTGTTATAATTTTTCAGGTTCTTAAAATTATTTTCTCTCGTAATATTAATTGTAAGTGATTCCTAATAGTTTTTATGAAAACAATAAATATTCAAATTTTTAAGATAAAAATTCTACCTACATCAAAATAATTGTTAAATTTATATTATAGGGATAATTTTATACAAAATTTTATTAAATAAAGAAAGCATTAAATAATATTGTAAGAGTAAACAAATTATTGATGCAATGAAGGATTGATATTTTTCTTTATATTGAATGGATGATGTCCATATTAAATTTAGATGAGAAAATAGGTCAATATCAATTTTTATATATTTTCAAAGTTTTAAAACTGGTTTTTAAGAGGGGTAAGTAATTAATTCTCAAAATTTTAAGAAAAAGATTCTTAAAGAATATTACAGGAATTCTAAAATGTACAAAAAAGTTGGCAAAAACAAATTAAAGCCAAACAGGAGATTTATGAATATGAGAACAAAGTGTTATAAGTCATATTAAAAATAGAAATTGTTGCAAAGAAATTGAATAATTCTTTTAAAAGATTGTTCAAATTGTCTATCATCATTAATGTAAGAATGTAAAGTGGTAGAGAAAGAGTAGAAGATACAAGAAGAATTTGTTTTTTTAATATTTATGTAGTTATTTTAAATACTAATACAAAGCTCAAAATTGATCTCTTAATTTGCAATCCAAATATTCAATGACTAATATTGGTTTATCAACTTTGAATGTTTTTTTATTTGTAGGTGATATATTACTATCCCAAGAATCATCTAAACTAAATGTTTCTATTTCTTCCGCCTATGGACTTGGTAGAGGTCTAATATTTAAATGAAAATGATACCTGGCTTTAATATGTTATGGAGTATTTGTATTTGTGAAGTGAGATTGTGTTTTAAGTTTGAGGTGATAAAAGGCTTGCATTAAGTGGCCTGATCAAAGTTATAGAAAATAAATAATACATTTGAAATTAATAAATCATGTAATTTAAATTGCTTTCAAATATAATAATTCCAAATATATTCTTCTGGAATATACTAAATTTAATAAGAGGTACTGATAATTTTGAACAATATATATTTAAAATATTTACGTTAAATTAATAAATAATACTTTAATTAGTGCAAGCATTATTTATTTATATAAGTTTGTGATGTTAAAACTTTAAATAGCACTTGAGCCTTTTACAATAAAAGGTTTACTATAAATTTAGTTTTTTATTTCATAAATTAAAAGTTTATTAAATGAATTCTGAATTATCTTAAAAAGTAAGTGAATAAAATGATATGTATATCTAATCAAAATGTGATGATTATAAAAAGCAGTTTAAAAGTGATGATTTTACATTAGAAGACAAAGTACAATTTTCGAATTTAAATATGAATGAACCATTAGACATGAAATCTCCTTCAGAAACAGTATATTTAATAATGAATGTTAGATTTAAGAGTTTATATTCACAGAAGAGAAATTAGAAGCTTAAGGAAAGGGTTTTGTGAGTACTTTGTTAAATTAAAATAAATTTGTTAATATAAAGCTTCTTGATTTATCTAAATGTAATCTTACTGAAATACCAGACGATGTGAAGTAAAATGAATTATAAATATAGATAAATGAGCAATTTATAAAAGTTGTATTTGAGTGGAAATATGTTGGTAAAATTACCAGACTTTTTATAATCTTTAAAGTTTTTAGAAATTTTAGATTTATCTTACAACTAATTATCACATTATCATATTTATTTGGAACGCTTAAATTAGCTTAATCTAAATTGTAATATTATTTAGCAACCATATTGTGGGAAATTAGATATACTTAGCATTTAGATGAATCCAATAATTTAATTACCTAAACAATTTTATAAAGCATTGAAAAATATGAACTAATTAGAATTTGATTGGTTTAAATATTGTAAGCCTTCTTTACCATCTAAAATGAATTTTTAGAAATATCCATGGGTTAAAGAGAAATTAATAAATGCCTTATAACAAAAAGCCTTGGGATTCTAAGTATTCATATAATTATTGAGTCAAAATGAATTGAATTATAGTAGCACTGATTATAAGGAGAGAAACTTATTTTGTTAAGCAGGAATGAATGATGAAATAGGAGTGTTATATTGTTTAAATTAGATTATACCTTAAGATATCAATATAACTGATTTTGACAATAATACACCTTTATCAGTTTGTTATTTAGAAGGCAAAATGAGGTTAATTTTCATAATAATTAAGATCAGTGAGTATTTTAAAGTCTATTGGTGGTAAATTTTCACTTAATACGATTCATTGTATGAGTTAAAGAGCAGATGTTTTGAATTTAAAATTTTTATTAGGAATCAAAGAAACTCATTAATAATTAATGAAGTCTAAAATATAACATCCAATAAATGATGAATCATTAGTAATGATGAGAAATATAGATGGAAATACCCCATTACATTCATTAATGATGAATTTTGATAAGCATGAACTAAGTACTGAATTTGGTTAGATATTATTATTTTTTGGAGCAGACCCAAATGCTGAAAATTATGAAGGATGTACTCCACTTGATATGGCAATTAAAAAATAATAATTAAAAGGACTTAAATTTGCAAATGATTTCAATCTATCAAATTATGCTGACTTTTTAAATAAAAGATTCTTTGATTTTTCTCATTAATCAACTTTTAATCGTTTTGGACTTTGTCATACAGCTGTAAATATTGGAAATTTTGAAATCTTAGAGTTCCTCATTTCAATCAATGCAGATTTTTTCGCTTTTAATAAATCTAATAAATTACCTAGAAATTTAGCTACTTAAAATTTAGTGGCTTTAAAGAATATTAGAAAGCTAGAAAAGAGATATATTCTAACAAATGTGATTAAAGAAAAATCACTATTAGAACAATAAGAAAAGTACATTAACTAAATTAATTAGAAATGTATATTAAATGCGATACTAAATTGAAAAGAATATGGTTTAAAGGCATCATAATATGGTCTAGAAATATGTAGATTAAGAGGAAATTGAAGATATTCAATCTATGGAAAGCATTAATGATTTTAGTTTAATAGTAGGTAGCGAATGTACTGTAAGAGAAACTGTTGCAGAATCTACACCAATATTCAAAAAATAATAATAAACAATTTCTTCTGTTTAACAAAACATTGCATAGATATCAACTTTAGAATTTCCAGATTATTATCCTGACATCTTAAAACTCTTAAGAAGTGGAAATATTGACACAGCTATAAATAAATTAGATAATATTTTACACTAAGATATAATTAGTGTATCTGAAAGGCTCAAATATAAAAATCAATTATCTTTATTGAAGTTAAAATTTAAATAGAAAAATGTTTAATTAAAATCTACAGTTGGCTAAGATGTATAATTAATCCTGAATGAGTATCAATTTAAATCTATAAAAACAGAATTTAGAAGTATATCTATCCAAATATAATAGGTAAATATTTCAAACAAGTCCAAACCATACTAAATGCATAAACGGAATCAGAAATCTCTAAGGCTTTAAATATTGTGTCAAGATAAAAAATTATATGTTCATCCTTTAATTTAAATAGAGATCTTTTAGTATCGGATCTATCTCTTATATCTGATCTTAGAGCAAGATTGAGTATAAATCTAGTCTATGATATAAATAACTATGCCTCTCACTTATTTTCTTCATAAAATTAACTACATCTATGGCTCTACAGTTGCTTTTCAAAAAAACAAAAAATTCTAGTTTAAACAAGTTTTTTAAATCTACAAAATTTTGAATATCTTCAATTGATGAAATTCAAAAAAAAGATAGTTCTTATTGGAAAATAAGATGATCTAACTCTTCAAAAAGATATTGAAGAATAAAATTGTGTACCAGTAAATTAGATAATTTGTAATAATAATCTGTTTTGTAACAGTAAAAGATAATGAAAAAATCTATATTTAATATTTTATCTATTTTATAGCTATTTATAAACTTTCATAAAAAATTTAATAATAATAAAAATTTCATCAACCTGAATTAACTTGCTACCAATTTAACTGATAATAATTTTAACAAAAATCTCTTCATCATATTTTCCATCCCTCGTTTCTATTCCCTGAAACTATTATAAAGATTAAATTATTATATCAATTAAAATCATTAAAAACATAAGAGTTTGAGATTTGAAGGAGTTTAGCTTAATTTGGACAATTTTTGTAAACTATAAACCTTAAATTAAGTTCTGCTCATTCATAATAAAAATAATTTATATTATATAAGTAAAATAATTATGATAATATTATATAAATCAAATTTGATAAGCCAACTAGTTTAATTAAGACCACGAAAGATAATTTTTTTTAATTATTTATTGTTTGATTGGATATATAATTTAAAATAAAATTACTAAAATTATAATTGTTTATTCTATCGATAAATTAAGAAAATTTAGCATTTTTAGCTTTAAATTCTAATTTAATATTAAATAAACTATTACACTTGAAGACAGGAAAATTTTCTGCTGTTAATGTTTTAATTTCGTATTATAAATTATAAAATAGCATAATGAGATAAAAAATTTATACTATCGGATAAAAATCAAATATACTTCTTATAAAAAATGAACTTGATATATTTTAAATATTTATAATTCTTTTATGTGAATAAGAATTTAAAAGAAGGCAAAGAATAAAAATATTCAAATCTCATAAATTCTGATTATAAATTTAGTCGAGTATTGAACTATAAATAAATATGGAGGTCAACTACTATAGAAATCTTCATTAAATAAAAATGATAAAATTTTGATATTATTCACGTTTTTATATTTATGATGTATGATATTGGAAAGTTAAATAATGATATAAAAATTGAGTAGATAAACAAGAATTATTTTAATATAAATGATAAAGAGATTCAAAAAACTCTTTCAGGGTTAAAGTGAGTTCCAATCATTTCTAACAAAATCTAGTCTAACAAAAGATAACTTTGTTTACAAGCAAGAAGATGTTGAAATTTTAATACCATTTTTAACTGATGACCAGAATATATTCGATTTTTTTTAGGTATATTAGGATGAAAGCTTCCAAGCTTATACAATAAAAATGAAAATGCTCATAACAATTCATTAAGTGCTAAATATTAGTGAAGAGTTTGCTTCATAATTCTCAAAAATAAATTTTGCATATTTTAATAAGTATGAATGATTGAATATTAGCAGATCTACCTAAAAGCCAGAAACATTTGTGTTTAAGTAAGTAACAAATGAGGTATGGTTGTTAGAAAATCTTTAAATTCCATTTTTGCAGTATTTATAAAAATTGGCATTGAATGTTCAAGAAGTAAAAAGTTATCGAAATCATCATTTTCGAAAATAGATTAATTAATCTAAGTATAAGATGTTAATTTATAAAAGTCTCGTAGTTGAATGTTTCAAATTAGAAAACCTTGTAAATTAAGGTTTATCTTTAGTACCCTAACTGAAAACATCCTTATCAAATTTTCCTCATGATTTTCTTTTGAAGAAATTAGCCTGTAACCTCTATTGTGAATTAAGGCAATTTCAAAGACAATTGATTAATTCTCTGTCTGCTTTATTGGATACCAACTCTAGGGCCTCAAATATTGAGATATTTGAGTTCTTCAGAGAAGTAAGATCTCTCTCTCACAATTCAAATAGGTGTAAATGATTGAGAAGAAGACCATGTCATATTATATGTTACACAAGTTGTTTGATCCTGGAAGAAAACTAATGCCTCCTTTGTAATTGAAAATAGATCTCAAAAGTGCAAAACATCTTGAATAGTAAGCTTTAAATGAACAACTAAAGATTAATTAGCAAAAATAAATGAGAAGTTAACGTAATTCCAGATCTAACAGTATGGATCAATAATAAAGAGTGTCTTAAGGTTTTATTAGTTAAAGAGAACGCCGATTTATGATGTATAGCAGAGCTAAAAAATAAGATACAATTTAGGAAGACATTGAAATGCCAACTGAAGAATAATAACCATCAGATAAGAAAAAATCAACTTAAATTATTGATAATTAAGCCAATTAAATACCAAAACAATTTGATAATCTTGAAGAAAATAATAGTGATATACAAAAAAAAGAAAGCAGTAATGAAAGTGAAATTAATGAAAGAAATAGTTAAAAAGAAACTAATGATATTGTTAAAAATTAAGAAAGTACTAGTCAAGCAGATTAAGATGAAAATTAATATATTTGATTAATAATAAATTTTTTTTTATTAAAGTTTTATGAGCTCAATATAAGAAATCGAGAGTTGTTTATCATAAGCTATTCAATAAAGAACTGCTACTGAAATTGTAGCTACTATGGGCACTAAAGTTCTAACTTTACAGAATTTTTAATATTTGATTAAAAAATACAATAAGAATATCATCAATAAAGAAGTAGAGGAATATTATTATAAAAAACTCACCGATTTTGATAGTAGAGTTGGAATAACATAAGAAATTTTTGAGAAGATGGTTGAAAATTTACCAAAACCTAAACGAAGGTAAGATGTTGTAATGAGTTTAATTGAGGGAATATAATCTAAAAAAGCATCTTTAGAAAGAATTTTTAAATTTTTTGATTATGATGGTGATGGAAAAATGTAATTAAATGAAATGAAAGAGTTTGTGGAATACTTGTATCCTGATATTACTGAATAAGATATAAAAATTTTAATGAAAAATAACGATGTGGTTTAATTCTCATTTGAAAATATTAAAACTTTATTGTCGTTCGAATAAAATATGAATGCTGAAGTTATTATTGTAAAAGATGAAAATGAAACTGATGAAAATGAAGATGATGATGATAACGAAGATGAATTTGGAATGTTTAAAGGAAACCAGGAGGAATTCTTTGATGAATATGGTCTTTCTGAAGATTCCACCTATTATGATGCTTTCGTAAAATTTAAAAATTTATATTATAAATTAAAAGAAAACAAAACGGTTTTTGTTGATCCAGATTTCAAACCTGATTAAGTAAGTTTAGGAAATGTTGGTAATAATTTTGAGTGGAAAAGACTATCAGAGATTTGGAAAAATGTTTAAGTTTTTTAAAAAGATATATATCATTCAACTAATGATTTAGGTGATCATTCTTTAGTATCTCCAAGAGACATAAAACAAGGTTATCTGGGAGATTGTTATTTTTTATCATCTTTAGCATCAATTGCAAGTAAACAGTAAAATATTTTAATTCATTCTTAGTCCTGATGAAATTTTTGATATGTTTTAAACTCCTACTATAAATCCATATGGTGTTTATGGTGTATGGTTTTGTATTCAGGGAGTTTGGAAATTAATTACTTTAGATGATTATGTACCTGTTCATAATAATGAACCGGCATTTAGTGGAAGTGATTCTTAAGAAATTTGGGTCATTCTATTAGAAAAGGCATGGGCTAAATTATTTGGAAGTTATGGAAATATCATTAGTGGTGATCCTAGAGAAGTTATTGCTAGTATTACTGGTGGACCTACTTGGTGTATTGGTACTGATGATAGTACATTTATTGAAAGACTTAAATAAATCACAAGTTCTCATTAAAATTATATTGTTTGTGCAGGAACACATTCTGATCATCCAGAAATTGAATAATTAGGATTAATTAGGAATCATGCTTATTCGGTATTGAACTTTAGAACTATCAAATTACCAACTAAAGAAGAAATTCAACTTATTTAATTAAAAAATCCATATGGAAATGATCAAGAATGGAATGGAGATTGGAGTGATAAAAGTCCACTTTGGACATAAGAGTTAAAAGATAATGTTTTATAAAACTAAGAAGAAGATGGCATATTCTTTATGTGTATTGATGATTTCAAAAAGTACTTCGAAAGTGTTTTTATAGGATTTTGCAATCCTTATTTTTAATTTAATTCACTTATAATTTAATGTCAAAGAAGGAAATCAGCCTATATTTTAGTTAATATTAAAAAAGATGGAGAATATTATTTTTCTGCTTATTAAAAATCTTCAAGAATGTTTAAATAACAATCAAATCAGTTATAACAATAATATGATTATTCGGAAATCCGTTTGATATTATCAAAAATGAATAAGAATAATTCTATTCAGCCATTAACCTATAGGACAGAAACAGATATGACCTTTAATATCAATGGTAGATTATAAAAAGGGTAATATATTCTACAAGTTAAAGCAAATTGGATAATGGAGGAATGGGATTAAAATGATTTACCTTTGGCATCTTATGGAGAAGATAACACAGATATGAAATTTTGTTAGAAAATATCAAATTTCTAGCAAGCATCAATTTTATTTGAAGCCAAAGAAAAAAGAGCAGAAGCTAAACCACTTAATCCATCTTATCCTGAACTTGTTGTTTTGAGAAGTAAATCATTAGCATATGGGTAATTTTTATATTAATTAATAGTTATCCATTTATTTATTATTAAAATTTATCTAAAGAAAAAACTTTTAGTTTTGAATTACTATTTGAAGGCGAAATTAAATTAAAGAAACCTCATCATGGTACTTAAGTAGAAATTGAACTTAAGCCAGGATAGGACAAAGTTATTGTTTACAAATATTTAGCAAAAGGATCAAAAATGAAATTTTAAGTTCAGAAATTTAAATGTGGAGGTGTTTGATGAATGATTTACAATATCAAATCAAATATATTCATAAAATATCAAACTTATTAGGAAAAGTACTTGTTTATCAAAATCTGCAATCTGTTTAGTGATATTGGTTTTGGTATGAATTCTTTCATACCACATATTCGTGCCTGCTCAATATTTTCTTCTCCAGTATAAGCAGAGTACATAACAATGATTGATGAAGCATTTACTTTTTTTAAAATTGTTACTATCTATAAATTAATTGAAATTTACTTCAGTAGTTGTTTGAAAACCATTTTTACCTGGCATCTCCAAATCCATAAAAATTATCCTATATGATAAACAACATTAAGAATTTCTTATTCTTTCACTTACCTTCTCAATTGCCTAATTTCCATCATATGCACTCTCTGATTAAATTTTGAAATTATTGAGTATAGCTATTAAGGCAATATGATTAAAAGGTATATCATCAACAATTAATATTTATGAACAGTCACACTTTTTTAAAGTATTTTTACTGGCTAATTTCAGAATAGTTTCTTATTCTAATATCTCATCACTAATTTTCATAAATTTGTCTTCAACAAAAAAATTTATTGAAGTGTAACAACCAGATTAACTTTTTATAATCAGATCCCCATTGTTGCTTAAATATTTAACTATTCCTCTGCTTACCTTTAGACCTATTCCTAATTTGTATGACTAAGTTTATGTATCATGAGCTCTATTACTTGAGATCATGCTATTTGGTTATTCAAAAATATTAGTTAAAGTTTAATTTGAAATTCCTTTTCCATTATCCCATACTGTAAATTGATACAAATTGTCTCTTCTTTTAGCATTTATTACAATCCTTCCACCTTAGTGAGTAAACTTAATTGAATTACTTATCAAATTAATAAGTACTTAAGTTATTCGGTCTTTGTCATTTCTAATAACAATCAAACAATCAATTTCAATTATAAATTAAATTTATTTTTATTCACATTCTTATATGAAAAAATCCTTTAAGGTTTAAAAAATCTCAGAAACACTAAATTCACTGATATTAATTTTAAAATCTTAGCATTCAATTTAAGCATAATCTAAGATGTCATTAATCTAATATAATAGACGATGACCTGTAACAATAGCTGGATTTAAGAATTCTTAATTAATTTCATCATTTTTCAATTTACTTTTAAGAGCTTATAATAATGATAGAGTGCAATTAAGTGGAGTTCTTAATTCATGACTAAATGAATTGAGTAGTTGTTATTAAAAAAGAAATCTATTGGTTAATTGTTTTAATTATTCTTTATTTGTGATATTTTCTACAATAAATAGAAATAATGCTGTTTTTGAATTGGTTGGCAATTTAATCTCATAAATTTTTATTTAAATATGTTTGTATTTAATTGAAGATTCTTGAGCAATTTAATATTTGACAATATTGCAAGATTCTGAATTAACAGTCATGTTTTCATTAAAATTTTTTAATTTGAATTCATTAATAATAGCTTAAAGAGATGGATACATCATGGAATCACCTTTTGAAAAACTATAATTAATCTTTTGTCTATCAGATGTCCAAAATTGTTTTTTCAAAGATGAAGCCAAAGAAGCATTATAACTAAATTACATTTCACTATTTTATTTCAAAACCTTTATATGCATGGGTTTCTTTCTATCCTTCTCTTTGATTGGAACTTTATTTTTTTGAGCACTTAAATATATATATATTTATATTTACATTTTGAGTAGGCTATCTAAAGAAGTAGGAATTGTTGAAGGTTCTTTAATTGATAGATATTACAGAATTTTTGAATTATGTTTAATAATATTGAAATATTCATCAATAATTACTAAACCTTCTGGGATATAATCAAAAAAATCTTCATTAATATTAGTTTTTGCTACTAACTCTTCAGCAACAGCTTAAGTGTTTTAAACTTAAGGGGATGATATAGTTTAAAAATGAACTTGAGTGGTGGTGTCTTCTTTCTTATATTATTTCTTTGGTTTATTTAGATAAAGCAAATAATGGTTTAAAGGTTACCATAAGAAAATAAGGAGTATCTCTGAAACCTATAGGTTTGAGAATTCTCTAATCAAAAATCTTAAAATAGCATAGATAAGTGCAAAATGACTTAAGTTGTCAAAAATTCCATTGTTTCTTTAAAGGTAGAGTTGAATTTACATCATGTAAATTATTGCACTTTATGCTGAAATAGTATTTCTTTCATAGAATGCAATTTCATAATGAATAACAATAATGGTTTAAATTAGTAAACAAATGATCAACCTCTATTTTCCTATATGATATATCATAAAATAGCACACAAGAATTGATACTGATGCGCATGAATTCAAACCTAATGCAATACCATCTTTTTCACTTTGACTTCCTCTCTCTATAATACTGATAATGTTTTTTAATAATAACTAACCCATCAATAAAATAATCCTTATATTCATTTTTATTTATTATGAAATAATTTTCTTAGACTTCTTAATCACAAAAAGTAAAATAAAAAAGTGAACCTTCATTATTACCAAATATAGATATTCTTAAAGAAAATGTAAAATCCAGTTTTGCACTTGGACATCTCAGAGGTTTATTAACGTACAAATAGGTTCGAGAATTACCAAAAACAGATATATAAGTAAAGCGAGATCAAACTTTTGGTAAAGCTAATAAAAAATCTAAAAATAAAAGACTTACCTTTTTAAAATTCGGATTTAGAACTCATGAAAAAAAGAATAATTACTATCTATAACCTCTAATTAAAAAAGTGAAAGATGCATTTGGAGAAGTTGCAAATGATGGTTCAATGGGAGTTGTAGATTTATGGAGTGATAGAAATGTAAATAGATTAATGGATGCAATTTAAATGACAAGAGATAATTTAATTGTCAGAAAATTAGGTAAAGAACTCAATGAGGAAGAACATTTTTTAATGACAAGAATGGAAGAGAAAAAAATGAGAGATAGAATCTTTATGGAATCATTAAAACTGTAATTTTAAGAGACTGACACATTTTCATTGAAATTTTAGTTATCAGACAAAGATAAAAAGATTTTACAACGAGTTGCTCAACCTACAATATCTAGCAATCTCAGATACAACAATCCAAATGAAAATATTTAGACAATAGTGGAAAGTATTGATCAATTACATCAAGAGAATTTAGAAATTTATACAGATCTTTATAAATAGATTAAATCTATTCAAAAACATATTAAGTGATTTAATTTAATTATTTCTATATAGTGGTTTCAAATCTATGATTTTATTATCTTTTATTTAATATAAAGTTTATAATAATTATTATATAATTAATTAATGAAATATATTTTTAATAAAATATTAGTAATCACTATTTCGATTATTTATTAAATTATATGAAATGTATACACATTTATCAAAAATAGCATATTACTAAGACTACATGAATATTTCACGAAGATAGTAGTCTATTTATATAGGTGTTTTCATTTTTATAAATTCGATCATGTTCTCGTTTTATTTAGTATAATTGTTACTTTAGATCAGTTTTGCAATTATCAATTTTTTTTGCATTCTCTTCACAAAACCATTTTGCATCTTAAAGCCTAATTTAAAATTATTCCTTTAAATCTTCTTCTGGTTCTGTTTTAAATACTCGTTTCTCGAATTGTAATATTGCTTCATTCTAAGATTTTAATTGTTTAAATGCTGCATCTCTATATTTTTATTCATGTAATTATCTTTTGAATGTTTTCTCAGCCTTCTTTATCTTATCTTACATAGATGGTTCTTTTTTTTCTATCATATGTTCTCTTATAACAACCCAATCATCACTATTTTGATATGGCTACAATTTAGTTTTTAATTTCCATCCTACACCATTAGGTTCTAATTCTTAATCTTACTAAATTCGTTGATATTTCTTTAACAATTATTCCATATACTTTTTTAATTAATTAGGTGTTAATTTATCTTTCATTTAAAATAAAAGTCTTGTTTCCTTTATCTCTTAATTTGATCTATTCATCCTTTTCATTGAATCTTTACTATTTATTAAACAAAATTTGCAATAATCTGGTAAACCCTAGTCTTATTACATTTTTATTAATTCTTCCTTAATTTCAATGTATTTGCTATCAGTTTACCATCTAGAAATATTCAGTTCAGAAGGATTATCTATTTTTTTAAGTAAAGCTTAAATATCACGATTACGTTATTTATCCTCATTTTTTATTCTTGATATACTTGATACAATATCCTCACAAGTGTGACTTACTTCATTAATAATGTTTGAAAATTAAGAATTCACAAAGCGAGTTCTAAAAGTGTCTGAGTGTTCTTAAAATTTAGCCTCTAATGATTTATAAGGCTTAAGCTTTTTTTTTACTGTGATTTCTCTACTTCTTCCTTTTACTATATTGCATTTATTTTCTATTTCATCTTTAAGTCGTTTAAATGATCTCAAACGATATTCATCTTTTTTTCTAAAATACTCAGCATCCTAATATTATTATTACATTTTATTTATCGAATAAAATAATTGTTTAGTTTCTAAATAACAATTTCAAAGATAGATATATCAAAATCTAAATAACTGAAACATCTTATTATCTTAATATTAAATTTTACAAATCAAATTTCTTAATTACATCCATTCATATATCATTTTAATTTTAGTTTTGTTTTAAATCAATTATATATATTTTATTATCTAAAATTATTCTTCTATTTATTTTATAAATCAGAATGTAAATAATTCACTTTTATGAATATGAATTATCTTTAATTTTGTGAATAATAGTCGTTTTATTAACACTTAATTTTTAATTAATTAGATGTAAAAAATAAGAACTGTTTATATATAATATTAAATATGATATCTAGTGGAATTAGGCTAGTTCATAATTCTATATTAAATCATATTTATTATTAACGCTTGAAACGATCTCTTATGAACTATGTTTCTTTCTCTAAATTTGCTGCTAATCTATTGGATGTTTCAACAATCTATTTAATTTTACAGTTAATAAATCTACTCTATGATAAGTTAGGTCTGTCTCCTCTATCATCTTATTATAATTAGCCAATTTTTATTCTTTATCTTTCAATATAGCTACTCTTAAGTCTAACTCCATTTGCATCTTACGAATTTATGCATCAAATGCTTAGAAATCTGTTTTTTCCTTTTGATATTCTTATAACAGCTCATCTCTTTCTCTTTTCATGTTTTCAATGGCTTAACTATAAAAAGAAGAATTCATACCATTTTGAAGGTTCTAAAAAGCTAATTCATCTTCCATAGTAAAACAAAAAATTAAATTAAACAAAAAATAAGAGTAAAGTCATTATATTAATTCTTAGTAATTCCTTTCTAGTCTTTAGGGCAAATCACTTTTATTTAAGAAACTTTATGATATCTTTTGAGCCTTCAAAATTCCTTTTGATGCTAATTCAGAATTGCATTCTAATGCTTAAATTATTCCCCAATTCATGAGAATTTAAGCTGCTTTAAGCGAATCTTATTTAACACAGTGAAATGCTATATTAAAATATTTTTGTGCTAATTTGTAATCATTAGTATTAGCATATAAGATTCCTAATAAATTGTAAATTGGAGCCAATTATGGTTTCAATTCTGAACAACTACCACTTGATTCTTTGTTATTATTTGTTTCCTTGTTTTTATTTGATTCATAAATTTAAATAGATTGTTCAGCAAATTAAAATGCAGCATCATAATCTTTTCGAAGATATGCTAATTCAGCTAAGATGAAATATGTATCAGCAATACGTTCATCATCTTCAGACAGATAATCTCGATATATAGCTAAGCTTTCATAACACAATTTACTGGCTGTATCCGGATTTTCTTAAATTATTGCACATAATTACTCAGCCATCCATATAATCTTGATAATAATGTAAGAACATAAGCAATGTCAAGACGCCAATTAAGTTGTTCGTAATGTAATAATGCATCATAAAAGTATTGTTAACATTTCTAAAAGTTTTTTGAAATGAAACATACTTTACCACCTTCTATTAAGAGTTTCCCTTTAAAACTTGGTTCATTAATTGTAAAATTAGTTAAACAATTCTCATAATATAAAATAGCATGTTAGTAATTGCCTTAAATTTTCATTGCATTTCCTAAGATATATAAACTACGTAATGCTAACACAGTATATTTATGCAAAAACTATTTTTTGTTAATATTTTTAATGATTAATAATCGGATTTATTCAAGCAATGCTTTAAGATCATTAATGATATCAGAAGATCTATTTGTATTCAAATCTTATTCTAAAGAGTTTAGATCATTTGCGATATAATCAATATTCCAGGGTTCTTCATCACTATAGAATGATTAATGAGAAAATTCAGATTCTTTATTAGAGTTTTAAGCTTGATTTAACTAAACAATTGTAGAAATCGGTCCTTGAATCTTCTTAGAAAATGATTGATCAAGAAGAGCACCATTATCTCTCTCTGAGTTAGTAATTAGTCCATCTAGTTCAGTTCTACCAGTGATAGCTACTTATTATTTTTCATCTCGAGACATTCTGCCTATCTATTTTGACATTGTGAGGCCTTACTTCACTACTTAGTGTCTTCAGCTCTACGATATGTCCTGATAATACTTTTTCCCTAATCTTGCGTAATACATCTTTTAATTATTCATCTCTTTTCAAAGTCTCGATATCCACTCGTTCGAATATATGAGACATTAAATAAATTAAATTTAATATTCTTTAAATTGTATTTTCATCACTCTTTCTTTTTACCTTATCCGAATTTCGTAATCTTAAAAAACACCCAAACAACCATGACTATTAAAGCTACCCACCCAAAATCATTCATAGCTTTGTATACTTTTTCCCATTTCAATAATCCTATTGGAGTGGCTGTTGAATTCACTGCCAATTAACCATATACACCACAGATGAATCTTTAAATTGTAAACGGGATACTTAAACATAATTGCTACTTTTCTTACAATTTAAATTTATCTTTTGCCCTTTCAACTTATTTAGTAATTTCATTAAATATAGCCCACTTTATGAAAAATACATAGTAAGCAATCAAGAAACCATGCTTTCATAATTTTAAATTATACCAGTAGGCACTAAGAACAAATGTAAGAAGTATTTATATCTATCATAAAAGCATGTTTGTAACCATGTTTAAACACTTGAGTTCCAATGTTTAGTTCTCTTGATAGGTGAGAATTCAATCTCAAATTAATAATTAGCCAAACGATAATTAGTGAACTCTAATTATAGATTCTAATAAATGAGAAATTACCTTATCCATCATATGTAATTCATGATGCATCCATAGAAGCTTAAGAAAAGTTAAATGCAAGAAAGTATTTGAATCTTTCGCAACAGGAAATGAGTTAGCAAACAATGTGACGAGTAAAAAGTGAATGTTCTTCCCATTGGTAAGTATCGAAATAAGCAAAACTGAATTTAGGTCTAATAAGTTGATCAGCTAATAATAATAAGTTTATATATTGATACCAGCAACAAAGAGAATAGCTTTAAAAAGGGTTTGAAAGGCTTTATTGAAATTGTAACCCATTTTTGCATAAACTCCTTATAAATTGATAAATTAAATAAATGCTGTAAAGGGAACAGTACCAACAATAATATTAGGAAAAAAGAAAACATAACTCATATAATCGATAAATGTATATGGTAAGCGATCTTAAGCAGCAACTCCAAAGTAAACAAATCGACATGTAAGCATCATTTGTACTACGTTAAATCCCATTTTCCAAAAGGAGTCTGCGTTCTACTGATAGTGTGCCATTAACCATGATGCGGTCGTAATGTAGGTAGCCTAAAACAAGAAAACTTGTTGTTGCTATTGGAATGAATGGTCTGTTCAGTGATCTCATTAAATATATGAGTAATGTCTATGTCATAACCAATTATATCCATTAAGTTCCCAAATACAACATAAAAAAATTCCCCAAAAAATAGTATAACATTTTCTTATAATTGGACTTTTCAAATATCTTAATACAATTCCTAATTGAAAACAAGCACCTGAAGTTATATTATTGATTTATTACAAAATGTACAAGCAACTTAAATTATTCAGCCTACACTCCTACTACATTTAATCGATTAATATGCATAGCAATCTCGTCAAATATTACTACTATTGTCATAATAAATTATTTTATATTCAATTTATTCTAACTATTTATCTAATATATCTATCAATTTCTTCCTATATCATACAACTATGATCTTCTCTTTAAGGCACTTAATCTCCCATTACTTAATGTCTCATTTAACTTTTTTAATTATCAAGTTTCCTCTTAATAATAATTATTCACTTGATTTTCTGGTCTCTATTAATTTATGAAAACTTAANTATCTATCATAAAAGCATGTTTGTAACCATGTTTAAACACTTGAGTTCCAATGTTTAGTTCTCTTGATAGGTGAGAATTCAATCTCAAATTAATAATTAGCCAAACGATAATTAGTGAACTCTAATTATAGATTCTAATAAATGAGAAATTACCTTATCCATCATATGTAATTCATGATGCATCCATAGAAGCTTAAGAAAAGTTAAATGCAAGAAAGTATTTGAATCTTTCGCAACAGGAAATGAGTTAGCAAACAATGTGACGAGTAAAAAGTGAATGTTCTTCCCATTGGTAAGTATCGAAATAAGCAAAACTGAATTTAGGTCTAATAAGTTGATCAGCTAATAATAATAAGTTTATATATTGATACCAGCAACAAAGAGAATAGCTTTAAAAAGGGTTTGAAAGGCTTTATTGAAATTGTAACCCATTTTTGCATAAACTCCTTATAAATTGATAAATTAAATAAATGCTGTAAAGGGAACAGTACCAACAATAATATTAGGAAAAAAGAAAACATAACTCATATAATCGATAAATGTATATGGTAAGCGATCTTAAGCAGCAACTCCAAAGTAAACAAATCGACATGTAAGCATCATTTGTACTACGTTAAATCCCATTTTCCAAAAGGAGTCTGCGTTCTACTGATAGTGTGCCATTAACCATGATGCGGTCGTAATGTAGGTAGCCTAAAACAAGAAAACTTGTTGTTGCTATTGGAATGAATGGTCTGTTCAGTGATCTCATTAAATATATGAGTAATGTCTATGTCATAACCAATTATATCCATTAAGTTCCCAAATACAACATAAAAAAATTCCCCAAAAAATAGTATAACATTTTCTTATAATTGGACTTTTCAAATATCTTAATACAATTCCTAATTGAAAACAAGCACCTGAAGTTATATTATTGATTTATTACAAAATGTACAAGCAACTTAAATTATTCAGCCTACACTCCTACTACATTTAATCGATTAATATGCATAGCAATCTCGTCAAATATTACTACTATTGTCATAATAAATTATTTTATATTCAATTTATTCTAACTATTTATCTAATATATCTATCAATTTCTTCCTATATCATACAACTATGATCTTCTCTTTAAGGCACTTAATCTCCCATTACTTAATGTCTCATTTAACTTTTTTAATTATCAAGTTTCCTCTTAATAATAATTATTCACTTGATTTTCTGGTCTCTATTAATTTATGAAAACTTAATTCACTCATATACCTTTATTTCTTAAAGAAAAGGAAATGAACGATAATGAATAAACACTTATGCTCCGCAATAAGAATATCAATATATGGCCTAATGATATACCTTCCAGATTACTCATCCTTGATCTAAGTGGAAATCGATTCTAAACTATCCCTCATCAAGTCAATTACATCTAGCATTTATAAAAACTTATATTACGAGATAACTCTATAGATACTCTCGAAACAACTCTTAATCTACCTTAACTCTTTTATTTAGATCTTAGTTATAATTACATAAGTAATTCTCATTTAACATTAAGGAAAGGTACCTTCCAGCCTTACTAAATTGAATTCTCTCCATTACTTAAATTTAAACTCTAATTTGATTGAAGAATTACCTCGCCAACTATTTGACTTGCAATATTCATTTTTAGGTATTTCTAAAAATGCCTTTATCATCATTCCACAAGAAATTTGTAAAATCATTAAAAAGCTAGAACAATTTGAATTGGATTGGTTAAATTACTGTAATTTCTCTTATTTTATGGATGAGTAAACATCTAATAAATTGCTGACTGTTTTCTCTAATGATTGTTCATTTTAGCATTTTTATGAACACTTTATGAATTCGTAATTCTCTTATAATTTAGAGAAGATTATAACTAATCATTCATTAGGAATTCTCAGATTGGCATTTCAATTTTAATAAGAAGTTTCAATGAAAAGTCTAATATTTGTTGTGTCTTAACCTGGAACTAAAGAAAATATCAAATTTATAAATTACCTCCTAGATCTACTTAATTAACATGATTCGGATATACTAAATATCATATATATATTAAGTGCTCGAACAAATTAAACTTTTATAATTTAACTTCTTTTCAATTATGCAATCAATTTGCATTACTCCATCAAATATGATTTGATATGCAATCATAAGATATTAATTTTAAAGGGTTAAACACCTTTTACCACGTTGTTGCAACATAGTCATAATATAGATACTATGATGGAATTTTGGGTTCAAAAAGGCTTTAATCCTAAAATAAAACACCAAGGTGAGAATTGTTTACATATTGCAGTTAAATAAAATACATATGAAGGTGTTAAATGGGCCTTAAAACATTGCAATATCGATTAAAAGGACAGCATTCATAAAAATACTCCTTTACATATTCTATTTCAGAAATAACATTCAGTAGGGATTTTTTATTTGTTAGAAAATTTTAGACCTAATCCTTTTATTGTCAATCGCTTTAACAAGATTCCACGTTTTTATTAGACCTAAATGATTTAGTTAAGATTTGTCAAATTATATCTAAAATATGAGAAATGGTTCTTACGATTTCATTTCTAAACATACAATTCCAACAAATTTCACGGAATGATTACTTTAGGAAGTAGATCAAATGCTAGACAGGAAAGTGAAATTTCAGCTATAAACACCACTGATATGAGTATCTTAAGTGGAGAATAGTTACTTGAATAATTACTTAGTGAAATTTTAAAAATATTAAGATCATCTAAACATCTTCCATCAATTATAGATAAGATTAATTTACTTATAAACACCTCCTAAGATTTATAAGCAAGAATGTGCTTATAATCTATATTATAACTATTATTATGTAAAGCCAAGTAAGGATGGAATTATAAAACTACATTTTTGCCTTAAATCATATCTTAAATTAATTTTCTATTCAAGAATAAATTTCAATTAGAAAAAATAAGTTATTTTACCCAAGATATTAAGTAAATTATTGAGAATAGAAAATAAATAATAAACTAGAATAAAGTTGAGTAAAATAAAACTGATTAAGACCATCTTTAAAATTTATCTTAAAAGCTTAAATTTAATATCTCTAATATAATTGATCCTCAAACTAATACTAAATTTCATGAACAATATGTTTTGAATTACATCAATATCGCTTATCTAAGCAAAAATATGAAAAAAATGAGAAAAGATAACATAAATATCCTGAATCAATATGAAGTTTTGTAGTTTAAGGATACCTCAGTTGAGGAATATATTGAAATTCCAGAAAGTCCAAAAAACACCCTTCTAGAAAAAATGAAGCATGCTCCTATTGTTAATGCAAAATTTAAAGATTTTCATAAAATTAGGTCAAAATCGCAAATAGAAATGTGAATAATTAACTAATAATTAATAACTAATATCATTCTTAAAAAAATAGCAACACCTCTGATTTTGTACTCCTATGTTATAGTTTTTGGTTGAACTGAAACTATTAATTTTATCTTCTATCTAACATAGGATGATTGAAAATAGATTTATCTTTTTTGCTCTACTCCAAAATCAAATTATCTAATTCGTCAAATTCCAAATTGTTTAAGCTATTGATTTTTGGACTCTACAACGGACTCGGTATAATTTATAATGGTTTTATATTTGGAGAAGAAAGTTATGATCCTGTACTCACTAAAGTGTTACTAATTCCACTTCTTTAAAAGCGTCCCTTCTCTTAATTGAAAATCTTATGATTAAGTGCCTAGGATGCTGTAAAACGATGAAAAGGATTTCTTGTAAGTAAACTCTAAAGGAAGTCTAAGGCATCTCCATTTAAATTAACTAAACTCCAATCAATGAGTCCCTGTTTATTTAATTTTACTCGTTGATTGTAGTCATCTGAATTAAAAGGATTTTCTCCAGTCAACATCTAAAAGAGTACAATTCCAGCACTGTAGATATCTACTTTGAAATCATACAACTTATTCTATAATAATTCAGGAGCACAATAGCCAGGAGTTCCACAATTTGTAAATAGGTATTAACCATCTTTTCTATAAAAATCTGCCAATCCAAAATCTGTTAAAACCAGCTCTTCTGTATTTCGAAATATTATGTTCTCTGGTTTAATATCTCTATGTATAACACCAAGACTATGCATGTGATCTATTGCAACAAGTAATTGTCGAATAATGTTGAAAGCTCTTTTTTCACTAACCTTCGATTTTTTTATTTCTTATCGCAAATTACCACCCAATAACAATTCAAAAACTACAAAAATAAATTACTCGGATTCAAATGCTTCATAAAATTACATCAAATTTTGATGCTCAAACAGACGAGCAATCTCTAGTTCCTTAGCTAAAGCAGTTTTATCATTTGGTAGTATTAGCAAAGATTTTTCAAAAGTTTTCACAGCAAACTCTATTTGGTTAGTCTTATTTTTCACTCTATAAACCTAACTTTTATACTATATAAATACCTTTCCATAAGTACCTTATCCAATTAATTTTAAAATGGAGTATTTTTAAGTGAAATTCTTTTATATACACTGCTTTTTGAGTTTTTCTAACAATTCTTCTATCCTTCCAAAAATTTCAATGAAGTTTTATCCTAAACCTAATCTACAACCCTCTCCAAAGATATTATGCTTAATCATTTCCAAGGAAGAATTCCCAATATCACAAACCTTCCATTTCTATCATGATATTATCATTTTTTTACCTAATTCCTGTATTTGTATAGGTTTTGACCTTCGAGAACCAGAGTAGCTTCTCTATATACTCCTAATTTATAAGAAACGTGGAAAATGCCACTTGAACATGATTCTATTGGTTTAGTACTTAGAACCCAGTTTGTAGTTCTGTTAGTTTGAAACAGAAAGTTACATGTCTTAATAGTCTTACTATCGATCATTTATAATAATATAGTAATTTTCAATAACAAACCAGCCAAATAAATGTAATAATTAATTAATGAAAATTTTCATTATTAGTACATTCGCATTAGGTCTGTACATAATATTTGATTTACTATTTAACGATCAAATGTGGGATGCCAATACTGAACTTACAGTATATTTGCAAGAGAACTAATTTCAAGGAGAAAAAGAAATATTTTTATTTTTTTCCTATTCTTTATTTGCAATGCCAGGAATTGCATTGATTGCCTTTTTGTTTTTCAACAATAAATTGGGTGCTTTAATTTATTGTTGTTTAGTATAAGCAATTTTTGCAGAGAATTCAGTTCTTAAAAATATATATCATCAAGCACGTCCTTTTTTTATCGAAAACAAAATATAACCATTTGAGTGCAATAAGGAATTTGGAAAACCTTCTGGACATGCAATGACATCATCAGCAATGTGTTTTTTAATACCTTATATAATATTTCCTTCTATTCTAAAGGATTAATAAAAGTAATTCAAATTTATTAAATAGCTAAAAGTCTCCACTTTATTTAAAGATACTAATAATGTTTGTCCTCACTATTTGGACATTTATGACAGGATTTTCAAGAATTTTCATGGGTGTTCATTCTTTAGGATAAATATTATTAGGTTGGGTTTATACAGCTTACAACATTATAATTTATTTGAATTATTTTCACAATCCAATAATGAATTACATCAGACAATGCTTATAGCCAGGATCATAAGGAATTTCTAATAAGGTTGTTAGTGCAGTTGGATTATTTGCTTTTGGATGGACTTGTTTATCAATTTTATTTTTTGAATTGAATAATAGAATATTTCTTGATGAAGATGTTATAAATCTTTGGCTGGATGCTTTGTATAATAAATGCTTAAACCAATAAACTCATTACAATATTAATAGTCCATAAGTTTTACATAATATCTGTTTAAGTTTAAGCTTATATATTTGGTTTCCTTTCAGTTTCCTCTTAGGTGTAAAATTAAGCAAAGGAATTTACAATGAAAATCAATTTCGCATTCATTACAAATTGCTTACTTTTTGGTAAAAACTTTTTAGAATTTTGATCCTCCTAATATTGTTATCAATTTTAATCCCAATTATTTTTATCTAATTCTAAAATACTTATGCAGAAGCATTTGGAAAGGTAATCATGATAAAAACTATATAAGTTTCTGACAATATCTATTTTAGGTGGATTGTTTATCACTGTTGTTTACTCAAATATATTAAGTTACTTCAAACTTGAAGTAGATGGTGATTTCTTATAGGTATCCCCGCAAATTACATCAAACCCTGAAGGATATAAGGAGAGTGAATTAGGATAAATAGTATTTTGAATAATTTTTGAAATTTGACCAATTTAGAAAATCTCAAAATATATTTATATCATTATTTTTAATTAATATCAATATTAAATTATGTAAATTTTATTAAATAAATTGCCACTTATCATGCCCAGTAACTTTAATATTAATCTAGAGTGATTTAAGGATTGGATATTTTTGGATAATCAATTACTTTTAATATTAATAAATAGAAAGCTTATACAACTATTTTTGGAGGAGTTTCATCAATTTTTATTATAGCCATTCTTATTGCATTTTTTTAATCTAATATTGTCTCATTTTTCTAAAAAACAGGTGTTATTGTTTCTACTGAAACAGAATTTAACCCAAATTCTGATTAAATTAATATGAATATTTAAAATTATATGGTGGCCTTTTCAATCGAATAAGAGAATTTTGTAAATTAGCCTATGTTCAATATCACGATTGAACAAAGGTAAAACAAAATTAATATTTATATAGACATTACTATAGAAATCACCTAGGAAATTTAGTAAAATAGGTTGACTATTTATAATTAGAACCATGCGCATTAGAACACTTTTAGTTTCTTTTAAATTAACCTGATTCTGATTTTGAATCACAATTTAATTAACTTGACATTAGTAAATGGTTATGCCCATAGTAATAATTATTCAGTATATCTAGAAAAGATTTTGAATTTCATATGGCAGGAGCATATTCTAGCACAGAATTTCATTTTATTAAAGTTATTGTTAGTGATTGTGATGACACATAAAGTGGATATTTAAATTGGAAACCTACTTGTGCTACTAAATCTCAAAAAGAAAATCATTTGAAAAAAGAAGGATAATTTAAATTGTAAATTTTTTAAGTTAACTCTATTGTTAATCCTAATTCTCCCTCTTAGTACTATTAATCTTATCTTGATGGAGAAATGTATTTTACCTTTGTTCCACAAAAATTATCTAGACAAGCAAATTTGTTTTATAGGAAATATTAATTTTAAAATGACAATTCATTATTACCATTTTAGTATGAAAATTACATATGCTTAGATCTATAGATGAGAAAGAATTAATTGTTCGTAAAAGTGAAGATTATAGAGATTTAACAGAACTTGGAAGAGATACAGATAAAAATTATGCCATTATTTATTTTAGAAGAAGTCAATTTTCAGAATTTGTTTATAGAAGATTTATAAAGATAGATGAATTATTGTCATTTTTAGGAGGATTTTTATAAATTATGATTACAGGATTTGGAATATTTATTACGTATTACAATAAATTATCATGTAAGCCTTTTATTGATATTTTAGTATAAATTGAATTGTGTAATAAATTGTATAATTTTCCAGGATAATTTATAAAAGAATCTTAACTTTAAAACAATAAAGTTTAATAACACCTAGAAGGTTCAATGATTAATGAATCAAAATTGGTTGTCAATCCTGAATAAGGAACTTCAAAAGCTACATTGATATTTGATAAAGAGGATTTTTCATTTCAAAAATCCATTTTAAAATTATTTGAACAATCTTAAAGATTAACATTATCTTTAAAATCTTTAATCAATCATTTATCGTTAAGGTTATTTTTTAATAATGAAGAAACTGAACTTTTTTAAAAAGCTAAGTATCGATGTTAACTAATATAGGAATACCGTAGATTAAAATTTGGATATTCAAGAGATTTTATATTAGTTACAAGAAATATCTAGATTAAAATTATTGATGCTAACTAAGAATCAAATAACATTATTTAATTTCATTCCAAAACCCAATTTGACATTAGTAGATGAAGAGCAACTTCCAAATAGATTATAAATTGAATAAAAATTATCCTAGTAAGAGAAATAAAATGTTAATAAAGACGAAATAATAAATGAACTTTGCAATGTATTATTCTTTTAATATATAAAGGCATGGCTGGAAATAAAATCAGATTCAAATCAAAATTTATGTTCTTAAGAATTAAACCGGAGACTCAATTTAGTATTGGGTAAAGAATTTTAATAAATATTTTTTGAATATGAGAAAATAACTAAAAATTAAATTTAGAATTAATCCGAGAAACCGACTTAATCTTTATTTTTGTTCTAAACGTTAAATTGATCAATATTTATATATACATAGATATATTTATTATATTGAATATTTAAAGCCAAGAAATTGATTAATTGAATTATAAATCATACTTGAGAAATCTCATCGCAATTTTTATAAATTTAATTTTCAAAAGATTGATTATTAATTTTGTAGTTTTAAATTTAATTAAAAACGTGAAAAATTAATATCGAAAGACTTTTTTTTATTAGTTATTTCTTTAAATGCTGACAAAACGATATCTGTATTCATATATTGTGATTTCTGTTAAATATATTTTTAATATACATTTATGTCAAAGGATTTTAAATTATATCGATATTTTTATGAAAAGTTGACTTAATAGATTACATCTGATTTTTTAAGTAAATGATATTCATAAGCTGTAGAAATCAAAAGTGTGGATATTTTGGAATATAATCAATAATAATTAATTTTAACAAACAGAAAACTGAAAAAAATAGTTCTTGGTGGAATATCATCTATTTACTCAATCTTAATTTTGAAGATTATAATATTCATGCAATTAAACATCTTATAAAAACTCCAATGTCAAGATTTATTTATAGAAGATTTATAAAGATGATCAATTATTGTCATTTTTAGGAGGATTTTTGAGTATAGGATTCGGAATATTTAATATGTACAATAATAAATTATCAAGTAAATCTTTATCATAATATTTTATTATTAATTGAATTATCTAATAAATTANAAAAGTGGATACCTTAATTGGAAACCTACTTGTGCTACTAAATCTCAAAAAGATTAACATTTAAATAAAGAAGGATAATTTAAATTGTAAATTTATTAAGTTAACTCTGTTATTAATCCTAATTCTCCCTCCTAGTACTATTAATCTTATCTTGATGGAGAAATGTATTTTACCTTTGTTCCACAAAAATTATCTAGACAAGCAAATTTGTTTTATAGGAAATATTAATTTTAAAATGACAATTCATTATTACCATTTTAGTATGAAAATTACATATGCTTAGATCTATAGATGAGAAAGAATTAATCGTTCGATAAAGTGTAGACTATAGAGATTTAACAGAACTTGGAAGAGATACAGATAAAAATTATGCTATTGTTTATCTTAGAAGAAGTCAATTTTCAGAATTTATTTATAGAAGATATGTAAAGATAGATGAGTTATTGTCGTTCTTGGGAGGATTCTTATAAATTATGATTACAAGTTTTGGAATAATTATTATGTATTACAATAAATTATCATGTAAAATCTTTGTTATTATATTTAGTATAAATTGAATTATCAAATAAATTGTATAACTTTCCTGGATAAGTATTAGGTAAATCTAAAATAAAAAACAATAAAGTTTAATAAACCTTAGAAGGTTCGATGATTAATGATTCGAAAATTATTGTTAACTCTGAATAAGGAGCTTCCAAAGCCACTTTAATATTTGATAAAGAGGATTTTTCATTTCAAAAATCCATTTTAAAATTATTTGAACAATCTTAAAGTTTAAAATTATCTTTAAAATCTTTAATCTTTTAAGTTATTTTTTAATAATGAAGAGACTCTACTTTTTTAAAAAGCTATGTATCAATGATATAATAAAAATAGGGATACCTTAGATTAAAATTTGGATATACAAGAGATTTTATATTAATTACAAGAAATATCTAAATTAAAATTATTGATGCTAACTAAGAATCAAATTAAATTACTTAATTTTACTCCAAAACCAAATTTAACATTAGAAGACGAAGAACAGCTACCGAATCGATTATTAATTGAATAAAAATTATCTTAGTAAGAGATATAGATTGTTAATAAAGAAGAAATAATAAATGAACTTTATAATGTATTTTTCTAATCTATGTAAGGCTTGGCTAGAAATAAAATCAGATAACAGTTAAAATTTTTGTAATTAAGAGCTAAATAGGAGACTCAATCAAGTATTAGGCAAAGAATTTCAATAAATATTTTTGGAATATGAAAAAATATCTAATAATTAGATTTAGAATGCATACGAGAAACCGATTTAACCTTAAGTATTATTATAAACTTTAAATTGATTAATTTTTTTATTACATCTAGATGTATTTAATATTTTTTTTACATTAAATTTTAAGAAATAGAATATATGGAATTATAAACCACGTTAATGAAATCTTCTTGCTATTTTTATACGTTAAATTGTCCAAAAAATTTATTTATTAGTTTTGCAATATTAAATTACTATTAAATACGATGATTTCTTTTTTCCTAGTTATTTGTTTTAATGGCTTCCAATAATAATATAGAAAATCATCAAATTTCATATCTTTTAAATTTATTTTATATATATATATATGTCAAAGAACTTTAAATAAATTAATATTGTTATGAATAGCATACTTAATTAATTACCTTTGATTTTTTAAAGTAAAGATTTTATTAAGCCAAAGTAATCAAAAGCCTGGATATTTTCGGATAATCAATAACATTAAATATTAACAAATAGAAAACTTATAAAACAGTTTTTGGTGGTATATCGTCGATTTGCTTAATCTTTATTTTAATTACTATATTTTAATCCAACATAGTAGACTTCTTCTAAAAATCAGATGTTAGCTTCGCTACAAAAACAGAATTCGACCCAAAACCTGATTAAATTGTTATGAATATTAAAAATTATATGGTGGCCTTTTCAATCGAATAAGAGAATTTTGTAAATTAGCCTATGTTTAATATAACGATTGAACAAAGGTAAAATAAATTAATATTTATATAGACATTACTATAGAAATCAACTAGGGAATTTAGTAAAATAGGTTGACTATTTATAATTAGAACCATGCACTCTAGAACATTTTTAGTTTCTTATAAATTAAACTGATTCTGATTTTGAATCACAATTTAATTAACTTGAATTAAGTAAATGGTTATGCCCATAGTAATAATTGTTCAATATTTTAGGAAAAATTTTGAATTTTATATGGAAGGAACATATACAAGCACAGAATTTGATTTTATTAGAGTTATTGTTAGTGATTGTGATGACACAAAAAGTGGATACCTTAATTGGAAACCTACTTGTGCTACTAAATCTCAAAAAGATTAACATTTAAATAAAGAAGGATAATTTAAATTGTAAATTTATTAAGTTAACTCTGTTATTAATCCTAATTCTCCCTCCTAGTACTATTAATCTTATCTTGATGGAGAAATGTATTTTACCTTTGTTCCACAAAAATTATCTAGACAAGCAAATTTGTTTTATAGGAAATATTAATTTTAAAATGACAATTCATTATTACCATTTTAGTATGAAAATTACATATGCTTAGATCTATAGATGAGAAAGAATTAATCGTTCGATAAAGTGTAGACTATAGAGATTTAACAGAACTTGGAAGAGATACAGATAAAAATTATGCTATTGTTTATCTTAGAAGAAGTCAATTTTCAGAATTTATTTATAGAAGATATGTAAAGATAGATGAGTTATTGTCGTTCTTGGGAGGATTCTTATAAATTATGATTACAAGTTTTGGAATAATTATTATGTATTACAATAAATTATCATGTAAAATCTTTGTTATTATATTTAGTATAAATTGAATTATCAAATAAATTGTATAACTTTCCTGGATAAGTATTAGGTAAATCTAAAATAAAAAACAATAAAGTTTAATAAACCTTAGAAGGTTCGATGATTAATGATTCGAAAATTATTGTTAACTCTGAATAAGGAGCTTCCAAAGCCACTTTAATATTTGATAAAGAGGATTTTTCATTTCAAAAATCCATTTTAAAATTATTTGAACAATCTTAAAGTTTAAAATTATCTTTAAAATCTTTAATCTTTTAAGTTATTTTTTAATAATGAAGAGACTCTACTTTTTTAAAAAGCTATGTATCAATGATATAATAAAAATAGGGATACCTTAGATTAAAATTTGGATATACAAGAGATTTTATATTAATTACAAGAAATATCTAAATTAAAATTATTGATGCTAACTAAGAATCAAATTAAATTACTTAATTTTACTCCAAAACCAAATTTAACATTAGAAGACGAAGAACAGCTACCGAATCGATTATTAATTGAATAAAAATTATCTTAGTAAGAGATATAGATTGTTAATAAAGAAGAAATAATAAATGAACTTTATAATGTATTTTTCTAATCTATGTAAGGCTTGGCTAGAAATAAAATCAGATAACAGTTAAAATTTTTGTAATTAAGAGCTAAATAGGAGACTCAATCAAGTATTAGGCAAAGAATTTCAATAAATATTTTTGGAATATGAAAAAATATCTAATAATTAGATTTAGAATGCATACGAGAAACCGATTTAACCTTAAGTATTATTATAAACTTTAAATTGATTAATTTTTTTATTACATCTAGATGTATTTAATATTTTTTTTACATTAAATTTTAAGAAATAGAATATATGGAATTATAAACCACGTTAATGAAATCTTCTTGCTATTTTTATACGTTAAATTGTCCAAAAAATTTATTTATTAGTTTTGCAATATTAAATTACTATTAAATACGATGATTTCTTTTTTCCTAGTTATTTGTTTTAATGGCTTCCAATAATAATATAGAAAATCATCAAATTTCATATCTTTTAAATTTATTTTATATATATATATATGTCAAAGAACTTTAAATAAATTAATATTGTTATGAATAGCATACTTAATTAATTACCTTTGATTTTTTAAAGTAAAGATTTTATTAAGCCAAAGTAATCAAAAGCCTGGATATTTTCGGATAATCAATAACATTAAATATTAACAAATAGAAAACTTATAAAACAGTTTTTGGTGGTATATCGTCGATTTGCTTAATCTTTATTTTAATTACTATATTTTAATCCAACATAGTAGACTTCTTCTAAAAATCAGATGTTAGCTTCGCTACAAAAACAGAATTCGACCCAAAACCTGATTAAATTGTTATGAATATTAAAAATTATATGGTGGCCTTTTCAATCGAATAAGAGAATTTTGTAAATTAGCCTATGTTTAATATAACGATTGAACAAAGGTAAAATAAATTAATATTTATATAGACATTACTATAGAAATCAACTAGGGAATTTAGTAAAATAGGTTGACTATTTATAATTAGAACCATGCACTCTAGAACATTTTTAGTTTCTTATAAATTAAACTGATTCTGATTTTGAATCACAATTTAATTAACTTGAATTAAGTAAATGGTTATGCCCATAGTAATAATTGTTCAATATTTTAGGAAAAATTTTGAATTTTATATGGAAGGAACATATACAAGCACAGAATTTGATTTTATTAGAGTTATTGTTAGTGATTGTGATGACACAAAAAGTGGATACCTTAATTGGAAACCTACTTGTGCTACTAAATCTCAAAAAGATTAACATTTAAATAAAGAAGGATAATTTAAATTGTAAATTTATTAAGTTAACTCTGTTATTAATCCTAATTCTCCCTCCTAGTACTATTAATCTTATCTTGATGGAGAAATGTATTTTACCTTTGTTCCACAAAAATTATCTAGACAAGCAAATTTGTTTTATAGGAAATATTAATTTTAAAATGACAATTCATTATTACCATTTTAGTATGAAAATTACATATGCTTAGATCTATAGATGAGAAAGAATTAATCGTTCGATAAAGTGTAGACTATAGAGATTTAACAGAACTTGGAAGAGATACAGATAAAAATTATGCTATTGTTTATCTTAGAAGAAGTCAATTTTCAGAATTTATTTATAGAAGATATGTAAAGATAGATGAGTTATTGTCGTTCTTGGGAGGATTCTTATAAATTATGATTACAAGTTTTGGAATAATTATTATGTATTACAATAAATTATCATGTAAAATCTTTGTTATTATATTTAGTATAAATTGAATTATCAAATAAATTGTATAACTTTCCTGGATAAGTATTAGGTAAATCTAAAATAAAAAACAATAAAGTTTAATAAACCTTAGAAGGTTCGATGATTAATGATTCGAAAATTATTGTTAACTCTGAATAAGGAGCTTCCAAAGCCACTTTAATATTTGATAAAGAGGATTTTTCATTTCAAAAATCCATTTTAAAATTATTTGAACAATCTTAAAGTTTAAAATTATCTTTAAAATCTTTAATCTTTTAAGTTATTTTTTAATAATGAAGAGACTCTACTTTTTTAAAAAGCTATGTATCAATGATATAATAAAAATAGGGATACCTTAGATTAAAATTTGGATATACAAGAGATTTTATATTAATTACAAGAAATATCTAAATTAAAATTATTGATGCTAACTAAGAATCAAATTAAATTACTTAATTTTACTCCAAAACCAAATTTAACATTAGAAGACGAAGAACAGCTACCGAATCGATTATTAATTGAATAAAAATTATCTTAGTAAGAGATATAGATTGTTAATAAAGAAGAAATAATAAATGAACTTTATAATGTATTTTTCTAATCTATGTAAGGCTTGGCTAGAAATAAAATCAGATAACAGTTAAAATTTTTGTAATTAAGAGCTAAATAGGAGACTCAATCAAGTATTAGGCAAAGAATTTCAATAAATATTTTTGGAATATGAAAAAATATCTAATAATTAGATTTAGAATGCATACGAGAAACCGATTTAACCTTAAGTATTATTATAAACTTTAAATTGATTAATTTTTTTATTACATCTAGATGTATTTAATATTTTTTTTACATTAAATTTTAAGAAATAGAATATATGGAATTATAAACCACGTTAATGAAATCTTCTTGCTATTTTTATACGTTAAATTGTCCAAAAAATTTATTTATTAGTTTTGCAATATTAAATTACTATTAAATACGATGATTTCTTTTTTCCTAGTTATTTGTTTTAATGGCTTCCAATAATAATATAGAAAATCATCAAATTTCATATCTTTTAAATTTATTTTATATATATATATATGTCAAAGAACTTTAAATAAATTAATATTGTTATGAATAGCATACTTAATTAATTACCTTTGATTTTTTAAAGTAAAGATTTTATTAAGCCAAAGTAATCAAAAGCCTGGATATTTTCGGATAATCAATAACATTAAATATTAACAAATAGAAAACTTATAAAACAGTTTTTGGTGGTATATCGTCGATTTGCTTAATCTTTATTTTAATTACTATATTTTAATCCAACATAGTAGACTTCTTCTAAAAATCAGATGTTAGCTTCGCTACAAAAACAGAATTCGACCCAAAACCTGATTAAATTGTTATGAATATTAAAAATTATATGGTGGCCTTTTCAATCGAATAAGAGAATTTTGTAAATTAGCCTATGTTTAATATAACGATTGAACAAAGGTAAAATAAATTAATATTTATATAGACATTACTATAGAAATCAACTAGGGAATTTAGTAAAATAGGTTGACTATTTATAATTAGAACCATGCACTCTAGAACATTTTTAGTTTCTTATAAATTAAACTGATTCTGATTTTGAATCACAATTTAATTAACTTGAATTAAGTAAATGGTTATGCCCATAGTAATAATTGTTCAATATTTTAGGAAAAATTTTGAATTTTATATGGAAGGAACATATACAAGCACAGAATTTGATTTTATTAGAGTTATTGTTAGTGATTGTGATGACACAAAAAGTGGATACCTTAATTGGAAACCTACTTGTGCTACTAAATCTCAAAAAGATTAACATTTAAATAAAGAAGGATAATTTAAATTGTAAATTTATTAAGTTAACTCTGTTGTTAACCCCAAAGCCTCTGAATAATATTATTAATCTTATCTAGATGGAGAAATGTATTTTACCTTTGTTCCACAAAAATTATCTAGGCAAGCAAATTTGTTTTATAGGAAATATTAATTCGAAAACGATAATTCCTTAATGCCCTTTTTTAAGTATATTAGATACTTATGTTAGGGATATACATGAGAAAGAATTAATCGTTCGATAGAGTGTAGATTATAGAGATTTAACAGAACTTGGAAGAGATACAGATAAAAATTATGCTATTGTTTATCTAAGAAGAAGTCAATTTTCAGAATTTATTTATAGAAGATTTATGAAAATTGACGAATTATTGTCATTTTTAGGAGGATTTTTATAAATTATGATTACAGGTTTTGGAATATTTATTATGTATTATAATAAATTATCATGTAAAATATTTGTTATTATATTTAGTATAAATTGAATTATCAAATAAATTGTATAAATTCTCTAAAAGATCAAGTAAAGCTGCTACACTTAAAAAATCTGTGAAATAAACTGCCAATTAATCAATTTTGAATGAATCATAAATTGAAATTAAAGGAGATTAGCAATCAAAAAAAGATACCAACAAAAAATATGGAATGAATATTACTCATTCAATTTTAAATCTGTTTGAAAAATCTTCAAAATTAAAATTAACACCAAAATCTTTAATTAACTATTTGTCATTTGGATATTTATTAAATGATAATGATACAAAAATTTTTAAAAAAGCCATGTATTTAATAATTTTTATTTTAGGGTTCGGGTTGATTAAAGTTTAGATATTTAAGAAATATTATATTAATTGTAAGAAATTAATAAATTAAAAGAGTTAATGCTTAAAAAATAGTAAATTATACTCTTTAATTTTACATAAAAACCAAATCTCACTTTGGAAGATGAAGATTAACTTCCAAGCAGACTTTAGATTGAACAAGAATTAAATGAAGAAAATAAGGAGGAAATAAAAAAAGAGTTAATAATAAAAGATCTTTATAATGTAATCTTTTATTCTTTGAAAATAGGCATGGTTTGATATAAGATTTGATTAGACATAAAATTTGTGTCAATAAGAATTGAATCAAAAGCTTAACCAAGAATTAGGTAATGATATTGAATCAGTATTTTCTGATTATGTAAAAATTTAACAGAATCAAAAAAATTAGAAAGAAAGTTCTTAAATTATCAATAATTTAGATTAGCATGAGTTAATTTAATCTAAAATAGATTGAAATATTTTATATAAGATTTAATTTTTTTACAGTAATTCATATCCATTGTGAAAATAAATTAAAGATAAACTTTATATAATATTAAAAATTGATGATTGGATGTATAAATGCATATCATACTTCAGCATCAGGATTTACTTAACTAATCTTAATACTTCTACGAGGAGTGAAACGTTTTCTTTGAAATACATTTTTAAGCTCAACAATTTTGGATATAGATAGAGCAGGTTTTCGAGGAAGGTTTCTGCTAATTTTTAGTGAACGTTCTCTTTACTGAAGCTTCTGAAATTTCATAACATACTCAAATGGATAGTACATATAACAAATAAGTTTATTCATGTAATTAAATTGGCTGATAGATCTATTTCTTAAATCTTGTAAGACCTTATTGATATTGTGATTTACCATATAAAGTTCATAGTTTTTAACAATCTCAAATTAATCTAATCCTTATTCTGATTTAAATTTGAGATATAGCATTTCAACATCTAAAATTGACTTTAAATTTTCAAGTTATTCATTAATGGCAGATTTTCTCATTTTTAGATAGAGTTATTCAATTTACTGCTGCATCATTTCATTAAAATCTATTTGTTAATTTTATTCAACATCCAATTAAGATTATTATGGTTATTGTGATTGAAATTTGCTCAAGTAATTTTTTTTATACATGGATAATTTTGCTGTTGTATACTTATTAAAGGGAGGTGGTTTAAGATCAAAATCGTAATGATTCTAACCTCTTTTAACTGAAAGATTATAATCATATGAGCTTTATGAATCCATAATGCCTTATTTTCGTCGATGATTTTGTGAATGAATCATGCTATGTATTGGACTAATAGGTTGTGGGGGAAAGTTATTAGAGGAAGAAAAGTTTTATGAAAGTAAAATGGAGTCTTGTTTTCTTAACAGAATCTATTAATGGGGCTCATGAGTAGGAGGAGGAGAAATATTTCCATCAGATTTCATAGGATTTTCATCAACTTCTTATTCAAATACTAATTATTATTGCAATTATGATTTGATTAATTTTTATTTTTCGTTTTGAAAATAGAGTGTGAATTATTCGATAATTTCTAAATCAGGCAATGTTTGAAATAGATCTTTAGTCCTTTTTTAGGATCTTTTGCATTCATTTCTTTCTTAGGCTTTAGAGTATAAATGCCTTTTGACAACAACCTCTCTGTCAATAGTAATTTTTAGTTAAGGACATCCAATGAGATCATGATCAGATAGCTTACAAGCTGCACAATAGACTCCATAAGGTAATTATTTCTTCTGAACATTCAATTTTATATTGTCTTTAAGTTAACAATAATACTGATAATCTTTTGGGAAGTTGTTTAAGACTGAAAGAAAATCAGTCTAATAATAAAATATATTTAATACTTTACTAAGAGTTAAAAGACTAACATAACCGATAGCTTAAAATATTTGAGTGTTTTCATTTTCAGAAACAAAATCCTAAACTTAAAGGAATTGTCCTTAACATTGAATACCTTTGAGCGAATGACGATGCCTGTTGAGATATTGTAATTAACCTTGTTCGATAAAACAGAGATGTGGCTGCTTAATATTGCCGAGAGTAAAAATGGAAAATGCATTTTAGGGTTGTATTATAGTACGAGTGATGTGACATGATAAAGCATTCTAAAATTCTAGGCTAAAATTACTGGATAAAAAGGAGCAATGACTAAAAAATACACTATTTGATTATTGCCTTAACTCCTACTTCAATTCTTCTGATAATTCAGCCAAGAGTTATTCCTCTTGTTATAGATCAATTTCAGCTTCTTCTTTCCATCTAAAATTTAGATACTCTCGAATTCTAAAATCTATTGAAGATGTAACTACCTGTATTATAGTCCATAAGGAATATTTCTTTTATGCATGTATCTGTTTATAACTCTAATTTTCTTAATCCTCTCTACCATATTTTGATTAATTTCCTTTATAATGATACCAATCGTATTTACACTGTAACTAAACCACAAACATGCTCCCATAATGAAAAATATTGCCACTATCTTTTCATTCGAACTTTTAGGAATATTATCTCCATATCCAATTGTCAACATTGTAACTATAGCAAAATAGAATGCTTCTAAGTATTGAACTTGCCATGTTTATTAATCTAATTATTTGAATTGAATCCAAGACTCTTCGAGACTCAAATTTGAATTAAAATACCAAATACATGAAAACATATGTAAAATATACATGAGAGTTAAAATAAGTTTCAATAAACTGATGATCCCTTTCTAAGATTTACTAAAGTACTGTGATTCCTCGCTCTTTTGTATCACTTCATTAATATGTTTGAATTGCATCAAGGAAGTAAGCAAAATAATTAAATAGTAATTTGATATTTATTCTCCTTTATAAATGCAATAATAGAATAGAGGAAGTAGAGTTAATAAATCTACAAATAATACACTAAATATTTATTATCGTACTATTTCAAAACGATCTAAAACAGCTTGTCCTTTTACATAACATATTGTATTTAATCTTATTATCACATCAAAAAGTAATAAAGATGAAAGTAAAGTAGTGAGTGGCAGAACTTATTCAAACAAAATACCAGGAGCATAAGCAATCTCAAGAGGTATTAATACCAATAAAATTAATCTAATTAAAGTTATGAAGTAATCCCACATCAGTTTATTATGACTTTCAGGATGGAATTGAGGAATCTTTGATAGTTTTTCATATCCGTATTTCCTTAATAGTAAATACTTCTCTTTTATTGATATGTACACAGGATTCTCAGGTTTTACTAATGTATGCTAACGAAAAAGTCGTGAGACATTACGAATTTAAAAAACTGGACTTGCAAATTTCATTTAAGTTAACATAACTTAACTAAAGTTGTTTTGTTTATTTACTTATCAGATCCCTAATCATCAATCAATTATAAATGGTTTTCATTTATATTTTGTAATTTTTATCGATGACTGCGTATTTTCTATACAAATCGTTTCACAAAAAAGAATGCCATTAAACTAACACCAGTACGCTAAGCTCTTTTTGTCCATTCTGGAAGTAAAGCCTATTTAGAAGTTTAATCAACCTCATTTGTTCTACGAGTGTCTAATTGGGATTTAATCACACAGTTTGGACTATTGAATGTTCCTTTTAAACCAGTATTCAGATATTCTTATTCATACTCCATTTCATTTATAGCTTACAACTCTTGTACTGGAGAAAAGTTGTGTTGTTGGTACAAGAGATTTGATTAATTCATTTTTGTATTAATAATTGTATACATTAACTCCATTAATTGTAAGTCGATTAAGAATTTTTATAAAATGTTATATTTATTTGAAGAACAATTTATAATCCTAGTAATCTTCAATAGTTTCTTTTCATTAAAAGCCGAATTTAAAAACATCTAAGTCAATTACATTAATTAATATGTTCAAATATATTTGTATATTGATTTTTCTTTTTCGAATTAATATTAATTTAGTAAATGTAACAGGACAATTAGTATGAAAACACATACTACTAATCCAAAGGACTCAATTTGCACACTCGATAATCAATAAAACCGTTTCTTTTCCCATAAACAGAAGCCAGCACACATCGCTTTTCCTAATTAGATTATTTTACAGAACCCACTGCAAGTATGGTCGATCCTTTAGGACCATAAACTGATAGAACACATATCAGAAAGAATAGATAGCTTATCAAATATATTAAACCTGCTAATATTGAACCGGTATCACATATACTGAATGAAGAAAAGAATAAACTCTAAACTAAATTTAATTTACTAGACTCTTTTACTCAAAGACATTCCTAACACCAGTTATATGTTAAAAATGATAATAAACAAGAATTTTTATAAAGGAAGTTTAGTGAGTAAAAACTAGGTTTCAAAGTATAGCAATTAGATGAAGAATAGGAATCTCATATTTTATTAAGGAGAAATTAATTCTTTTATACTTCTTTAAGAATAAAAGATAGATATTCTCCTTTGACTCTATAAATAAGAATCAAATAAGGTGATCCAAATACTAGATTAAGAATATTTGCATCTCCAAAATTCATTTAACCTAATCGATTTAATGCTGCTGTTGAAGTTAGTGGAAGACAATTAAAATATGCTTCTAATTCTGAAATATTTTAAGAAGAAACCTTATATGTTGCTATATTAGCATTAAATGAATTATAAATTGCCATTAACATTGAATTTGGAAGACCTACAACTAGAAGAGTTATTTAAAGAGAAAGAAAAGAAAAGTCAACACATGAATTTCCTCCTGACTTAGAACTTTAAATAGAAGAAATTATGATGAGAAGAAGGCTTCGCTATGCAAATTAATAAAATTATGTAGAATTAAATAAATGTTCTTAAATGTCACGTAGAATTCCAGAAAAACCTCAAAATCCAAAACATATAGAAATAAAATAAAAAATAAGAAGATTGAAGGTTGAATAAAGTCTAAAAAGAGTTGCCTAGTTATAAGTTCATGACATAGCTAAATAAATTCATAGAAAATAATTAGAAATGCAAAGAGAAATAAAACATAGAGAATATGTTTAAAAGTCTTGGCTTAAAATTGTTTGTTTAATCAATATATTAGCTCCTGGTATAAATGAATTCATAGAAAATTAAAGATAATTAGTTGCTAAAAATATGAAAAAACAGATCTCTTTAATATAACTCTTAAATAAAATTAAAAGAAAAGTAGAGAAATTTGGTCCTAATTGTAAATTAAGAACAATTTTACAAGGAAAATGGTAATAGTCATTAAATTCTTAATAGTTGTTTATAATTGATTGCAAATAATTCAAGAATGATAGCTAAAAGAAGGGCATAAAAGATAATTACACAAATGTTGCAAAACAATATTACTTGTTTTATTACTGAAAGCAAAGGCACTCATGTTGTCAATTTAAGTAATGCGAAAAACCATATGAAGTAAAGAAATGCGTGAATCGATTAGTGAAGCACAAAAACAGTAGAATTGAATTTATGAGCAACCTCAAACTCTTCTTGAGTGTTTAGTACAAACAGCTTTACTAAATAGCTTTAAGATACAGTAAATAAAGTGATTCGACTAAAAATAAAAGAGATCCAATACATTTTCTATTATATGATGCGTAAAATTATAAAGTATTATTCTAGTTCTTTTTTGCATTAAATGACTAAGAAATTACTAAAACATGTTTTTGAAAAGTGGAATAAGAATTTCATCACTTTTAGAAATGCAACAAAAGAAGAAAGAGAAAGAAAAGGGAAAAAAGGAGTTGCTCTATTTTGGTAACCTCCAAAACTTTTTGAATTACCTTAAGATATAGTTGTTAGGCTATTCTTATTTGAAGAGTTAGAGAAGAGAGGACTCATAACTGGAGAATATAAAGAGTGAATATTTAATGATACTAATCATATAAAATTCAAGCATTAAATTGTATTATATAGTATTTAAATATAAATAAAAGTCCCATTGAATAAGAACTCAATATATTTTTTACTCTATATGATCATGATTATTAAAGCTGAAATCCTTTTTTAACTTGTATATACAATTAGCTACTTAGAATAAAAATTAATGTGATATTATATTAATATCTCCATTATATTTTGTAATTTTATGTCAGTAATTTCAGAGAATGTGTTTATACTTCTATTACTTCATTATTAGTATTTTTGTAATATTATTAACCAAATTTAAAATAATTAATTTGAATACCAAAAATTAATTAATAGCTATTAGTTATTTAAATATTTGGAGATATAATTATTCTCTATTAGGGTTTTATTATGGCAAGTTCAAAAGAACTTAACAAAAAAAATTGGATCTTTTTAAATCTATTTTAATTAAATTGCTTTTGGTTCATAAGCACTACACGAAATTTGAATTAATGATTCTATTAGATTTATTTCAGAGTAATCATTATTAAATAGTTTTTCTAAAAGACTTATTGATTCTTATAGTATTTTGCCTATTCCAATACTTAACCTTAATTTGTTGATTAAGCAAAGAATCGTTCTAATAGAAGGAGAATATTCATATCTAGGGTGTAAACTTATAAAATCACTTAATAATCGTTAATAAAAAGTAAAATAATATTAACCTGGTTAATCTATATTGAAAACGAAATAAATTGAATTATTATTTTTAATCACTTTAGTTTGACGTGTATGAATGTAATTATTTTTTAAAATATCATATATAAAGAATTTAAAAATGATGAACAAAATCATCCGAAGACATATAAAAGATTCCATTTTAAGCTTTTAAAGAAAATCTTAATTACTTTACTATTTTATTTCTTTAGTCCTTTTGAAAGATATTAAATAACTCTAATTTTAAATATAGAATAAGAATGTTTAACCAATAAACCAATAACGTATAAATTATTTGATTTATGTTGGGTAGGTCTGGTCTAAAATTACACGTTTTAAAATTGTATATAATATCTCTGATTATTTGCTTTTTTTGGGTCTTCGAATATAATGGCTTCTAAAACAGGATGAATTGTCGCTAATCGAATTTCTTTTTTTTCTATTTATTGTAAATTATTTAAGGTTTATGCTAATTTTAATTGATCTACTTTCTGATATCCATTTTTTTAAATTTTAAAGAGAAATTTTTGAAAAAGAATATTTATTTTTCAATTACAAATATGAATTTAGTGTTCGTAGTAGAATTTCAAAAAGCTTTTTTTCTCATTTACATTTTAGAAAAAATCATTGTCTTAAACAAAGCTAATAAAAATTACCTCAACATCTTAATTAAAACCTTAAAGAGACTTTTAAATTATCAAAAGAATTTCATTTAAACTTCTTAGATTAATATTATATTATAGGGTACTTATATTTAAATAGCTTAATGAAGTAATTCATTTAAAATAGAGACTGGTATAGATGATATCCCTGAATTAGAAATTAATGAGAAATATAAGTTCTATTGAATATTATAAAATTTCGATGAAAATATTTAAGTTATTAAAACCAAAGCAATTATCTTGATTTATCAAAATTGTAATGTCATAATAATTTTTATTGAATAAATAAAGAAAGGAATATAAACTTAGTAAAGGAAGGATATTTTAAATTTATTAAGTAAATTCTATGATAAATCCAAAGGTAGATAATATGAGTATTAATATGGACAGAGAAATTTATATAGTTTATGTTCAAATTCTAGATAACGTATTTTAAAAGAAATATAATTTTATTAATGATTTATTGTTATTATCTAACATTCATTAAAAGGAAAGAATAATGAGTGGAAGTGCAATTAGAGTTTAAACAGTATATACGATAATAAAATTCTTAGGAATAAATTGAAGTAAATTGTTTGATCAAAGAGAAAAATCGAATAAGCTAAAATAAGTAAATTGAATCCAAACATAATAAATTTTTTTAAGGCAATTTAAATTTAGAATAAATCAGGGTCAGATTCATTAGAATTAGTAAAATATAGATGAAGAATCTTATTAAATGATTTTTTGGTTGATGAATAACAAAAAGGATTGTTTATATATATAAATATTGAAATGTGTTATCTCATAAATCAAATGGATTACTATTTACATATAAATGAGATTTCCTTGTTTGATTTTATTAATTTCATACCGAAATTTAAGTGATTTAGTAAATTGTAATTTTCATGACAAAACTGATAAAAATTTGTTTTATTAATTAAATGATGTAAAATTGTATATTTTTAGAATGATGTTATATTTGAAGTGAAAGAAAGATAAGAAGATGAATAAGAGAGTTTTTTTTAGTTTTGATTGAGTATATAGTTTTGGTTTAATAAGCTGTGTAATTAGAAGAGAGTAGCATTTTGAATTATAAGTAAATAGAAAAAGAGAGAGAACCTATATTAAAAGATAGATAAATGAATGAATTAATAAGTATATTATTTGGTATAAAAATATTTAACATTTAATCTAATAAATAAATATAATAATAATAATGGATTAGAAGAATTAATGGAATTAAAAATCATCAGTATAAGAATTTGGAATACAGAAATCCAGTTTATCAAAACCAGTCCATTAATAAGTGAAACCAACATAGTAGGTGGCTCCTAAGAATGAATAATAAGGTGAGAATCAGTTGGTGAGAAGAGTGACTAAAAGAAATATTGGAATAAAGAAATCAATAGTTTCAAATGAAGGAACAATTTATGAGACATTTGAACCGTTAATGAAGCCATAGACTCCATAAGATATAGGATTTATAGTAAAATGCTTTTAAGCTCATTTCGTATTTTCTTCAATGAATGAAACATAATTGTAAGATAAATAATTAAATGAAGAATTCAATTAGCAAAGAGTATGTTCTATTGTAGACTGGTGATAGGATAGATGATAATAAAATAAGGAGATGGAGCTAGCTCTTTTTTTGTATTAGAGAAGGGAAAGATAAATGTTTTGGTTGATGGAATATCTAGAAAATAATTAAGTTAAGGAAATGGATTCGGAGAATTAGCATTATTATATAATGCTCCAAGATCAGCAACATGTGTAGCTATGGAAGAGTGTTTTTTATGGGGAATAGACAGACATACATTTAGAAAAAGTGTTGAAAATGTTATGAGAAGTGAATAAGAAAAGAATAGATAATTATTAGAATAAGTTAAATTCTTTAGTAAACTATTTAAATTAAATCTATAGATTAATTGACAAAGGATTAAAAAGATGCAATTTCAGGAGTTTTGATTTTATAAAAGTTTAATCAGAATGAGATTATAGTAAATGAAGGAGATCAAGCTAGTTCATTTTATATTATAGTTGAAGGAAAATGTGGAGTTTTTAACAAGGAAGATGTTTAGATTGCAACTTTAAATCCAAAAGATTCCTTTGGTGAATCAGCATTAAAACATGATAATCAAATTAGAATGATGACAATCAAAGCTATTGAAAAAGATACCAAAGTTGTAGCTTTGGGTAAAGATATGATCTCATAGATATTGGGTGACAAAGTCTAATATATCATCTATAAGAATATTTGTAAATGGGCATTAAATAGATCTAAATTATTTGGAAAGGTATCTGCAGCTATATAAGATAAATTGCTAGAAGGTGTTATCTATAGAAAATATCTTGCAGGATAAAAAATCATTAATAAAGGAGATAAAGTTGGATTCTTGTATGTTCCTTTAGAAGGCAATGTACTAGATGAATAAAAAAATGTGATTACTAATAATATTATAAATGAAGAATCTCTCTTTGATGAATTTATAAATACAAAGCATGCCCAATCATACCATATGGAGAATGAAGGACATGTGGCTGTTATTGATTATGATAAATATCGTAACATTAATGGAAGTGTAGAAAAACTCTTAGATATTGAATAAATCCATCCTCATAATCAATAATCTCATGACTAAGTCAAAAAACTTTAATTAAAAGATCTGGTTTTCTTAAATAAATTAGGATCTGGATAATTTGGATCTGTCTATCTATGTAAGGATAAAAATATGGATACATTATTTGCTCTAAAATATGTCACTAGAGCACATATATAATAATATGGAATATAAAAACATGTCTAATAGGAAAAAGCTGTTCTGGAAATAATGAACCATTAATTCATACTTAAATTTTATAGATCATTTAAGGATGGTGAAAATATTTACTTTCTTACAGAATATATAGCAGGAGAAGAATTATTTGATGCAATTCGAGAAATTGGATTACTGGGCAAATATGATTCTCAATTTTATACTGCCCAAATGATTCTTCAAATGGAGTATTTACATACTGTTCATCAAATTGTATATAGAGATATAAAACCTGAAAATGTTATGGTTGATCAATTTGGCTATCTTAAATTAATTGACATGGGAACTGCTAAGACTCTCAAAAATGTTTGTAATGCTATCATTCTAAAAAATAGCTCCTCCCAAAACTTTCACTATAATTGGAACACCTCATTACATGGCTCCAGAAGTCATTTCTGGAAAAGGTTATGGATACTTTGCAGATTTATGGAGTGTTGGATGTTGTCTATATGAATTTTTATGTGGTGGTCTACCCTTTGGAGAAGATCAAGAAGATCCTTTTGAAATCTATAAAGAAATTGTAAAGAATTCTATACATTATCCACAATATATTACAGATAAAACAGCTAAAACTATAATTGAATAATTGATGAACAAAATTCCTGAATGTAGATTGGGAGGATCCTATTCATCCCTCAAGAACAATTAATGGTTTTCAGATTTTGACTGGGTATTAATTAAATAATAATTTCTTAGAATAAATTGATTAAGCGTGAACTTTAACCTCCATTGATTCCTAAAAAAGAAAAAGTAATGAATAATTCATAGATTGAAGACTAAATGAAAAAGAATATTTTAGTTATTGATCAAATTTAAAAAGATACTATGGGATAGAAGAAGGTCTTTGCATAACAAAAAGATGCAGAATGGGATTCAGTATTTTGATTACATGTGTTCTATTAGAAAATATAATAATACAATAATTTTATTTTATTACTTTATGAATTTAAATTGAATAATTTATTAAATAAATAAATATACTCTATTAAACAAGTAAATGCAATAATATTATATACTTATAAACTATATAGAAAGTTGATTAGGAATGTTGGGATCAAAAAATTTATTGAATATTGATTAAATTTAGAATTGTTTATAATCACCATACAAATTAAATTTAATGATTTAAATTAATAAGGATAATTCATCAGTCCTTAATGTTTACATATAAAAATTTAGTAATATTATATTTTTGATATTTAAAATATGAAATAATAGCCAGAACCAGAGATTCCTACTCTTTAATAATAGAATAAATATTTAGAGAAGAAGCGTTCAGGACAAGGTTTGGAAATAAATTTCAAATTGTTTAACGACTTTCTAAAATTAAGAGCATCAGGGTTCTCAAAAGTTACTATCATGTTAATCGTTTCGTTTTTTCATTAAGCTTTGAGTTATATTGCTTAGTAAGACTCATATTAATATTCTGATATAAGCACCTTGCAGATTTACATTATTCAACCGAGAGTACCTTATTAAATCAAATTTTGAGTGCTTGTTAATATATAGACATCCTCAGTTTATTAAGAATAGACACAAACTTTTCGTATTTCATATTTACGATAGCATTAATCTTTACAATAGGTTTAAGCCTGCTATATTTGATGATATATATTTTAGGACCTGAATACAAGCCTAGAAAAAAGTTCATTGGAAAAGTATTAAATAATTGATAAATACAATAGTTATTTGTATTTCTTTGTGATATATACATTTGGTTAATGTTTTTTCCATGTATGATAACATGTTTTGAATTTTGTCTATGTAATTAAGAGGATAAGTGTAATTTTGATGCAATTAGATTGATTCTAACATTATTAGCTATTTTAGGGTTGATATGTGGTTTGATAAACATAATAGTATTAACAACTTTATTTCATAATAATTGGGAAAATAAGAAAGATTGTTTTAATGGAGAGAATGTAGTTTATTTAAGTTGTTACCAGTTGAGTCGTTTTGTATTAGCTTTCTTAGTTGTTTTTAGGTATAAATATGAATATGATATTAAAGCACTAAAGTATATACATTTTTTTGGTTATTGATGGTAGTATCATTTGCAATTTATACATTATTTTTAGTGAACATTTTAATAGGGAATGGTTTCTTAGCTTTTGGTACTAAATATACAAGATCATTATTTATACTTATGTTAATATTAATGATTAGTATTACGTTTTCATCAATAATAGATGAATTTCATCGAAGTTAGAATTCTGATACAAGAGTTGAAAATTTTAGTGTTTACTTTATATTCAATTTGATCTTTCTATTTTTAGTAGTTGGTTATAATTTAAGACATACTTAAAGTTTATCTATATAATTTGATATTCGTTCTCTTACTCCTGAGAGTTTGCATAAATAAATATACACAACATTGGCTTTTTTAGAGATATCAATGACTGATATTTCAATTGACACTTATTTTAAAGGAATTTTATAAAGACATTTAGATTTTGAATGTTAACATCCTGTAATAAAGGGAGAAGGAAGATGTTTTTGCAAAAAGAAAAGAGTTTATGATTCAAAAAAGAGAAAGGAAGTTCGGGTTGAAGAATGGATTACAATGAAAGCGATAATTATGAAATTTCTTATAAAAAGTTGGATTGAAACTTATTTAAGTTATAGACCTAATGATATTGGAGTTCAAATACTTTATGCTAGGTAATAGAATTATATAAGTATATTAGGTTTATGTTTAGTAAATTTCATAATCATTAGATTGCTTTACATATCTTATCAGATTTAGAAAAGAGATTTACATTTTTATTAGATAGATATAAATCTTATTAATTAAAATGGAAAATAATAAAATTTATACGTCATAAAAATAGTGATAGTTATAAAGGTAAATTAGAAATAGAAAATGCTTTATTTGTAGAAGAATAGATTGATTCTATAAAAAATAATATAACTAATATTCTAAAATAGAATTGTGTATTTTGGAATAATCTCCAATAGACAACTATTGATATGAGTGAGATGGATAATCTATTATAAATGTAATTTAAAAAAATAGAAGAAACAAAACATTTATGGATAACAATTACTAATTATTTAGAATTTAAAAAGAAATGGAAATTTTATTATGCTTGGTTTACTCTTTATATTTTGAATAAAAAGATAAAGAATAGAATCCTCGATAATTTTTAAGGTTTCTAAGTGAATGAGAATGATATCTTTTCTGAAGAATTATAAGAACACAATATTGAAGAAGATGTAAATAGTGTTAAATCAGGATATTTAGATAATGAGAAAATAGAAATAAAAAGCAGGAAAATAATATTTGATAGAAAAGCTTGTATTATATAAGCTAGTGATGATATTTAATCATCAATTCTTAAAGTTAATAAACAATTTACTAGAATATTTGGTTATTCAGGCGAAGAGGTTATTAAAAAGTAAATATTTATATTATTATTGAATAGATTACCAATTATTAATTTAATGCCTGATGTTTATAGTAAAGTACATCCTTAAATTCTAAATGATTATAAATAAACAGGTAAGACAAACTCTCTCTATTCTCAAAGAAAAATTTATTGTTTACATAAATCTGGTATTATGTTTACTGCATGGAAATTCCTTAAATTATATGTTGATTTAAATGGTCTATCTTAATTTGTTATTATGATTAGACCAACTGATTTTGATAATGAAAAAAAACATGATTACATTATTCTCAATAATGATTGGGAAATTAATGGAATGACAAATAATGTACTCTAAGGACTTAATCTCGATTCTCGTCTTTTTAAAAAGATTTCCTCAGAATTTGTTTTATTTAATATTCTATTATTTGCTCCTAAACTTATCTAATATTCTAGAATTGCTCCTTTAATTAATGAAGAAAGAGATTTACCTATTTTTGGAATGATGAAAAATCCTAAAAAACCTGCTTAAAAAAAAGTTGTTTAGTAATAAAATGTTCTTGAGAATTAATTATCTAATTCTAGCAAACCTAAAATTAATGTTAATATGTTAGGTTCAGCTTCTCTTAAATAATCTTTAGGAAAACCTATTTCAGTTATGTATTCAGATATTGATTTTGGATCCAAAGTCTTATTACCATAATAATCTATTGATTAATAAGTACCATAATAATTAGTGGTTGCAAATGAAAGAGATAAATTCTTATAACATTAAATGAGTTCTATTAGTGATAAAAATGAATTTGAAGATTTTAATAAATAATTAGGATAATTTGATAAAATCTAAAATCTTAATCAAGAAATGGAAAGAAAGGCTGAAGAATAAATTAATCAACTTAAAGAAACCTAATTTTTAAATAATTATTCAAAAATATAAACCATGGGAAATAAAGAAAAGGATGCTTTCAGTGAAGATAATATTAGTAGAGATGAAATGATTGAAAAAATTAAAGGAATTAAAATTTTTGAAGGTAAAATCAATAGTGGAGAACAACTTCAATTTAGAATGAAAATTCCAGAAAATATGGATTAAATTATTGATTATTATTCCTCTTAAAAATCTAAGATGTACTAATTAAAAAAATAATAAGATGATGTATAAATTATAATTATTATCATTTTAGCAAGTTAAATAGGAAGAAGTTATAGATCAAGTTAAAAAAAAAGAAAAAGATAAATTTTTTGTCAAATAAGGAACATAACAAAGAGAATTTAGAAAAAAAGCTAGATTAATGTTTTAAAAAGCAGCAGAAATGAAAAGATGTTAAGATGATGTGTATTATTATTAATCTTATTCTTTAGAAATTTCTATGAACTATTAGTAGAAATCTATTAAAAACTTATATAAGATTAAAAAACTCGTACATTTAAGTTGAGTTGTACAATATAATTCATAAAAATTAAAGATGAAAGAATTGGTATAATTAAAATTACTTCAATAAATGAAATAACAAAAGTAAAAAGAGTTATAAGAGAAAGAGATGGGAATCGTAAATAATCTGTGTTTTTAAAAAATATTGTACCTTCAAGAGAATTAGGGGGAAAAGGATCGAAATTGTCAGCCACTAATTTAACAAATCAATTTGAAAATTCAAAATTTGTATCTATGGTAAGTGAAAGTGATACAAAATAATAAATAAGTCCTGTAGATATAAAACCTGCTTCTAAAACTCCTCTTATAAAAGATAAATCATTTAAAGGTAATTTAGGTTATTAAATGAATGTTCAAGGTTAAGTTCAAGAATTAGACGATGATAAAGATTTATTAATAGATAGTAAGGCTTTTAATAAAATGATAAACTGGGATACATTTTAACAATAATTTAAAATGTAATAAGGAGCACTTAATTTTTCACTAAATGCAGGAGATAATATATTTAGAAAGGAAGATAATAATAAACCTCGTAAATTCTTAGTAAAGATTGCATATTTAACTTGGTTTTTAAGAATAATGTTTGTTGCCATAATAACTTTAAATCTTTTGACTTATTTTCTTAAACCTTTTTTAGAATTCAATCCTATGATATCTTAATCATAAAGGATTTTGGCATTATCTTAGATGCAAACTACAATGATTGAAACTTATGATACACTTTTAGATCTACTAATATTTAGAGATGATTAAGATTTTAATTAAATAGGAATGACAGATAAATTAACTTATTATAGTTATTAATTGTCTTCTATTTAATAGAGTTATGAATTTCTTAAAATTTAAATACAAGATTTAGATCAACTTTAGACTTTTTTAGATGATGATATATTTTATTCAACTCCTATATCTGATTAATCAATATAGGGTGAAGCTAATACTACTCTTACTTTAGATAGTAAAGATTTCTTCACAAAATTTATTATGTTAGAACACTAAATATCAATGATGGATGCTTCTTTATTAGAAATAATAAGTTCTACAGATCCAGTTGTTAAATTTATTCGTTATGTGACAATACCATAATTATACAACTAATTAAATAATGCTGTTATGGATTTATAAACTATTGTTTTAGAAAAATCAGATTCCATTTCTGATTTGGTTGTGATTATACTAACTATTGAAGGTTCTCTATTAGCTATTGGTTTCTTTGGATTGCTTATTATTATATTTTGGATCAGTCAAACTTATAAAGCAGTATTAAAAATCTTCATATTGATTTAAAAGAATGATTTAAGTAAAATAGTTAAATAGTAAAAATTTATTGAGAATTAATTCAAGTACATTATGACAAAAGATCTTGAAATTAGTGGAATATAACCAAAAAGTGTTTATTAAAGATTTAATTCTATCTCATCTAAACATAATTTTTAAATGCAATAAAACTTTCTATTAATAAATGAAGAAGAAGAATAAAATATGAATAAGAAGAGAGAAAAAAATATTATTGATAGATCATTGTTAAAACAATTGACTCTTAAATTATATGCAACTTATATAATCTTAGTTTTTCTATCAGCAGGAGCCTCCTTAGCTTTTTTCTTATCACTTAAATAAGCAAGTAGCAATATTAGCAATATAATTTCTATTGGATAAGTTGCGATTTCTGATTTCTCTGATAATTAATTACTTTTAGTTTCTGTTAAGGAACGATACTATAATGAAGAAAATTATTACATAAATTACCTTCCAAAAGTTAAAAGTTTACTTGAAAATTAAATTGAAAATATTAAGTAAACCCCTTCAATTAATAATCCTGGTTATGGAGACTTCTATAATGGATTTCAAGCATCTTATTTTAGTAATCTTTGTTATTATTTGTTTAATTAAACTTGTATTTAATTTATTTTTATTTTTAGTATTAAATTCTACTGGACAGACTGAATGTGAATCAATAATTAATGGAAAGTTAAAAGATGGAATAGTTGCATTTAATTAATATTTCCTTTCTAATGTCTAGGATTATGTTTTATTAAATATTGATAGATTTGGATTTATTAATAATAAATTGATATGGAATTTTAATTCATGCATAGACTACGTTAAAAGTACCTATAAAGTTTTACTTACAAAGTGGGCTTAGGTATATTATCATTTTAATATTCAAGGATTTAAATTAATTAATTGATTCAAATATCACATTAATCTTGGTATTACTTATTGTTATGCAATTATTTTAATTAATTGTCTTTATGGTAATTGCTGAAATGTATTTGGTAAATCAACTTAATTAGACATTTTCCTTTTATAGATTAGTTTACAAATCTTATATGCCAAATGATATAATTCAAAAAGAGAAAATTATAAGAGCTTAATTAATACGTTATAATATAATTAAAAAATGACTTTATATATTATTAATTTATTTCTTTTCAGTTTTATTATATAATTCATTTTTATTTTTTTAATTTATATATTAAATTGTATTCTATTTTTATTAAAGTTCATTTTATAATTTAATCTGCATCAAATTTATAATAATATTTTAATCAACTTATTATTATTTTTTTGAACTTTTAGATTATATTACAAATTTCTTAATTATACCTTTTAATATCTTTTAATATTTCTATTAAAATGGATTCATCATAATCTATTTGAGTATTAATTCAGGTAACATCAAAGCTGGAGTTCTAACAATAGATTTTCTATGCTGTATTTCTTCAGTTTATTAAGATATAAACTTTACTCAGTTCCCCTTCCCAATTATTCAGTAAATTTATATAATATACATGGATCTTATTCCATAAACTTTATCTGCATCACTTGTTTAATGAATTCGTCATTTTTTGTAAAAAATTCTTGTTATTTGCATATAACTTTAAAAATTTGATATTTAACCATTTCGAACATTATTATTAATTTCTTTAAAACCTTTTTATCCCACTTATTATCCTTTTTTAAAATGATTCTATATATTTTTATTTTAAATAAATTGTCATATTATAATTTACTCTTCTATTAATTCTAAACATTCTGATTTTATATTTTATCCCTTATTTTTAAATCTCATATTCCCCATCTTATTTATATTATTTAATAATGATTATTTATAAAATATTTCTAAACTCCTTTAATAAAATCGAATTTTTAAAAAAGTGAATAGATAAAAAATTTATTACTTTCATCAAACCACTATTTTAATTTATTGATAATGTTATTTTATGATTTTTAAAATTTCAGAATTACATCAATTACAAAAAAGATTCGTATATTTAATCTAATTTATTATTGTACATTCAAATGAAATTATAATGATTCAACCTTTTAGTTTTAGTTTCGGGTTACTTTCTTTAAATATTTAAAAATTATACATAAAAATTCTGATTGCTTTCAACTTCGTACTCTTGTCTATATCAAATACTAAATAAAAAAAAAGTTTGAGTAATACTTCAGAATTCTAATAATTAGTATCAGAAATATGTTAAAATTTCATTTTTATCATAAAATATTAATTCAATAGATATATTCTGAAATAGATGATAAATTTATTGTTTTAGATAGATATTTTTTTAATAAAATAAAAAGAATACATTGTGAAATAACATGTTTTATACTCCTAAAATCAAAACAGTTCCATTATATCAAATATTTAGAATTTTTTTACAATTTCCCTTTAATTATTTTAATTTTGATCAATAGTGATCATTTTATTCATATAATAGAAATTTTTCTAAAAATTAGATGATGATTTATATAGAATCAACAGATTTTTTTAATTAACTTAATTAATCATTTAAGACTTCTAAAATTTTTTTTTTCTGTTTCACTCTATGATTTATTCTTAAATATTGATGATCAATTATGATAGTTTAGATCTTCTTCATTAAGAAATAAATATCTTTTTATAAATTGTTATACTCCAATTTAACAAAAGTTATTCACAGTTCTAATCTTTTCTCAAACTTTTTATTTGTTTGTGATCTATTAAATAAAAATGTCTTAAATTACAACTTATTTTTTCTATTATATTGAATCACAATCTTAAATTATCATATTAACAACTATCCATTTATTTAATATGGTTTCATCTAAATTTTGATCATTTCTGTTATAATTGAAATCAATCTTAAAAAATTTGAAATTTTATTCGTAGATTGTTATAGAAATTAAAAAAAACTTTGATATAATTATATTAAATTGATTTTATCTTGTTCTTCATTTTCCATTAAACGCATCTCCTTTAAAAAATATATATTTTTAATTTCTACTTTACAAATTCTAAATAATTCCTTTATAGTAACTTAAATAAAATTAGCATATATTTTTAAGTAATTTCAAATAATTTTATATTATTTAAACCCAAATCATCACAAAATCAATAGTTCATATATAATTATTTTTTTATTTAATTAAATTAAATTAAAATAAATTTAATTAAACTGAAACTAACTAACTTTTATTTTATAAAAAATTCTCTAAAAATCTCTTTATTTGTTGAATATCTTAATCATTCTAATGGATTTAACTATTAATGAATATAGCAATAGATTGGATGATATTAATTACATAATTAAAGTATTATTCTAAATGCAATAAAAATATTTTTCTTTCTTGAGTATTTATTAAAGTAATTATAATTTTGAAAAAGCTTTGAAAGTTTTATGTTTTTTATTCAGAATGCTATTGAAAATGATAGTAATGAATTAATTATAAATAATCCTTAATAGTTCATTAATTTTAAAAATAAAATCTATTCTATTTAGATAATTATTTTTTAAAAGGATAGATTAATAATAACAATCATAAATATTAGTATTTTTTTTGAAATAAGGAGATTGAATTTGATTTATTTAAAATTGAAGATTATGATGATAGTTATGGTTATTTTAATTCTTAATTATTTAAGATAGTCAATATATAGTAAAGGGGGAGGATTTAGAAATTAGTTTATGATTAATTTATAAAAATAACAATAACTAATAATGAGCAAGGCTAACGATATTGGTCTTATCTTCAGTTACGTCTATGATAAGATAAGTAAAATGCATTTACATAATATTACATAAACTTTATCATCAATTAAGATACAACTTGAATTAATCCAAGGATAGATGGATGATGTGACTTAGAATCTTACCTATTCAAATTTAGAGTATTTATTTGAATGGGCTAAAGCTTGTTAATAATCAATGAAGATTAATTTTTTCTAAAATTAAGAAGAGGCTAGGTTGATGCATGAAATTAACTAAATTTTACTTGAAATATTTTAATACTTTCACAATGCTATTGACAAGAACTTTATGGTACCATAATCAACTATATGTATTACTAATGAATTAGGAAATATCATTACATAAGAAGACAATTTTATTGAAATCATGGGAAATTCTTCTTTTGTTAATTTTGCTCAATTTATAGATGTCTTTGCTATTCCCAACTTCAAATTAGGTTCAGATAACATTGATAATGTACAAACAACATTCTACAAATTGAATTATGGAGTATTGGAGAAGTTTTTCACATAAGAAAATACTTTATCTTAAATACTAAAAAATGTAGCATAATAAAGGGAACATTTTTTTTAGAGATTTTAACTAAATGTCACAATAGGCAATTTTGAATTTTCTAAATAAGATGAGTAGAATTAGTTTTTCTTTTATCATCCTCTCTATGCATTGAATGAAGAAAAGATAAAAAAATTATTAATAGTGTAGTTTGTAGCATTAAATTTTCTACCATCAATTTAATTAGATGAATATGTTCAATCTGTTAAATTTATTGATACCATAAAAAAATTCTACTAGAAATTGATTAATACATAATAAGATGAATGATTATTATAATGTCTAAATTTTATTTTTCAATATTAAAAAATATTGAGTCACAATTTAAAATCAATCTAAGTCAAATCAATCAATTTTTAAATTCATCTAACATAGATGGATTTCAAAAATACAAAACTGTGACTCATTTATGTATTGGAGACATCTAGAATGCTATCAATAAAAATTCATCTTTTTAATTAGAGGTTATTTAACACATTTTAATTATTTCAAGAATCAAACCAAATTTACCTTATCAATCAATGATTTTAGATGCAATCATTCATGCAACCAAATTGTCTTAATCAGATATTATTTAAGAAATTATCAAAAATTATTAGTTTAATCAAGAAGGTTAAATAAAATTGCTCAAAATATTAAGCAATTGCAATTTTAACTTATAATAGTTGTTACTTAATAATTTATCTACAATTAAAGATTTAACAAATGTTTAAGATGCTCAATTGATTTTTTAAATACTAGAAAATTTGATAAAATTAAATAAATCAAATTCATTAACTGAAGAAAGTGTAGCTAATTTCACAAATCTTTAATATGATTTTTGGTTGAAGAATAATTATTAATTTGAAGATCATTAATAAAAAGAAAATGTATAATTAGTTCATTAAATGATTCAAGATTTAAAAGATAAATTAGAATGGTAAATTAAAAAAGGATAAAAAGTTTCATTCAATACACTTATTCAATATATTTAGTAATTTAAATAGACAACTGAAATATCATTTGATGATATAAGAAAATAAAATTATTCAAAGAAGGAGGAAATGATTCTTTTTAATCTATTGAGATGTTAAGAGCAATTTGAAATAAACAAAACTTTAAATTATATCAAATAAAATCACTCTTTATACAATTTACAATATGTATACAAATTTTTTAGTAATTAATAAACAACTGATTTGGAATTATTGAAAATAGTTGAAGAGAGTATTTAAAATGATAGAGTGAGGATATAAAATTTACTTTAATTTTATTCAACAATACCAGTTGAACCAACTTGGAAAATAGCTTAGATTTTAAGGAATATTTTAATAAAAGATTGGGACAGATTGTAGATATCTGAATAATTAAGTATGGTAGGATAATTGTTTAGGATAGAGAGATTGATTTAAAAACCTGAACCAATGGGATAGTTTTATATTTTGGATTCGATTTTAATAAATAAAATAGAATAAATGATATTATAACTTAGATTTTAAGATTTGAATTAGTTAGATAGATTAAAAGTCTATTTTTTAATGAATTCCTATTTTAGTAAGGATTTATTGTCTAGTAAGTAAAATATATATAATTTTAGGTTATTTTAATACATAATATGCTTTGTATATATAGGCATATTTGAGAAATTAATTTTAAACACAACCTCGTAATTAGAGTAAATTATAAAAAGAGATTGAAGAGAGTTTAATAAGGAATGGTGTTTAATATGAGAGAGAGATTTTGGTAGAGAATTGTTTTGCTGTAGATTTTAAAATGAAGAATACAATAATAGAAGTGAATGGTCCATATCATTATTGTTTAATGATAGGAGAGAGTTTGCCTAATGATGCTATATAGAACATTAGTACAAATGAAGCAATTTATGAAACATTAAAAACAAGTTTGAAGGTAAATAGATGAGTGAAAATAATTATAGACAAAGTTATTGACTAAAAAGGGTTATAGAGTAATAAATATTCCTTATTTTAAATGGAATGGATGGTGTATTAGTAATAAACAAGACAAAATAATAAATGATATGTTAGAAGGAATATCATTAAAAGATAGTGAATTGTTAAGTAAAATTTGAGTTTATTTTTATAATTATTATATTTGTCATAAATATATTTTTAATATAATAAATTTTTCATAAATATATATTTTTAATATAATAAATATTACTATTTAAGTAAGATATATTAGAACTATTTATTTAAATAAATAAACTAATAAATAAACAAATTAAAAAAATAGAAATCAAATTGATTTGAGATAGTTTATAACAATTAAAAACAATAAATCATTACTTGATTAACTTTAATACTTTACGAATTTTAGTGATTACAAAACATTTAATAGAATAAGGGGAAGTGAGACGTCTTTTCTGTTTATTATGGGCAGCTATTGAAAAACGTTATTATCTCAATATAACAAGATCATAGTTGTTATGTGGATAGTAGATCGTATAGATTTTCATTTTTTCAAATTTATTGAAAATGATATCGTTAATAAAATAGGCTTGATTCTAAAATGTCATGTAAAATTACATCAGGAGAAGTAATAGCTTAGAATTAGGATTACTAGATTAAGTTACTCTACTTAGTTCCGGTTCTTTGGCTCCTTTATTTATTTTTATTTTCATCAGATTAAGTATTTGCACTATTAGACTTTTTTCCATTATCTTTCATTTGACTTGATAATCTTAATGATTTATTTTATCTAGAATTAGAAGATGGATAATTAGATATATCTTTAGAATAAGAATTAGTATATGTATGTGATCTAGATGTTGGTTATCTTTAAGATTATTTCAAATTTCCATATTAAAACTATTATTAAATATAATCTTATTTAATAATGTCTTATTTGTTTCCTGTCTAAGAAGAAATTTCTTTTTAAAATTGAAAAGTCAATTTATTAGGACTACTTCTATTAGTTGTTGGTAAATATAATTATTTTTAATTTACCAATTCATTCTTTTCCTATAATTAGAATAAAATCTCTTTTTCATCCTTATCTAATGTTGAATAATTTTAACTCTAAGGATTTCCAACAAAACCAGCTGTTCTATGTGATGTTTTATTTGAATTCTAACGTCCCCTTCTAATTGATTACTCTTAAACAGGAGGATTCTATTCTTCCTATTATTCTTATTCATAATTCAATTATTCCAAACTATCAACATTTACATTACTATTTGAAACGTATTGATCTTAACTTGCCTTTTAAAATGGCATTGAATTACTTACATAACTTACAGAATATGTTTAATCTAATTTATATAGATAAGATAATTACTTTCAGAGTAAGGTAATTAAGATGCTTCAGGAAGATCTTCTGAAAGAATATCTTAACTTTACTTATTAATTACTAATTTAGCTTTGTCTTAATTTTATAAAAGATTTTTCATTGTTAAAAATTTCTTATTCTTTCTTTTATAAATTGCTCTAACTTATTTTAAACTGTATAAATGTTTTTCAATAACATTTTATCTTTATGGAAAATATTAAATATGTTGACATTCAAGAATATAATGACCCTTGATTTTACAATAGTAACAATCAAACAAATGTTAATTATAGCATGAATTATCTTTCATCATACAAAATATTTCATTATCTTATGGATAATTTGATATAATTTCTAAGAATTCTGATCTTTTCAATTTCATTAATGTAGTTACTCCACAACTATATATACTAATATTGGAAGGTACTCCAGAAATAAATGAATATTATCCGAAAGCTTAACCTTCCTATAAACGAGTAACTGATCTTTTATTGTTTGCAAGAGATGATCCTTAAAATTAAACCTTGACTTCTCCTTTTAGTATGTAATACAAACCTAAATCTTCTATTTAATGTTCCTAATAATATAAGCAATCACTTACTATAATTATATTATCTTCTGGATTGAAAGTCACCTATTCTATTGCATATAATAATTGTTATTTGAATTAAGGTGAGAATTTATTCATCAAATCTATTTTATCAATCATTCTTGTTCTTAATGATAAATCAATCTCATCTTATAATCCAGGACTCAACTTTTTAGTTAACTAATCTTTTGCTCTACCTAAATCTTCCTATTTTTATTAATAACCTCTATTTTTACATCAATCCTAAATTCTAAATAAGAATAACATCTTCTTAACAAATCTTAGTCTTTACATTTCTCTTTAAATTATTCCACAAAACCTTTCAATAACTTTTGTTTCTCTTCTTAAATCTCTATTTCTGGTTTAATCCAAATCAATAAGATTATAAATGTAAATACATAACAAAAGTATGATATTAACATAAATACTGATATAATTAAAGAATTCTATTCTGTCATCTCCATAGCTCAAATTATTTATTACTTCTTACAAATATTTGAATTTTATGTTATCAATGATATTGAATAGGCTATATAATATCCTAAAGTGTATTCTTCACCATTAAACACTCTTATTATACTTATATATATACTTTTTAAAAAGCATGTACATAAAACAATTATCGATATCCACAATTACACTATCTATATTATATAATGAGTAGATTTATAGATATTCTCAAAATGCTCACAAGTTCTAATCAAATCTAATACGATCAGTATACAAATCAACATTATCAAAGTTACTTAATTATCAAATTAAAAAAATATTATTGCCACACTATTCATCATTCTTAATGAATCTAAATAGATTTTATTCTAATTCTTAAAATTAGAGATTAATTTCCCTCTAATCAATTTGTATGGTCCTCTTTAAAAATATAGATCTTGTAAAAGTGTTAACAACTTAATTCCAAAAACCACTTAGTAAATCATTTTTGGTCCTTCAAAAAGTATTGTCAGTGGTATAAATATGACAGTCAGTAAATTAGAAATTATAACAGATAAAAATATATACATGGTAAAATAGTAATATCTCAACGGAGAAACTAATAATGATATACGATATTATACTATCGTTTTATTCTTATGTTACAAGTGGATCATTATATTTTGAATAATGTATAGAATTCAATAACTTTTATTTTATCTAATTTATTATGATCTTAACTCTCCCTTAATCTAAGATAAGTTTCTTATGATGATCAGAAAGTAATCGAGATTAAAAAAGAGATGATGAAGATATTAATGAGCTATCATTTGAAATCAAGATTAATTTCTTTGAATCCCTATTTTAATGCCACTAATCAGAACTCTTATGAGATGCAATATATGTAATAGTTGGAACCTTATAATCTTCACTACTTTATATGTCTATTGGTTGCTAAGGACAAGTCTATACAAAGGCGGGCTTTAAATAACAAATCTATGACAAAGAAGAGTGTTCTTCTTCTTCTTGTATTGATTCACTATTCTTATATTACAAAGTTTAACTAATCCTGTGTGAGGGATTATAATCGACAACTTCTTGATCTTTTATTTACTTAAGTAACTATTTTCTAATTAACATTTATTAAATTAGAACCAATGCAATAATTGTCTCTTAATAACATTCCTCAAATTTTGTTCCCCTTACCTATTGTTAAATCCCATTATGAAATCCAACATCTTTAAGACTTAAGAAATGAACAAGAAAATCAAATCTTATAAGATCATTCCAAATTACTTAAAGAGAAAACTCCTATTCGACGAGATTAAACTTTATAATAAAAAAATAAGAGACAATCAACTCTTTCTTAAGTACTTAAAAATAGCATTAGAAAAATTGCTGAATTTTAAAGTTATTCCTAAGAACAAATGCTTAATTCTCAACATTCTTTACATCACAATACTATTGATTGTTCAATTAATTATAAATAGCTAAATAAGCATATTATAACTGAATAATAGTTTCAAATCAAATAAAATCAAATCTAACAAATGATTAGAGAAAAACTATATTCTTCTTATTGTAATTCAATATAAAAACAATCCAAATTTAATGAAAACTTATTTTAAAAAATTAATTAACTAGCTCCATTCATATCTTAAGATAAAATTTTACATTAACCTTAAATCAAAAGAATGAATTAATTTATCAAAGTTAGATCTTAATCAATTTCTCTTAATCCTAACACTATTTAACTTAATACTAATAAAATTAATTCTATCTAAAACAGTGTTTAAAGAATACAATCTTTACCGAGAAATGAAAAATAATAAAAATAGAAATTCAAAAATAAATAATAAACAGAGAGTTAAGAATTATTTGAAAATAAAGATGCTAATAGAATTATTCATAAACTAAATCAAAAAACTAATAAATTATTAAATGAATCTTATCCTGAAATTGATCCTACTCCTATTGTAGATTATTAAAAATAAATACTTAGCCATATTGAACTCAGAAACTCTACAAAAAAGAAACTCATTGATAGTTTTTAAGAAATCATACATTAATATTGAAAAATAAATAATTTCATTTTTAAATAAATATCATACCAAAAAATTTTCAATATCTTACATTAACATTTTTTCTGATTAATATATTTTTCTCTTTTTTACTATTATAACCTCCTCATCATTATTTTATTCTAATGTTTGAAAATTACTTAAATACTCTTTAATTTTTAACTCTCCGCAATCTAATCCCTTAGATTACCTAATATTCTTTTTCCTCAAAATATTCTTCGTTCCTGGAGGTCTTCCAAGTTTTCTCTTTAGATAAAATTCATCTAATACTTATGACTTTATTTTCTTCACTTTCTCCTAAAGTGAATTCTTAAGATTTTCATCATCGTATTTTATATTTATTAATTCCTTATTTTAAAATGATAAAAGATTTCTTAACAACTTTGAAATCTTTTCATATTATGCTTAATAATTCATAATCTAATCTT